TGACGCAGTTTCATCCGTTGTAGATGAACTGGCTGCCATTCGATTCCCTGACCATAGAGACAAGTTTGTGGGCAACTACCGCAGACTAATGGACAAGGTCTTGCGGCAAAATATCACATATCCTCCGAATATTCGCATTGCCAATTTCCTGGCTGCTATTTGGACGGCTTTTCCAACCCTTACCAAATCTCGAAGTTTTCCTGGCTCTATTTGACGGCTTTTCCAACCCTTTACCGCAAAATCTCGAAAGATTATAACTGTGGAATCTTCCCTACGACCGAGAATCTCTTGTACCGGCTCCAGGAGGAGATATAGATTCTCAAGGCTCAAGATGAGACCTTTGCCACCAACTTTGGCAAGCCTGCTACGCCTAGTAAAGGCAAAAACAAGTGGAAGAACAAGGGGAAAGGCAGTAATCGCCCATCTCTTGATGGCCCCAGAACCCCTGGAGTCAATCAGGGCTCTTTTAATAGCAACACCACGGATCCTATCTGGTGCTATGAGTGCGGAGAGCTTGACAAGAAGAAGGGCCACCTTGGATGCAATAAACGCATCCTCAGCCAGATCATCCAGGCCTCTAAGAAGGCTAGAAAAGATGGAAGGCCTTCAAGCAGCGCTCCCACTCACCAGAGTGGACGCACTGGCGCTTCTGACGCCGCTCAATAGTGCAATTATGCCGATAAAGCCATCTCTAGTCAATCTGTCCTCACTCAAGGACCACATAGCGCCAACCAGGGAGCGAGTACCAATCTGATCGACATCGTTCATGCCACGACAAGCACAGACTCATGGCTGTTTGACACAGGCTCTACCGTTCCTATTTGCAATAGCAAGAAATGGTTTACTCGCCTTCGAATGGACCCTGACCTGGTCCCCTTTAACATTGGAGGAGGCCCTGTTACTCCTCAAGGTGTTGGCGACGTAGAGATACCATTCATTACCTCCAATGGTGATACCGTCACTCGGACAATCTCTGGAGTACTATTTGTGCCTTCCTTTCCAATCAACATTCTCTCGGGAGACCAGATGTGTCGCCAAGGATGGTATTTGATGATCCGCGATCTGTTTGACCCCCATAGGACATGGGTGGCATCATTCCACCAGGGAATGTACGTTCAGACAGAGATCCCTAGTGTCCAGAAGGACGTATACGGGATCAATCAAGCCCCGACGTGTTCACTAATATGGTATCCGAGGATTCTTCCCAGGAACTGACCTCTCAAGCCAAATCTGTGGCGCTGAGACTACTCCACCGCTGGCATACAAGACTTGGCCACCGATCTATTGGTGACCTGATCAAGACAGCCAGTATCACCAAAGGGATTGAATTGCCGCCGAATGTACGAGAGCTGGCAAAAGAATTCACCTGTCTGGAATGTCTAGAGTCCAATCTACGTCGCCTAGTCTCTCGAGTTGAGCAGGAACATCCAGATCATGCTTTAGACCTGGTCCATATGGATACAGCCAAGCACTCTGTCCAAGGCTATGATGGTTCTCTCTATGCCACCGTATTTGTGGATGGCAAGTCTCGTTTGAGGGAGTACTGCCCTCACGAGAAGAAAGGGGAAGCTTCCGACCAAGCCATTCGCTACTGTGAATACGCTCACACCCAGTACGGGCGTTATCCGAAGCGATTCCGAATGGATGGTGGTTCTGAATACACGAGATTCAAGCAATGGGGAGCTGAACGTGGTATCCTGTTCGAAGTCAGCGCTCCATACACTCCCAAGCAGAACGGAGTGGCTGAGAGATCCTTTGGCGTTATACACGCTCTCATTCGCAGTATTATGAAGGATTCCGGGCTACCTGAAGCCCTTTGGCCGGTTGTTGGACCTGCCGTATGTGATAGGCTCAATGTGAGCTATACATCTTTCCTCCAGGGCGTTAAGAAGACCCCCTTTAAAGTTTTCTTTGACGATCTGAACCCTGAAAAGGATAACAAGCCTGATTTGACGAATTTACTGTCAATCGGGCAGGCCACTGTGGTCCATTTGCCGCAGCAGCGCCGCCTTAAGGGAGACAAAACCACTCCACACGCAAGGAGAGGTCGTATTCTTCGTTCCCTTGGTTCCAACCAGTACCAGGTGTATCTTACACACCTGAGAAAGATTGTAGTTACTGCCCATCTTGAGATTTTGGATGGATATGTACTTTCAAGGGATTTGATCCATATCTTTCCAAACTTCCGTGGTACACTCAATGACTATGAGACAACCAGACCCGATGCTAAAGATCTGCCAGCGCCGTTTTCACCAGAGGGCGCTCACGATCCTCAGCATATATATATCGAGTCAGATAACGGAAGGGATGGTAGAGATGATTCACCCCAACCAGTTGTCACGTTAGGGACCCCTCTTGGGTCCCCTGATGCTTCTGATAATGATGATAGTCATCATTCTGACTCTGGATATAGCAACCCTGAGCCTAGTACTGCTCTAACTGACTCGATTCTTCTATCATCTGAACCACCTCGTCAAGAAGTAGCCCCAACGGCTGCTCCGAGGTCAAGAATCCAATCAGGGCTCAACCCAGAGAATGTACTCTCCGGAGGGCGCACTCGGAGGACTCACAACCACTACGTGGCCGAGTCTTCCACCCCTGGTATATCTCCACATGTTACGATCGAGGCATCTTATGCCAATTGGCCGTCTTCTGACCCTGATCAGGCACTTCCTTGTAATGACGAGCCTTTTAGCTACAAGGAAGCCATGGAGGTCTGCCGAGGCATCTTAATGGCTGGATGGCACTCACACAGAGATACGGGCATTGCTGCGCAATAATACCTTCATTCCTTTGTGGAGGTCTGATCTGCTTGCTGGGCGTAAAACTCTCTCTAGCCATAATGTCTATAGGCGGAAGAGGGACTCTGACAGCAACACCTCTCGGTACAAGGCTAGGGTGGTTGTATGAGGCTTTATGCAACGCCATGGCCTCAACTATTTCAAAACCCAGGCCTCAGGCGCTTGTACTACCACCTGGAGGCTCCTTCTAGCCATTTCTGCCGTTCTGGACTGGGAAATTGACCAGATAGATGCTGTATCTGCCTTCCTGATGGGAGAACTGGATGAAGAGATCTTCATGGAGACGCCTGATGGTCTCTCTGACTTCTTTGAGATGTATCTAGATGAGAATACCATCAACTGGAGACCTGGCATGATTATGAAGCTTGCGAAACCGCTATATGGGCTTAAGCAGAGCCCCAGGCAGTGGCAAAAGCGCATTCATAGCGCTCTGAAGGACCTCGGATTCGACCCTCTGGTCTCTGACAACACAGTCTATGTCAACATCAGCCGTAGCATTATAGTGATCAGCTATGTCGACGATTTCCTCATTTTGGGGGCTAATCGTGACGGGATCGCTGCCTTCAAGAAGGAACTGGGTTTTACATTTGAGATGAAGGACATGAGAGCTGCTGAACACTTCTTAGGAGTCCATATTGTCAGAAACCGAGCTGAGAGGACGTTATATCTCTCTCAACAGACGTATGTAAGAAGGACTATAGAGACGTTCGACCAGCAGAACACTGGCAAGATGAACGTGCCAATATCTCCTCAAGCAGTGGAACAGATGGAGTCCCTGGACAACGACCTTGAGGTCGATACATGTCCTATTCAGACATACCAGTCCCTGATCGGTTCTGAGAACTTCCCTGCGTCGTATACAAGACCAGATATTACATACTCTATGGGTGTTCTCTCGCGATACTTTCATAACCCTGGCTCAGCCCAATATAAGGCCGCTCTGGGCCTATTTCGCTATTTGTGGCACTCTCAAGATCTTGAGATCAAATTTGGAGGTCCCGAATATGTCAGGAAGACCCCCCAGGAGGTCCTTGAGATGATTCCGGATCTGCTGGTTGGTTACTGTGATGCCAGCTATGCTGGAAGCATCAAGACCAGCGCCAAATCCACCTCAGGCTACCTGTTTACGTTTGCTGGGGGCGCTGTCTCCTGGGCATCCAAGCTGCAGACTGTTGTGGCTCAGTCTACTGTAGAATCGGAGTACTACGCACTCTCTGAAGCCGTCAAAGAGGCTGCCTGGCTACGAGAACTGATGCTGGAACTTGGTTCCACTCTGAATGCTATCAACATCCATTCAGACAGTGCTGGAGCTATTAATTTGGCTCAGAACGCTGAATTCCATCATCGAACTAAGCACATTCGAGTCAGGGAACACTACATTCGTCAAGAGATCTTGGAAGGCCATATACGGCTCTCTTTCCTTGGAACCAATGAAATGCCTGCAGACGGTCTCACCAAAGCTTTGACAAAGGCAAGGTTCTTCAAGTTTCTGGAGTTACTAGGACTGGTTCATGTAGAGGGGTGATATTCTGGTTATGTTAATTCCCTCAGTCTGAGAGGGCGTGTTGGATTCTGGGCTACGTTAGCCCATCCATAGTCATCTTTCAGGATCACCATCCCCATTTGTGACTCTGTCACATACGTGGCCAATATAAGGCCACGTATCCTTTCCTTTAGTATCTTGGATATATATAGGGCCATTCTGGCCGCTCCAGAGTAGCTGGAATTCCTCTCCTTAATAGAACACTTTGAAATCTAACAGCCGCCCACTTACTGAGGTAGGCAAGCATCAGAGCTGGATGGTCCAAGACATGTGACACCCTGTGCTTCGTGGCAGTTCGCCCATCTCGCGTCTCCGCTGGAGATAAAGTTCGTCGGTGCATGAACCGTACTTATGATGTGGTTTATTCCCAACCGTATTTGGCCTGCTAGCTCTGTTGGTCGCCGTGGTTTAATTCGCGTGCAAGCGGGAGAGACTCAAGGTATGGTAGGCATCAACTCCTTACTGATCATCAAGGAAATTACTGTAAACTAATTATGATGTGTTGACCCGTACCTATCCCTCAAGTCCACGTATCTCAAATATCGAGCACATAAACCCCTCACATGTGCTGCCCTGGTATCACCCAATCCATGAATACCCAGTCGGACAACGAGCCTAACCACGGATCCTTGAGTTCAGACCGATGGGATATCATATTATACCGTCGAATGCGGGTGTCGACTGGATCGGTTCTTGTCCACGAAAGGGTCAGAGGACTCCGTGCCCCTCCGTCCGTGCTTCTGCTCTCTGTGATGATCGCGGACCTGGTGGAATAAGGCGGTCAGGGCATGCAAGACCCTGAGAACGTGGTGGTCAGTTGTGCGGCATCAGGAGGAGTATGGACTAAGCTCAGACGTACGTAGAAATGATAGCCAGGATGAAGACTCCCCAAGGTAGGTTGCAGTTCTCTCCTCCAGGTATGAGAGACGAGAACCTGCTTCGATTGCAGGAGTTTGGCCCGGCCCGCCCTCCATCGGGCCTCGTGAGGACGGCCACGGCGATGAAGGCGCCAATGAACAGGATGTCCAGTAGCACTTGGAGCCATCGAAGGATCTTGGGAGCACCATGCCTCAAGCAGCATGTGATGGCCAGCATGCTCAGTGTGTAGAGCGTCGCGGCAGCGAGAATGCCCTCCACAGCGCCATCGGCTGCACGATAGCGGTGATAGAGACGGAGGATCTTGCGAAGCCGGGCACTGAATAGCCCCAAGGATATGACTGAGGCGAGAAACTGGAGCACGCGTAGGAAGGTGTTCCACCAATGATTGGTTTTGGAGCTACGGAATTTCTCAAGGTAGGTCATACTAGCGATGTTTAGGAGAATGAGTGAGGGTGTAGCGTACTTGGTGTTTGCCAGCATAAGCAGATGGTATACCAGACGTATTTTATTATCGTATCTACAGGAGCAGGTCGTGCTACATATACACGAACCAGAGTTCGCGACGCACGTCACCACGGCGGGCATCATGCCGCGATGATGTTTCGACTTCAAGGAAGCTGCAGTGGCATATGCGATCTCAATGTAGCGTAAACCATATCCAGACGACATTGAGTCAGGCCACTGAAGTTGATGATGGCCCATGTGTGAAGCCCAGGGACTACCTCGCGAGCTGCAACGCGATCTTGGGTACTGTGAAAGAAGCTTTGCGCCATGATCACCAGACATTGGTCGAATGCTCTCCTGCAGTCGGCCCTTCCATGCGCGATGACTCCGTCGAAGAAGGCACGGCATACTCAATCTGGTACTGAAACCTTATACCTGCAAGCGGCTCTCAACATAGTTCATAACGCACAACATAATATCAGGATTACTCCGCACCCGATACCGTGAGCTACCCCAGGTTTTCAGTAAGGGTTGCGGCCTGGCTCCTTGTGTGCACCTAACAGATGGGACGATCGAATCAGACCATAGGCTGATCTGCGGGCTGAACCCTATTTGGACCGTAAAAGCAGGTTTCATCCGATCTTTACCTGGTTCTGTGACGTCCGAAGGTTTAAGCCGCATTCTAGGCCTGAGGCCAGAAATACCAAATACGACCAGGCAAGAGAAAGTCGGGTACATTTATCATCACAACAAGAAGGCTTCCCCATATCAAACAGTTCATGACTCTCGTTCAATCGCGATGCGCATCTGCTTTCCGCCGACAGATCTGGGTTGATGAAGAAAGCAGTCAATGAACTCTTCTCTCTCCCTGGCACAGTCGACAGTATTGACATCGTCTAAAGGAGTGGTAGGCTTGATAGCTGACCTTCGTCGGGACACCGATACCGACACTGACGCCGACACTGACAAAATCACCACCATCACCAACATTATCACCGCGCACTCAGAAGGCACGTCCCAAAGATAAGGGCTCGCGCCGCCCATGAACCCCCGGCTGAACCTAACCTCGTAAGCTGGGGGCTACGCGCCCCTTCAGTCACGAAAAAGACGCATAGGAGAATATGTATCGAGATTTTAAGTGATAGTAAGAATCGATGCCATTCTTCTGGATATCAGGGGATTCTCTCCGTAAAAGTTGATTCATGAGCAGGCAGGGCAGGCGGCTTTTCAGGAGGCAACCCGGGTGGGTCGCAAGGTCTGGATGTGAATGGAACTAGAATCGCGCCAGGATCGCCAGGATGCCATCGTCGAGATTAGTCCACATCACGACCCGTAATGGCGGGCCGAGGCCCACCACAACAGCAAGGCCAACGCGATAGGGAGAGATGAATAAATGAGCGCTTATCTCTGAGTTCTATCGTGAACTGCTTGGTCAACACGAGCGCATATCAATCGAAACAAGTGACGGCGCGAGGCTCTCCAGCAGCCACGATGCCTACCGACACCCACGAAACAAGTCCGCTTCTAGGCGGTCAAGCTCGCATGTCGAACCGCACGGCTTCTGGCACCTCATGGCGAAGTGATCTCATTCCCTCGAGGCTAAGAACTCACTCTTTGCATGAGGTCCATCCGCATCCCGAGACCGTGCAGCCGCAGCTACCTGCATCAGCAATCGCGCCAGACCACGAGACCGATCTTCACGACACTCGGTGGGCCACTCGGGAGGCTGTGCAGCCAAATCTGTGGGCTAGCTTCCGACATGTCTGGAAGCAAGAGATCGCGTGAGTAGGAATGCCCCTATTCACGTGTCAGGCTGGCGCACGGCGATGCAGACCGCCACCCGGCTAAGATCTGGATACTGACCGAGTGCGATAGTGAGTTCTGGGGAACCTTCATGATCATTCTCTTCGGCGCGGGAGTCGAATGCCAAGTCGGGCTGCACTACCGGAACGAAGACCACCTAACCGGCCGCCTGGCCTGGGGAGTCGGCGTAGCCTGCGCCGTCTGGATCTCAGGCGGCGTGTCCGGCGGCCACTGCAACCCGACCGTCACGCTCGTCCTCGCCATCTTCCGGGGCTTCCCCCTGCGCAAAGTCCCCGGCTTCATCGTCGCTCAGGTTCTGGGCGCCGCGTTCGCCGCTCTGGTCGTGTATGCCAACTATACCCACAGCATCTCGGTCTTCGAGGGCGGCGACGATGCGCGCGCTGTCATGGGTCCGCACGCGACCGCGGGCATGTTTATCACCTTTCCGGCCGCGCATCTCACGTACGTCTCGGCGTTCTACTCCGAGTTCCTCGCGTCGGCCGTGCTGATCGCGCTGATCTTCGCGCTGGCGGATAAGGGCAACATGTCGCCTCCAGCGCGGACACAGCCGTTCGCCTTGTTCCTGGTTATCTTGGGTATTGGGTCGGCTTTGGGTGTCAACACGGGGTACGCCATCAACGGAGCCCGCGACACGGGGCCGCGTATCGCACTCGCTATTGTGGGATATGGGAGTCAGGTCTGGACGCACAACTCTTGTTACTTCATTTGGGGCCCTTGGATTGCGTCTATGACGGGTGGATTGGTCGGTGCCTTCTTGTATGATGCCTCACTTTACGCTGGTAGGGATTCTCCCCTGAACAGGCCAGTGAGTGCGAGTAAGGGACAGGTCGACGAGGAAGCTGTGATTTGATCATATAGGACTATTTGGCCACAGCACCAGCTTTCTGGAATGTGCATAGACTGCATAGACGGTACTTGCAGTATCTGGCTTCTAGCGAAGGGTCATGTGATGCATGGAATGGAAAGAATACCCGCAGTCGAATGGCTCTGCATTCTCCTCCCAATTGTGCAGTAACGTGTCCACGCCATCTTCAGTATCTTTTCCACGATAAACCCGGCGTGGCCATTCATACTTCCCTCTGCCCTGCTGACACTTTTAAGGCACTCTGAGTATTTGATCTTGAGTCTTTTGATTGAGAGTTCCCTCTTGAGAGGCGAGTTCTGGTGCGCGAACCCGCGTATCCCACTCAGTTAGTTGCATTAGACTCTGTGGCCATATAAAGTGCACAAACCTCGCGTAATGCCTTTTCGTTGGTATACCGTGTGTTCAGGAAATGGGTGGACCTACTGGTCAAGTGAGACGTTCCTTCGGCCTGAATGATAGTAACCTTTCAGTATCGCTGATGATATTGTGTTCAGTCATAGCCTTCGTACCGTACCGTACCGTGTTGACACTTTGAGCTGGTGAGCTGGCACAGTACCTAAGTACCTAGGTAGGTATCCATACGTGACGGAGTAGTATCGTCACCCCTGTTCTACTGAATCCCGTTGCCGCAGAACAGTTAGCGCAGTGAAATACTCGCCCAGGACTCGGAGCTCAGATATTCAATAAGGAATAAGGAATGTCTCTTGGTATCACTAGGACATGTTGTTGACAGACAGGAGTCATGCTCGCCAAAGAATTGCTTGATGAGTCTCGGGATATCCATACCTAATCAGTGGTGCTATCACCGAGTCGGATTTAAATTCCCTGGTCGGAACATGCCGTCGACGGCGCCCTCGGGTGATTGAAGTCCCCAAATCCCCTGTTGCGCGTCGTGTCGCGACCGCCAAGTTCCATTTCAATGGATCTCCCACGTTTCCGCGCGTCTGGTGTCTGACAAGTGTCTGACATCTGTACAGTAATCTTGAATAATCAGATATGGGGCTTTGTTCAGTGGAGTCTGCAAAAATTGCGGCTCCAAACGTAATGATAACAAGATGACCTTTTTCTATGCCGTAGCAGCTGCAACCAACGTGTCTCTTTATCAGACAGCTTCAATGTTTTCATTCCCATGATTGCATCTCGTCATACCGAGCCTCTCCAATCCCCAACTGATCACCGCCATGGCGGCACCATCCGAGAAGTCTGATGAGCCGACCCGGCCATCCACAAGCGACAACAGCAACGCCGATGACGATGTCAATATCGGTCGACATGACCACGGCATCGAGCCCCAGCGCTCCCGCGTCGAGTCCATCTGGGCCGTTGAGCACATCTCGTTCCCGCGGGAGGTGATGCTAGTCTTCGTATGCTGCATGGCCCAATTCTGCACCCGTAAGATCCGCTCACTCTGCACACCATATCCATGCACATCAGCGCCCACTGAACCCAATCGCAGAGGCCGCATACATGGAGACCCTCATGCTGCTCCACGTGATCGGCAGCACCTTCAACGTCACCGACCAGGGCCAGCTCGCCTGGCTCGTGGCCGGCTACTCGCTCACCGTCGGCACCTTCATTCTCTTCTCGGGCCGCCTGGGCGACGCCTTCGGCTACAAGCGCATGCTGCTCATCGGCTACGCCTGGTTCAGCGTCTGGTCTGTCGTCGCGGGGCTGAGTGCCTACTCGAACTTCGTGCTGGCCGTCTTTGCGCGCGTGCTGCAGGGTATTGGCCCGGCCATCTGTCTGCCGAATGCTCTGGCTATCTTCGGCGCCGTGTACCCCCCGGGCCACCGCAAGGCCATGGTGTTTGCGTTCTTCGGCGCCGTCGCGCCGATGGGCGGTGTGGTCGGTGCGGCGGTTGGCGCTGGCATCGCCTTGAGCTGGTGGCCGTGGGCGCTATGGGCCTTCAGCATCTGGCTGGTCGTATTGGCTGTGATGGGTTTCTTCGTCATCCCTGAGCTGCCGCGGAAGGATGAGGTCTTCGGTGAGGGGTGGACGTGGAAGGGATTGAGCGACGAGCTGGACTTGCCGGGCGCATTCATAGGGATCGTGGCCCTGGTGCTGTTCAACTTTGCGTGGAACCAGGCGCCCATTGCCGGCTGGGCCACCGCTGAGGTTCTTGTGCCGTTGGTACTGGGTCTTGTGCTCTTCGGCGTGTTCGCCTTGTTCGAACTCAAGGTCGCTTCCAAGCCGTTACTACCGTTCGACGCAATCAACGCCGATGTTGCATTCGTGCTCGCAGCCGTGGCCTGTGGCTGGGCTACTTTTGGAATCTGGACACTGTATCTGGTTCAGGTCTTGCAGGAAATCCGCCACCTCTCGCCACTGCTCACAATCGCCTGGTTTTCCCCCGTCGTCATCTGTGGAGGTCTCGCCGCTGTCATCACCGGCAAGCTTCTTGGTCCATTGAGCTTCCGACCGCCAACCGTCATGGCCATGGCCCTCGCTGCTTTCACCACCGGCATCTGCCTCACGGCCACGGCGCCAACTGACCAGATCTACTGGGGCCAGATCTTTGTGAGTATGATAGTCATGCCCTTTGGCATGGACATGAGCTTTCCGGCTGCTACCCTGATTCTGTCCAATGCCGTGAAGAAGGAAAATCAGGGCATTGGTGCTAGTCTGGTCAACACTGTCGTCAACTATGGCATCGCCCTCGGCGTTGGCTTCTCTGGCACGGTGGAAACCCACGTCAGTCATGGAGATAAACTTGCTGGGTACAGAGGAGCCTTGTACATGGGAATCGGGCTTGCTGGACTCGGCCTGGGAATTTGCGTCGTCTTCTTAGCAAGACAGCATCGTATGGACGGAAAGCGGGGGGATGAGAAGGTTGAAGATGAATAGAGCCTACCTTCAAGATGAATGGGCTCCGGTCCAGGGATAAATAGAGATAGATATATAATAATGATACCCGCAGAAGCTGCCCAGAAGATAGGAGCTCCAACTGAATGATATCAGTTTTAGAAGTATGTTACACCGGCCCAGGGTATCCGTTGGGGAGGACCTAAGAGCTGTGCGGGATGTATTGACTACCTCTTTGAAGATAGTAATTGCCGCCAGTTTGCAGTAGGGCAAGCGGTAAGGGGAGCCCTTAGGTACTTCTTGGCCGATGACCTGTTCCCATGCTTTCAGATACTCTGTTCCGCATAGATGCGCCTTGCACAGAAGATGGGCAGAAAGCGCGATGTCCTTGGCAACTAATGTGCCAACGGGGGGTGGCAGCTATGGCTATGTGACAGCCGTAGGTGCCCGGTGCATCTCCTGTGTACGTGCGACATCACATGTCACATGTTGCTGGCATATTTACAGCACTTAGAGCGGCAGCATCGAAGATTAATGTCTTTGATATGAAGCATGAGGTGAGGGGTGGAACGTGCGCATGTGAACCTTAAGCGCCTCAGCTTAGGTGCAACAGACATTGACACTGCAGTCTAGTAGGATGAGATACGAAAAGGTAGTACATGGCGAGATCATTAGAGTCTTATCATGTCCTGCGCGGATAACAGCTTGGTTCTCCTTTTCCGTGAGACTGCCAACCGCCCGTATGTCAATCATCCACAAAACTCATGCTTCGGTCGTTTCCGTGCGATCAGGCTCATCTTCCATCAGCCAGAGTGACCTGGGGAGCCCCTCTTCCATTCGTATGACCGGCCAATAACACCCCGCCCGCTGGTAGTACGGTCCGTATCTCTTGCCCAGCACATCCATCACCATCTGAACGTCAACTTGATGGCCACAGCGCCTAAGGAGCTCTTCCTCTGCAGCCTGAGAAATCCTGTCCATCCAGTCTGTGAAAGACGTCTCAACAGGTTGTTCCGGCCTTTCTAGTCGAATACCCATCGGATGAAAGTATCGACGGTAAGGGTAGACCAGGGGACCATCGAAGAGGCCATAGGCTTGGGTGTCCGGGTCGATGGGATGAAGCCCAAATTCGTTTGTAGGGAGGCTCTCAGCTGCCGAGTCTAGCTGCCTTGGTTCATATTCCAGCCAGAGCTCCGCCGCAGTCTCATTCCCAGCTTCATGCGGCTCTCCCTAGGCACGGCATACGGTACCCCTCGTCGAGACGAAAAGTAGGCGTTCAAGCGATACCAAGTGTTCGTTGATGTCACGTCCCGATCTGTCCCGCCACGGGACTATTACTGGACCGACAGGGGAGATCCTGGGGGCCGCAACATCAACAGCCAGGAATTTGACCTTGCTCAGATGCGTTTTAGTCAGCATTGAGTACAGGTACATGGGTGAGTGGCCCTGGCAGTAGATCAAATCCAGATCCCAGTTGACGAAGAAGAAGCCATGCAGTATCGGTTCCATTACAGACGGAGCTCGCTCATAAGATCCGTAAAATGCTGCTACGCATTTGCTATTCCAAGCGCTAAGGGGTTGCAGCAATCTGACAAGTTGACGACCTTGCAGAACCTCCTGTCTCGCTTGCCGACTGACTTGCATTATCGCTCTCAGCGTGGATAAAAACCTCGGGTTGGACATCGTGAACGAAGTGAGCCAAAGATAATGGAGATCGTTTTGGGTGGGATGGGTCATGACATGGACCACGGGACCTCTTGGAAGCGCGTAAAGTCCCCACACGGCAAGACGGATCTCGATGGGAAGCTGGGAGAATAGTTGGAAGTCGGCTGGTCGGGACATGGTGTTGTTGGCGTGGGTGGATTCGTCTGGGTTAGGTAGGCTGACGAGAGACGGGTGCTGAGACAGGTGGCTTCACTTGGTGCTGGACTGCCAGCCAGACGGGGTATAGACCAGATATATAGATGAAGTCGAAGTACAAAGGCAAAGAGGTAGTCAGTTGCCTGACTTTCTAGTGACAGAAAAGAAAGTGTGCCTGCAAGAGGTGTACAATATTTGAAAGAGCACAAGGTGGAAGCCGGATCACCTGCCTGAAGAGCAATGGAACGATAGCCAAGGCAACCATGGCTGAGCTACCAAGTGCATGTTGGCTTTGCCTCTTTCTCATCTGCAGGCAGACTGGAGGTGACCCATGCCACTCTTTGTCGATGGCCCAATGATCAAGCTTCTAACCAAGGAGCTCCAATATCCTTAGGTGTACACCAAAGATCAAAGACGTGGGAAATCACTCTACAGAAAGTAGTGTTCGAGACGCGTGCACTTTTGAGGAGACTGGGACTCCACTGGATGCCTATACAGATTCCTAATCCAATCACTGACTCTAGTACACGGCTGACCCAGCCAGCAAGAACATGGTAAGGATGATTCCCACGCCCGTAAACCATGTCGCGCTCCTGGCCAAAGCCCACCTCGGCTCATCCTGGAGAACCACATAGATCACATTGTATATCACCCTCGTGCCCAGATACGCGATTGCCAGCGCATTGGCAACCACTGGATTGACGGCAGCTATGTTCACCGACACGACCGCAGCTGCGTATAAAGAGATGGTCTCCAAGCCATTAGCGAACGCGCTCTCGGCTCGTAGGATACGCGCCTTCGTCTGGATCCACGATTAGCACTCGAGGGGAACTCAACGACAGCGGCGAAATGAGAGACATACCTTCGGGTCGAGATCATCGGCATCAGCTATAGCTGGTTTGTACTTTTGCGGGCTGGCGGGGTCCAGATACCGGCCGCCGAGAGCAAAGCTGTAGAGCTTGAGAAGGAATAAGAGGATGAAAGCCGCAGGTACCTGAGAACGTGTTAATGGGTCCGCGGAATTGAAGACTCTGGAGGACTTACGATATAAAAGGTAAAATTTCTATCGAATGCAACCATTCTCGGTAAGAAGCGAAGCCACTACTATCCGTGGCCGCGCGGTATCCTAGCTGTATAGCGGTCTGCCTTCGTCTGGTCTACAAATCGGTGGGCTTAATGGTTATTGCTGGTGAAATTAAATCGTATGGGATCGATGTATCTTTAAGCAGTAAGGTTCTTTCTAAAAGATCGAGGTGTCGGGGCCTCTTTCCTCGGAACACGCGTGTCGTCTCCGGGTCAGGGGCTGACGAAACAAGCCTTGTTTCAACTTTTGGGTGTCGCACAGGTGATCTGCACCAGGTCCGACATCACGATGATGTATGCTGGAATAGTTTCAATATATAAATATTAAGCACGTATATACCAGCCCGTTTACCAACATAAAACACATTTTATTCGGCATGCATCGCCAACACTGTTTCAATAGTGACAACGTCAAAGTTGCGCCGTTGACCCCCTGCACTCTGTGCTTGTCAGTTGCTTCTGGTTATGATCCAATCGTACAGTTGTCCTCCACGACGCGCAAGCTACAACGACTACAACCCTCCACAATGATTCAACATCCTTCAGTGAGGGTTTTCACTTGAGATACCAGAACATAGTGAAGTGCGTGACCGAAAGAGTGCGTAAACAATTTTCAGTATGAATATATCTTACAAGTAAAATACAGACCAACGCGATGGAAGCCTTCTCTGCAACCGCCAGGGCGCGACGAAATCAGACAACAACCCCGCCTCCACCTTTCCACCTTCTTCCCGCAGTTGGGATGTACAACGAGCCTTCAGAACTCCCGATCCCTCAAGCCTCCCTACGAGGACGAATACACCTCGCTGCCAAAAGCACCGATGCCGTCAACCTTGTAGTACCCCCCCTCATAATCGTTGTGCTTAGTACCGTAGCAGTTGTCCCGCTTTTCAAAGAGAACGTAGTCCTTGCCGTCCCGCTTGGTGATGTGGCTACCGAGGGGCCCCTTCATCGCTCGCAGACACTGCATTCTATGTTAGCCTCCTTGCCTTAGACGTGGAGACGACGTTTCTAGGAGAATAGAAGGATGATGGGAAAGAAAGGCAGAGTGAATTCGAGGAACTCAGGTTTATGGGATACAAGGCGGGATGGTGTTATACGTACAGTGTCATGGTCCACGACGTAGCTGCCCTCACGATCGGTATTGTAGATGGCGAAGACAATGTTTCCGGCGTCGCCCGGCTGTGTGTCGTCGTCCTGGTTGGTGAGGGACGCTGCGTAGGTGTCCGAGGTCTCGTGCCCCTTGTAGATGTCCGTACCGACATACGCCTTGCCTGTGAGGACTGTTAGCCACATACTCTGCATTTACAAGAGTAGCTTATGAGGCTAGGGGACTATGGAGACATACAGAACGTATCGGCAAGCTGCCCAAACTGGTCTACGGGCACCCATTTGCCGTGCCCGTTGCTACCCCCTTTCCCGGTGACGAGGTGGCCGCAGTTCATGACCTTGTCACGGGCCTGGATGTCGATTCGGCTGTTGAGCCCGCCGGCCTCGAGGGCTGCCATCTCGGCATCCGTGATGGGGACGTTGACCGAGCCGCCACGGGCTTTCAGGCCGCCGGCCTCCAGGGCTTGCATCTCGGCATCTGTGATTGGGACGTTGACGTCCGCCGGCATTGGACTGCTGGCGACGATGGTGGAGAGGAGGGCAGCTGCCAGGATAGATTTGGTATACATGATGAAGAATGGAAATGAGAAGATACTGTGAAATTGTACAAGGTTGTGCGAATCAAAATTGATAGTGACGGCGTAATGATGTGAGTTAATGATGTTCAAGTTGCTTGTGGGTGTGCTTGGTGTCTGGTCTGATAGAATAGTTCTGGCTTCCGAGGATAAGTCCAGTATTTATTTTCAACCCCGACAACTTGTGCAGTGAGCAGAACATGGTATAGAACCATGATATCACCGAGCGTCAGCTCGAAGGGGCCCGCCTTCAGCCTATCCTTTCCACCTACATCATCGTAGACGATGCAATTCTGGCTGACGGTGGCTATACTGCTGGATCAGCATACCTGAACCTCTCCCACCGACATCTTACAGGGTCAATTGGAGGGTAAGCCATACCTCCTTCCTTTTCTTAGACCATCACATCACGATGATCCGAATGACGAGGTCTACCGTCGACAAGGGAGGCTCGGAACCGCTGTGGAATCCTTTGAAGCCTCAAACGGCACCGAGCTGACGACGAATTAGCCTCATGACATCAAGGTGCCATCAAAGTTGCTATTATTCTCCCCCAATGACCAGGTGGGCTGCCGATCAGCTTATGAGGAATACACGTGCTTAGTGAGGTCGTCCGGTATAGTCAGCTTCGGAGTCTCGGGTGCATCTAAAAAGAGCTTACTTGTCATTGGTCAAGCCTCTTTCTTAAGGCTGGCAGGGGAGCTCATCAAGGGCACTTCCTCTATAGCCAGGTATGTAAGCAGGTAGGTGGGCAAGTGTTTCAGCTGAGGTGGTACGCGTTGCTTGGGAGGTGATCATATGAGAATGACAGGAACGTAAGCAGCCACCCCCATAGACGGATATATCAAATTATGGCTGGCCCCCATCGCGCCCCTGTCTAGGTACCTGCAGGATCATTAAAGCTCTTTGATCGATCGGCAGATCCTCCAAAAGCTTTTATTGTCTTCAGACATTAGTCACCACGCAGCTACGCCACCATCGTGGCAGTGTCGCGACCTGGGAGACTGACATCCATCAGATCATATGGTGGTGGAATGGGTTTGAATGGGTCGTTCTATACTCCGAGAGACATCTCGGGCATGGCAGGATGCGACTTGGCACTTCTGGGATTGTTCAGCTATAGCCACCGCATCACTGGCCAGCCCCTCCGGACCCGAGGATTGATCAGCTCCAGCCACTGTATCACTGATCAGCACTTCGAATTCAGGGACAAAGATAGCATAGAACGTGTAGGTCTACCGGTACCCCGCTAGGCTCGGTATAGTCTCGAACGCTTTCTACGAAGAAGCAATCAGCAAAGGCCCAAGTACTTAAGCCCACAGAGAGCCTCCATCCGGAGAGGAAAGACATCGCAACCAACACTCCAAGAATTTACCAACTTGTCCCACTAGCCCCTTGTTCATACACTAACTTCTTTGCAATACTACACAGTCTACACCGTTGAAATGGTGTCCTTCAAGAGAATATTCTTCTTCGGCGCCGCTCTGACCAGCCTGGCCAACGCTATCCCAGCAGGCTCTCCACCTGGCTCTTCTCTCTCGAGCCGTGCCACCTCCCTCAACAACGAGGGTCCATCAGTCGACGTGGTCGCACGAAGCGTCGACACAGGGGATGACTCAGGCGCCACTGCCAAACGCCAACGCCGCGGACGAATGACCCTACAATGGTCTCCCCAAGGTCGCATCTTCTTCCTCCTAGGCGCGTCCTTCCCACAGAGCATCATCGACGGCTTCTACGGACTAGGCGAAGCAGGCCCGGCCAAGGGCCTCCTCGACGAATTCCACCAATGGCTATTGCAGAACCAGGCGGCCCACCGGCGCGCCTGGCTGCTGTTCCTCCCATCCACGAAGGGCGGAGTGTACGGCAAAGCCGGCGGAGCTATCGCCAATGACTTCGGGTTCGGACTGAGCACATCTCAGTTCCCGACTGCGCAGGATCTCCAAGACCTGCTTGATGCCATCACGGCCTGGGCTTCGCAGGCAGGAAGTGTGGTGCAGGCGCTTGCGCGCCCCAACGGGTTCTTCGACCCTGCTCAAATCGGCGCCGGGCAGAAGCGTGATGTCGAAGAGCGGTCCCGAACCAACACTTGTCCCGCCGACATGAACTTGCTCCAGTATGCTACGGAGGATGTCTCAGTTGATGTCGATATCGCCAACGACTTTCGCTGGGGTGGGGAGTGCGACGAATCATAGAAGTTGGGGGTTCGGGTATAAGCACACTGCAATAGCGCATTGCTCATTACAGGGTGCCTATCCCAGTTGTAGCGTCTATATGGAAGGGTTATAGACAGGCCAGGGCTTGGGGGCTCTGGAGTCGACGAGTCTGGGAGCCAGTGTATGATCACGGTCAGCTGGAGGGTGACGCAGTCAATGGCGGAAAGTGTATATTCTAGTTCGGAGCACATCATAGAGTCTTTCTTGTTAACAGTCATTCTTTTCAATTTATGGATATAACCAATGCCGAGCCCCCGGTGTCGCCCGAATAGTTCAGGCATCGTCCGTTGTCTTGTTTGTGTCGGAGAACAGTAGCCATGATCCTTTGGTTCTTCATGAGTTTGGGCAAGCACCCAAATAATTGACATGATCATCCCGAAGATTATGTCGTGGGATTCGTCCTGTTGTACTCGGCAGCTCTGGTGATTAAATCGTCGAGGTTGATGAAAGATGCAGAACGTTGAACTAGGCTCAGCCATAGGAGCAAAACCCCTTCTCTTCTGAGAACATGTGGCGCAGGGCGCTATAAGGACGCGCTAATGACCACCGCTTACAGTGCACTGCCACCCCCTAGAGCCACTGTGGCTCGCTGCCCTTCAACTCCCGTGTTGAACTTTCATGGCACCGAAATGTTGGTTGGGTTTTGGACTAGAGAAGATATTTCACTATAGGTACGTAAGAAGGGCAAATATTTGCTTATAAGAGCGTATACACTTGCGACTGCGTTGATATATCCTAAAAATAGCAATGAGTACCACACAACGTTGTTGGGGGTTGCATGTGCAGTGCTGCGGCGCAGCGCCACCGCGTCACTGGCTTTGGAGACCCCGACAATCAATCAGCTCCACCAGCATCAGTCAGCTGCCATTTGGAACTCATAAGCAGACCTCTGGCCTGCCGCCTGCGCTTCTCTCAGGCTGATTTCCTGCATCCCGACCAAGCTGTCTATGTCCAAACCACCATACCAAGCCGAAATGCCTTCTCAAACGGCTCCTGTACCCTATTTCGACCGTCTTCCAGATGAGATCCTTCAGAAGATTCTGAACCATGCCATGGAGCGGGATACTCCCTTCTTCCCAGAAGCCTGCGCTCAGATGTTCAAGAAGCGACCTCGCCAGCTACTCAGCGACAGATCCGGACTGTGGGCGGCTGGCTGGACTGGCGATGCTTTGCGAAACCACGCAGCAATGCAGCTAGCCACCGGCCTCCCAGCGTCGCAGTCCGTCCACTTTTGCGATTGGCTGATCATCAACTCGACCAACCGCCGTTTTCGACGGCTGGGGAAGGAGTCGTTCTTCGCCTCCAAGACCTTCGCCATGAGTCCCAACCTCCCCGGCGGCCTCGTTTCGCTCCTCATCTTCAAGGACCCCTTAGACTGCGAGCTCGCGCTACGTTATATCCGGTCCATCATTCTGGTGGGCGTGACGACGCACACCGCGACGAACTGGCTTCAGCTGCCAAAGATCATGCGCACTTTTTCCAGGCTGCAGGAAACGGCTGTCTTGCTTGGCTATAGGAAGGGTGAAGATGTGTCTCTGATCATTAAAGCCAAGAGGATTGACAATCCCCCTGAGTTGAATCAGCTGCTCGTCGATATTGGGGTGGATCGTTGTTTGGTGCCCGGGATTATGCTCTGTAAAGATCTTGAGTGGATGGATTATGCGAATGACTTGGTAACGAATATCTATCCATCTCTCAGGGCCAGAGCGGGCATCATGGCGAGAATACGAGATTCTCAGATAGGGACTGGGTAGAATACCACTCTATACTCAGTCAGCGGAATAGAAGCAGAAGCAATACCTGTCGACATGCCATGCTTCATGATCTCGTTTCACGTCAAGGAACCAGAGAACCTAAGGTAGAAGCTACTAGTCATGACCCCCCGACTACGCAGTTTGTGCCGGCCAGGCAGCACTATACATACTCAGTGTTCGCCAGAATGTCACCCTTCCACGTACATATAGCACGACGAGAACTGTACGTGAGGGACATACGACGATCGAGAAGATAGTGAATTCGTCAATATAGAAAAAGGGTATCATGAGACGAGATCTATCATCTAAGCGCAATCATCCTGCCAGCGTTGGCTAGATGAAAGGTAATAATAACAACCCGAATCCACATGGGGATACAAGTCAGTAGGTAGTACGTTGCAGACAAAAGGATTCCCAAGATGACCAACAGAATTGGCCGCACGTTACGCTTGGCTTTCTTCTGAGTATGCTTCTAGCAATCTCCGCCCCAGCCGAGCTGCCGATTCACTTCGTTCATGGCAAATATACCAGCCCTGAAGAGACCCACAGCGCCATCGACCGTTTCGTTGCCAGAGTTGAAGGTAGCCTGAGCCTCGGCCTCTCTTCGCAGGTCTTCCTGGTCAAGCACCTTCTGTCTCTTCTCCAAGACAGCCTTGCATATAGCTCGTCCCCACATGTTGTACCACTGGTCCTCGCTGATGCTGACGTATTCCTTGTTGCCACCCTCGCCCATTCTTGAGTATGGCCACTCGGCTACGGCGACCTCCCACCGCTTCGTTCGCAGATAGAGGTAGGGCCAGGTGAAGATGAACAACAGCGTGAGCGTGCACAGCCACTGTATCCACGTCGTGAAGCGCCATCGGTTAAGCTTCGCGTTGTTGTAGAAATCCATCTGAGCGTCCTTGGTGACAACCCGAACCTGCAGATGACCGCGGTAGTTCGTGCCGCGCACCATTGTCTCCAGGCGCGCCTTGACAGTCTCTTCATCAAATCCCACCATTCGCCGCTGCAGGGTGAATACCTTCAATCCAGCATGACTGGCGGCGTACCGATGACACCACTCCTGAAGGGTCGGTTTCGGTTCGTTACCCACCTCAATACTCTGATTGGAGCCTGGCGCGCGTTTTTGGAAGACGGTTCCACGCCGTGCCTTCTCCCCATTGTCGACAGTACGCATGTGAGTCCAGGACTTGCGGTACTGTGCGTCTGAGTATAGATAGGGCGTAAGCTCCACCGAGACATCGAAGTCAGTGATGGTCTTTTTTTCGGTTTTTCCCTTGCTGTCCTTGGTCGTCTGCGAGTGTGTGCCCACAATCGTAATGTACGGGCGTGGCGGAACGGTGGCAAGGCGGCGAACAAACTGTTCGAGAGTGGTGGGATTCTCGAGAGTCTTCGTCACCCAGGACTGAGCACCAGTATTGAGGTCCGTGATGAATTTCGCGCCTGGCTCGCCTGGACGGGCCCTCGCGGTGACCATGTCTCCAGCTACTTCGTGCTGGTGAGGGAGCATCGGAGCGCCCTCGGACGATTCGAACGCATCATCGTAGGTCGGCGGCAGATCATCGATAGAAAGCTCGGGCGCGTCGTCGTCGATGTACATGGAACTCTCGCCAGGATTCGTGTGCAGTGAGACGGAGTCGGCCGCAGCCTCAGCGGCAGAGGGTTTGCCCATGGTGTCGAAAACCACGCGAGTCACGGAGGATTATGAATGAAAGTGTTGAGTGAGGATCGACGCTGAAATGAAGACAGTCTTGGGGTCGTTGGTGTTCGAGCAGCAAAAGCTGAAGTCAGGCAGACGGTCCCAGGCAGCCGGGCACAGCCTCACGCCCCACATAAGCAGCCAATGTTTATGTAAAGTGCCCCGGTTCAAGGTTGCCCTCGATATCGTATCAATGCATAAGTTAGCGTTGCCCCTTTTCTTATCCCCTATGCAAACCAAGTGGGTCCTTGTGTTTCCCTCTTGCTGTGTTGACACCGCCTCAACAAGTCGAGATGCAGGGGAAGCATTCAGTATCCATGTACCAAAGTTGGTGCAGATCGGGGGCACACGCGAGTACCTGCCTTGTAGGCGACAGGCAGAGCCTCGGTTCGCAATAAGGCTTCTTGTCTTTACGTACGCGCATACGGGAACTGTGTTACCTACCCATCGTGGTACACGGCAGTCAACCCCGCCCTCTCACGACGCAGGTGTGGTACTGTACACCCTGACACCAGCACACAAACACAGGTAGTCATGATCGCGAAGCAGCATCACCAAAGGGCGCGGATATACCGGGATCTCATTGGCCCAGCCCCTCAGCACCAGACTTTCGGGTAAAGATGGTAGTATTCCACGGCTGGTCAGTGGTCAGGCGGTCGTACCGCTGGTGAATAAAATAAAAATCACTCCCATGGAGCACTGGCAGTGCTTTCGCTGTCTCTCGGAATCCGGGGGGATAAACAGCATACTCTTCTCCTACCTCGACAAGGACACAGGGCCAGCATGGCTCACCCAGACCGCCGGACAACATGAGCACGACAGTGAAGCCTGCCTTCACATTGACAGTCCCTCAAGTTACTAACGACTTCAACGGCATACCTCCGCTGCTCACTGTGTTCACTCCTCTGAGCTACTGCAGCACTCAATATTACTACGATGCCCATGTTTCGGGTACTGTCTGGGTCGACAAGGCCCACGACCCGGGTATCTCTTCATGTCGCCCGTTCCAGAACGTTCTCTATATATACAAGCCTGGAGTTTGTCCCAGTGGACAGGAGTTCAAGCTAGTGAACGCGATCGTTGAAGAGACGACGGCGACGAGTTCTCAAACCATTTACGAGGGGTTTTGTTGCAGCTCGTGGGTGTCCCAGTCTCGATTCCCAATACCGTACCAGGTAGCTGATACCACCGTTTCTACAGCGATTTTCGCATCTACTCGGACATTAGAGCTGCGGGTTCTCCCAGTTGCATCGCCGATCTTACTGCGCCGGTCACCGCGACCATTGCAGGCACAGATGAGGACTCAACGACCGTGCTGATTAGGTCTCCGTCACAGCGGTAGTTGACCCAGTCCAAATTTACTGGTCTGCCGATGACCTTAGTCAGTTCGATGCGCCATTGGCAGCATCATTGCGTGCTGCGATGGGACTTCCGCCGGCTACAGCCACCACATCATCAAGCAATCTGGGGTCAGTCTCATCCGTGGCCATGACAACATCGGGTACGACAATGTCAGGGTCAGGACAGCCTCAATCTTCAACTTCGTCAGTTGACACTGAGGAGTGGCATTCAAATTCCTCGCTGTCCAAAGGAGCCATAGCGGGAATAAGCATCGGCGCAGTTCTGGCTGCAGCGGCTTTCGGCGGACTGGGTTACTTCGCCAGCAAGCATCGGTTCAACGGCGGCAGAGCTGACAGGGCTTCCTCGGAGCCTAGCCATACTATTGGCTCCGCGTCGCAAGCAGGAAGAAGTCGCTACAGTTGGATACATCGGTGGAGGAAGAATACCGTTCCCGATATACCCGAAATGGAAGCAGGTCAGAATATTCATAAACACTTCAGTGGCGGGGCCTGGAGAGCCGAATTGCACAGCACGCACTCGCGGAATCCAAGTGATGGAACACAGGTTGATCCCAGACAGCCATTTCTCTGGTTCGACTGTCGTTGGGTCTGCGTCGATGGAGCTAGAGGGCTCTGTGCCGACTCACCCAGAGCCAATCCCAGAAGGACAGGAAGAGGCATGTCAGAACCAAGACAGTCAACCTTGTGGGCGGGTATGACAAACAATGATGGGCGTACCCATGGACTATGTCAGAGACAAGTAGAATGCAACTGCGCAGGCCTAGCTGCTTCTTCATTCATGCTGGGTTCGCCTTTTGTACCAAATTGACAGCTTCCTTTGCCACGGTTCCAGCGATGCGATGCGATGTATGTCAGGGATATGCGACCTGATCAGCGACAATGTGCATTGACGAACTATTTCTACACGCAAGGAGACGGGACACGGATAAAGTTTGTGCGACTTCCTTCGCCCTTGCTCGGATGTAGAGCAGATGCGGGACTCGACCGATATACCCAGTCGCACCGAGGCCCCCAGGGAGACTATGATCTGATGCGTGGCTGGTTGCAGGCCTATATTATGTCGCAGGTTGATGCTAGGGCATATAAGAGCGGGGCAGAGTTCAAGTCCCTGATCTCCCCAAGGACATCCGTTACTCGATCATGGACTCCACGATTGAGGCAGTGATCATCAAAGGCGGCGCGAATGGAATCGGCCTAGCCGTCGCGCAGACACTGGCCGCCAGCGGCGGATGGGATATCTACCTCATCGACATGGACCAACAAGGCGGAGAAGCAGCCGCCGTCTCCGTTCCCGCTACATTCCATATGGTCGACGTACACCGAAGCAGAAGGACAGCTTATGAGAATCAATTTGGAGACGTCACAGGCAGGTACCACGCCATTGACAGGATGAGTTTCCAGGATGTGCTACTTCCTGGGTGTGATGCGATGGATATATGGGTGAATACATGTTCGGTACTCGCCGGCAACGAGGACTATGGTGCGCGGCACAGATGAACACTGATTATCCGCATGCATAGATCAGTTGGCCAATCACGAGATATGGAGCGAATCTACGTGACAGACCAGTCCGTGACGTGGTCCGATCTGTATGTCACAGAACATACGTCTGATCGAGTAACCCAAAGACAAAGGGGTGCGGTACGTCGGTGAATCATCAACGTAGTTATAAGATACGAGGTCGCACATTTGCCGAGCCCGTCAACGTCTTCAACTGGTAGTTCGATCCCTGTGCCCACTTCAATCCTCAACTCGATCCAAGCTCATATGTAGAAGACATTGCGGCGAACCACCGAAACAGGCAAGCATGGCAGCCGCGCAGACCCTTCCGCTGATCACGACCATCGCCGACTATGTCAGTCCATGTCAAAACCCACGTATGCCCATACCATACCAGCCTCTCACCACGGTCTTCACCCCTCCGGCAGCATGCGCGACGAGTTGGGTCTTTGAGAACGGAGCTGAGGGAACAGTATGGGGCAATCAGGAATACATACCCGATTCGACTAACTGTCTTCCGAATCATGGGCACCAAACAGCGTTTGGCCCAGGAATCTGTGGGAGCGGGCTTGAGCTCAAGCAAGTCACCAAGATCCTTGAGAATGCGAAGGACGCGAACCAAGCTAGATGGCACGGCCTATGCTGTAGCAGGTGAGTTCCGTCGCATACCGTCATGGGAGCCGATAGCTGACAGGTCGCAGCAACTTTCATGTGGGAAGTTCGAATACTGATGGTGGCACGGTGTTCTCCTGCATTGGATCGTTCCCAGCCCCTTTTACAGCCCTGGCAATGAGCGGCCATGACGCGACTGGTGGCGTTATGTTCTCCAAGACTGTTCTGACCACTGATGTGCTTGCTGTATCCGATCTCCTCGAGGTTTACTGGCGAGAAGAGGAGCTCACCCTTTTCCCGGCTGATCACCAGTCTATTCTTCGAGGGGTGATGGGGATACCGGCCACGACGACGACGACGACGACGACGACGACTACTACGACGATGGCGGCGACACCGACAGCGATAATTGCGAGAACGGTGACAATGGCAAGTACGACGGCAAAGGCGAGCGGAATTGCGGGATCTGTCGGCTCCGAACCATCAACCATCAGAACTGCACATGGCCCAGCAACCTCCGTGACCAGAGCGAAACAGCCATCGCCAATTCTGAATGGACCAGCACATGCAGCTGCAAGCAAATCATCAATCCCAGTCACGAGCGAATCGTCAGTCCCAACTGCAAGCGAGTCGGCATCTCCAAAGACGAACCGGCATCTCCAAAGACGAACCGGCATCAGCAGTTGGAAGCGAGTCTGAGATACATACTGTAGACAAATCGGCATCAGCAACTGGGAGTGAAACAGGGTTTCAGACTGGAGACGACTCGGCGACAGCAACTGAAAGCGAGTCGGATTTCCATACTGTAGATGAATCAGCATCACCGACTGGAAGCGGCTTGTACTTCCACACTATAGATGCCACATCATCTCCAACAACTACAGGGCCCATTGCGATCGAGGACCAGTCGACTTCGTCAGCGCAGATGTCTAAAGGAAGCATTACCGCTATCGGCATTCTCGTACCTACAACTGTCCTACTCGCGCTCTTCTTCGCAGCACGTCGTTTTCAGCAGAGGAAGACCCGAGAGAAGTACGTCGGTCTTGACGATCCTCCGGACAACGAGAAAGGTTCACGTCGCTGGTATGATGACACAGCCCCGTATGCGCCTAGCCCGCGAAGACACAACGGCGCCGAGAAGGGTCGGGCGCGCCCTGTCAGGATACACGAGCTGGGCGACAACATTCGACACGAACTGCCGGCGCCGGTCCCCTACGGCTTACGCTCGGTCCGCAAAGGGCCAACAGCGGGACCAAGAGCAGCTTCCGCCGCGTCCGAGAAAGAAGAAACAGGATACGCTGTCTATAATCCCTGAGGAGGACGAGACTGGGCATAGCTCGCGCAAGCCGCCGGCGGGACGATCTGGGGGCGGTAATCGGGCGCATAATAGAAACTACCGGCATTAATGCATAAAGTCTGTAGAGATATGGGAGGTTAGAGTTCGATTAAGTAATAGAGCATGCTTGGTAATATTCCTATAGTGGGAGATGAGTCTGATGAACCAGGTGGATTTGGCTCCTGTCACATCGAGAGGATGTCAAACCAACCTCTAATTCCATGTTCCGATATCATTCAACTCAACACCCTTATTTCTCTTCATCTAGAACATTAAGTGGGAACGTATCGCGAATGCAGCGCATAGCACCCGTCTCCTGCTCCGTACTAGCACAAAATCACGTCGTGAATCTGCGTAAACCGGAGTTTCCCAGTTCGGCAACCAAAGTGGCATATGGCGGATCTTATTGATGACGTAGAGCGTCGCATTGGAATATGACATGGCTTGACGACAAGGATGTCTGCCGCTTCCGTCGTGGTAGTCAGCCGGCTATCTGTAGAATGTAGGCAGGACGTGAAGAATATAAAATCAGTTGTGCGTATTGTGATCCGGTCGGCGCATGTGGTGTTTGACACATGCAGAAGTTGGTGATAGCACCAGCCACAATGCACGCGCCACGGTTCAGCCACTGCTCATCCACCCCCAAGCTATTAATCTCAACCCCTGAACGTGTCGGCCAATAGCCGCAGCCCAGGGAGCGGCTTTCAATGGGGCTTGTGGGCTCACGCTAAAACCTGTTACAGCGTACTACGTCACACGTCATGGACCGGGATTTCTTTCCGTTGGGGGCAGCTCCGGGTCAATCCCACCCAATTTGATTGACCAGTGAGTCGGGTCGTTCGATGTTCTCAATTCAATGACAATTCCAATTCCTGCACTGCCTCAACCGCCCAGGCGTTGGAGACTTGGAGTGACGTGGGCCACGACATCAACACCCATCTCGGCCAGTCAAGACGACGTCCATGATCCATTGCTCCGTCCCTACCCAAGTCCGTTTGTGCGGTCATCTTCTGTAATCCATAGTTGTATCCGCCCATTCTATCTCCCTTCGACGTTCATATTCTTCCCTCCGTCCTTTTGCTCTCTGCATCGCTAGCACGGGACCTACGCTTAGTTAGGCCCATCAACGACGCTCAACGCGGTCAACACCCCGTATTTTCTATACCGCAACAGCAGCATTCAGGCTGGACATACATCAGCGATGCAGGACATCACGAAGTCTGGCCGTCCCGCAACGGCCTCCGACCATGACCTGCCTCTAGACACCGACGCAACCGCTGTCGATGCTGCACTGCTGCCACCGCCACCAACATTATTGGCTGACCAGCGAAGAACGCAGAGCGCGCCCGACGCCGTGCCCGTGGATCCCAAGGTCCGACTCGAGGACGCGTCCCCATTACAATCATCGACACAGTCCATCCCCAAGCTGCCTACGACGCGAAAGAGCCTGTCGGACGCACGACCGGATGAGAAGGGCAGACACAGTGAACAGTTCGACAGGCGTTACGATGGACCTTTTGGTCGCCCGAGCCTGGTTATGGGCCGCCGGCCCAGTATAGCCCTGAGTGTGATTCCTGAGCCTGAGCGAACCCACGTCATGGACGACAACGAGGCCGTCACCGATCGAGGGACTGTGCCCTTCCAGCCTCGGCCCCCGCCGCTCAACTACACCCTCCGAACACGCAAGGCCGCCATATTCTATTTCTGGAGCATAACCGTCTTCGACACCGTCGTTTGTCCCCTTGTGTTGTATTTCGGACTGTGGTATGGTGTCGGGCCGGGAAATCCGGACAACCAGAAACTGAGCGCCAATACTGTTTTCAGTATTGTGACTGCCGCCATTGGAGGTGCAGCTATCTTTGAGTACTTCCTCAGGGGCTGGAGACTGTGGAGAAAAAACAGCACTTGTCGCGTAAGTTGCTCGGCGGCCCTACCCCTAAGCGGGGACGGGATTCAATAACCGAGTTTGACTGACGGTGTTACAGGCTATCGGTGCCACAGAACAGAGATGGCTTTTTGATTGGTTTCACTGGTGGTACACCGCCGCCTGGGTTATCGTCATGATTGAGTTGATTATGTAAGTTCTTCCCGATTGTTTCACCGCGTTCGAGGCAAAATCTGATCATCCCGTAGTGGTTCGGTTCAAGAAGATCCGTTTATCCGGCTCCTTGCCATGCCGCTCGCTACGATGCTATATGTCTTCGGCACCCTGCTCCTCGTCATCGACGTCTGCCGATACTTCCACGTACCGGCACCAGTGCGCCTATCGTCGGTCCCTCGCGGCTCACAATTGCGGCCCGGCATCTATCCGCTCATCGAAGATATATGTGCCGTTGATGGAAGCGGCGGGACCGATTTCCGAATCGCCTTGGACAAGCGGTATGAGGCAAGCCACGTCTTCCGGACCATGCTGAGGAGACTGGGCATCTTCTGGGCGGTTGGCTCAGAAGGGTGTGCCGTCATGATGACCATCCTCATATTCAGCCTCAACAACACGGACATTGCCTATGCGATAGGCTGGGGCGTCCCTTTCGTATGGGCGGGTATATGGGCCGCGGCTACGACGTGGTATGTGTCGCGGGAGCTGAAGAAAGAGGAGACCCTATGGAAGGAGAAGATATCAAAGACTCAGATGGAAACGGCATAAACAACAATACCATGTAGGGAATAATTTTCCCCTAGTAGACTACTAGAGTACATTTGCAATACCTTACCTTCCAATCTATGTCTCTCATGGTCAGTCCGACGGACTGTCTGTCCGCGATCCGGTCAGAATATGCTGAGCCCTCATCAGTCTACATAAACCCGTCTAGCCAACGAACGTATATCTTAGTGTGATTGGAATACGCACACTGGGATAAGCATTACAAGTAGCGTATGAAGCTTTCTTTAATTGCTGACGTGTGACCTGGAACTTTTCAACATGCACGCTTGGAGACTTAATAGGAGTGAGTATATACACGTGGAAAACTAGAAATACTTGAATAAGCAGACAGAAATAAGCAGCTCTGATGTAATACGCCACTTCTAATGCTCATTCTGATTTGATGAGTATAACTCTGTTTGCTAGACGGGTATGAAGACTTATGAGGTTTCGTGTATATGGAGACCTTTAAAGGTCCAGTACAGAAACTTCTCTACGCCTAAGCGTATCGACTGGTTTGCAAGTCCCAGATTCGCTTCGTGGTTGATTAGCGCTGCAGATTATGGACTGGTCGGCAGCCGATAGTCGTCCAAGGATGAGACGTGTAATCTCCAACATACAGTCGTCATGTTGAACTGTAAGGTCCAGCGCGTGGGGATGATCTGCTGCAAGAGACGCGCCTGCATATATCAAACGTCGGCAACAATGAGAAGAACGGTGGAACGCTGCCCATTGTAGAGGCCGAAGTCCATAATAGTCATCTCTTGAGTCGATGTCCGCGTGATGTTCAAGGAGAATGCCCACGACTTCAAGATTGTCATCTCGGGTGACGGCCATGTGAAGAGGTGTCGCGCAACCATACCTAGAATTGGCACTCATTCCAGAAGAGCGGAGACAACAGCAGCCGCTCCCATATGAGCAGCGGTATAGAGTTCTGGAGCATTGTCCCATTCTTGGTTGAAAGGTGCGGTTGAATCTTGCACCAGCCAGACAGCCACCTCAATTTGGCCAGTGAATATAGCCGATGTCAGTGCAGTGCAGTCCACAGGGTTCAGGTAATAGCCCTGCCAGCCTTCTCCGTAACATTTAGGAAAGCGTTCGGGAAGTTTTGATCGAACCCATTCGACCATGTCCAAATCGCCAACAAAGAGGAAGGACCCCAGTACGGAACCTGATTCGACCAGTTTTTGCACGATCCGAAGACAGCCACGAGACACTGCGAGTTGGATTGGTGTTGCCCAATTGTGATCTTTGGCCTGGAGGTGATCCGGCCAATGTCTCACCGCGAGGTCGATGCATTTCAGTGCTGTGGCTTCTCTTCCCGTGTCGGCAGCTGCAGTCTCGATAGCCCAATGCAGTAACGGTTGAGGGGCCGGTAGAGCGTCTCGGGCCGCGAGACGGTTCTCCTCGAGTTCAGTGGGATCCTCGATGCCCCAGGTGTGCGTGTCATCTTCAACATCGAACCCGAAACCGGCAATGCGATCTCGGTTCCAGATCTCTCGCTCTTTGGTGAAGTAGATATCGGTAATGAGGATCTTAGTAGCGAGCACTTGATGCATTCTTCGGCACGTCTTGGACAGATTCAAGACGTCCAGAGGGTCGAGGAGGAAATGCTTCGCGGTGTGCCAGAAGACATCGTCGCATAGCCATTGCTCGGTAGAGGATGCCATCGTGCCAGGCGGAAGGTGGATGGAAGGTACAAGACAGGGGAGGGGAGAGAGGAATTCGGAGTGATTGAGGTGTGAGGTAAGTGGTTGAGACGATAACCTGCAGTGGGATAAGCAGCGGTTTGGTGCTTATTCCAGTGAATTGTGCCTGGATAAAACTGCTTATGCCAGATGCTCAAGCCAATACTGAGGTAGGTGGTATCTCGTGCGGATGGACCAGGCAGTCAACGAGTGGAGGGGTGATGTGATGGTGATGCGGGTCGTGGAAATTGGCGCACCTTCTCAATCCTGTTGCTGAAAGTTGAGGTGATCATGAGAGAAGGCGCGGTGCGTGTTCTACACGTGTGGGTGCCTTCCAATCAGTGTCCCTGGTGGTTCATCGAAGGAACTGAGGAAGGAGGTCAGACGTGGTAAAACTGAGAGGTGAAGGGAAGGTGCCTTCCAAGGTGAGGAAACATTCCAACGTACCGAGCACAATGAGGTCAGAAAGGAGTCTGATCAGAAGAGACTGGGCAGGCACAGAGCGCCCGGACACCATGGAGGTCGCTGAGGTACGTACCTGCATGTGGTTCAACCTTGGTCTCATACATGTGTGAGCCCCTTAGGCGCCCAGGCTGGAAGTATCTACTGCAACTTATACTCATTTGTACTGCTGTTTTGAGCCGACAAATACATGGCGCCTACATTGTCCACTCCTGAAGCCAAGCACAGTGTGTTGGGCGTTAGGCCTCCAGGAAACACCTGGCTGCCCCTATCTGTATTCAGAATCATGCCACCGCCAACCTCGCCGCATGTGCTGAACTAGTATCCCGGGCGCTGGATCTGATCGGGAGAGAAGGCTTTTTCGCAATCCCAGTCTCGTGAAAGTGATATTGAAGGACCACTCCCTAACAATGTATTGCCAGCCTCCTGTCCATCACCCGGCTCATCGCTTGTCTGGCAGCATGTGTTCTTCTTTCATGCCATATTCCCCATCTTTAAGACTTCTTAGCTGCGGTGTTCAGCCCGGGATTCCTGGAGCTAGCGAAACCTGCCGTCGTGAAAAAAGCGGCTCCCCTGCCTTCGATGCGAATGGTCCTTGGGTTCCGCCGTTTCGCCCAAGTCGCTTTCGTGGCGATGCAAAATGGTTCAATTATCGTTAACAATGGCCTTCGATAAGGTCCCGGCGAAACCGGGAGTACGTAGATGTCACTTTCCGTAGGACTGCCGCAGAGCCTGGATATATGAAGATAATGATGCCATGTGCCGATAGCAAACCTCCTCCCTGGTGATTCCAGGGCAGTTCGTTTCTCCCGGGTGTGAGCGGCATATCGCCCATGGATGATCAGCCCAATTGATTTCGTTTTGTGCAGCGTGCTGAGTAAAAGACTTTACATGTCGATCGTAGAGCCGTGGTAAGTGTTTGCCGGCGAGTCTGAGCTTCCTTCATGATGATGTTGGGGGTTTTCAAGAACTAAGTCACCCAGCTCGGATTGTGCCGGTTCGGTGTATGAAGGAATCCGATACCGGTGCAGACCAGGCGGCGATGTATTGGGAAGCAAGTAGTGCACAATAACTCCAGGCTGCAGCGACGAGGTCAAACCGGTCGTAGTATGAGGTCTACGCGCTGACTTATTCGACACACGAGGGAGATGCCTCTGGCATACTCGGTGCCAGTCTGACTATTACTCGAGTCTACGAAGGTCGATAACAGCCAATGACGCTGTCTACCATACTGCGTTCCTATTTGAAGAGACGGCATCTTCAGGTACGAATCCCAGAGTGGCAGTTCAGCCCTAAAATAAGGGTAGTCGGTAGTCTTGTGTCAGCATTGAAGGGATTGTCAATCCCAGGCCAGGGGATAGGATAGTTCTCACAGCCCACGGGAACATCCCGAGCTTGATCCTAGGAACCCATCTGACGTATCGAAAGCTATCATATAACAGGGTCTGCTGAAACATAATGACTGGCTGACATTGTAGGATTCCACGGACCACGGTCGGGATCTCGTAAGACTATCACGCATCCTACAGGACCCCAAGTATTATTTATGTAAGAAGTCCCCTCAATCCTACTACGTTCTAGTGGAAACATACGAACATACGAGACCTGAATTCCCAGCCCTAATGACAAGGCTCTACGGTGGTAGGCGATCCGGCTGTCAGTCCTCGTGTCAAACACAGAGACTGACTAAAACATGGGGCAAGAGTATCGTACCGGTACTTTCTCGGTTACAATCCCGATTGGGCCCTCCAGCAGTTTTTGGCGACCGAAGAGTTACTAGCGAGGGTAGTTGTCAGCCTTACGTGATTCGAGCAGAATGTTCCAAGTTGGAACTTGTCTGCCTGGTGTCAACCTTGAAAGGATCTGTGGGATTGGGTTCCACACTCGTGTGACGCTCCTGGTGCGGCACGGCCATCGAACAAAAATAGGCATTCAGGGTCCATGATATCCACTCTTGACCCACTTGAGATCCTATGACACCTTGCGGGTAGGGTGATTGGTTAGCCTTGAGTCTTTTGGTGAAAGTTCCTTACTATTATTAAAGTGGCGCCGTCTTTGGAAGGGGCGCGAACCTCTAGATCCACAGTCGTGCCACTCTTGACCTCATGCTGGAATCAGAACGAAATCCACGGCTTCCATCTGGCACGTCATCTGGAATACGTGCCGCTATAGTTAATTCCTAGTCGGCACGATTGCAGCCATGGGCAGCCTTTTGTGTCGTCATCAGACTTGGAGCTCTATATAACCATTGGTGACGCCGCGGGTAGAACCAGGTCTCTATCTTCTTCACCGCCCATACATGTAACATCACACGCCACGCTACATGCTCCTTGCAGCCGCAAAGCCGCCCAAGCTTTGCCAGACGAGAAATATATCTCTTCACACTTCGACATAGTCTCCCGCCCACTCAAACTCCGAGCCTTCGCCAGAAAGACCAAGCTTCAATATCGCATATACGGGCCTGCAACATTCCACTTCTCTTCATCATGAGACTCGCAGCCGTTCCCTTCTTCCTCGTGCTCTCCGCCTCGATAGTCCTGGCCAAGGACAGGTGGTCCTGCGTCGTGACCTGTTGGGAACAGAACAACATCGTCAAGTTCCCCTTCTGCGGCCTCGAATGTTTGGGGAAAACTGCTGGGAAGGAGACCCAGGTTGCCGAAGGCACCGGCTCTACTGAAGGGGAGACCAAGGATGTCGAAGACACCCTCTCTCCTAAACAGGAGACCGAGTATATCAAAGGAAGCAAGACCTGCTTCGAACAATGCGATCACTTGGCTGAGAATGCTGATAGAGAGCCCTTCCATGAATGCTCCCATGAATGCACAAGAAAGAAGATGCTGGGTTATGGGGTAGATTTAGGCCAGTACACTGGTTGAAGGGCAAGCAAGGACGGCGGCTCTGATCGGAGGAAGGGGATGATTTGCCGGTGTTTTGTTCATGTATAATTGTATCTAGGGTGTTTTCTTTTCGTCGAAGGCATCGTGCTATTTTGGGATTATGTATTTGTAATGAAGTTGGCCTGCCGGCTCTAGGTTGCGTGCGCACGATTGAATTCACTGATGTGGTCGTTTACATTTGCCCTCGTGGACACCTTGCCTTATTACTAGCATGGGGTCAGAGGCTTCCGTTACCTCTCTACCGTGGCCTTCGTGGTAAGCAAGAGAGTATGTTGACCTTGGTCGATGTTCACCTTGCTCTTATAAAGTGTTCCTTTCCCCCCCTTTTCCACGATGCTGTGCGTGCGGGCGATTCTCGACATCTTACATCCCAAGATCCCGACAGTGCAAGTACGCTTCTATGTCTGGTGTAAAAGAATTAAAGGAAAGGAAAAGGAGTACATGAGCATACGCTACTATTATACTTCAAGGAGTCTCCTATCTGTCACGGTGTCATCGTCGTCTCCTAACCTTACATGGGCAGACGGGATTCTGGGAGAAATTCAGGAGATTTGGATAAATGAGGCTCAGCCGAGCGCGTCAGCTTCCACAGTGACCTGGGACCAGGTCCCCAAAAGCACTGTTAAGGAAGCCTGAGTTTTGCAACCCATCGCCTGCTTGGATACGAAAGAGCCAGCCGAGTGACTCACTGTCACCTCTTGACATATATCTCATTCGTTAACTGTTAGACGGCTTGGTAACGAAGCCTCAGGAGCCAGACCCGGAAAGACGGTTTTTACTCTATTTAGAGATCTATAGGTGTTCAATGTTCACTACGATCACCTTTTAGCATGATCCATGTGTAAGCTCCAGGGGAACACGATCACTTACGACGTCTATCCATCGGCCCATCCACTTGTCAACCGCGGATTTCGCCCCGTCAATCAAACCCAGTCCTGCAAGTCGGCGTTAGTATTAAATTTTGAACACCTCTCGAAGTTGGGGGACTTGCCGAGCAATAGTTGGACTGCACCCCTAACACCCGAATCCAAAGCGGAAGAGACCCAAGCATGCGTGTACGCAGTGTGTTCGTCGACGAATATGATCTGTGTTCCTCCCTCAGCCCACATGTATCTATCAAGGCAGTCGAAAACTACTCACGTTGCTGTGGAGTTTGAAATACCCCGGGATGTAAAGCTGGTGCTGCCCGAAGGTCGGACTGATCCAACCTCCGCCCTTGTACTCGTCGTTCTTCCAGCAGTGTGTCCGTCCACTGCTCGCAAGCGACCTCACCGTGGATCTCGACCATTGCGTCGACGATATAGTGAGCGTGTTCCATCTCGGGCATCGAGGACCAGGATTCCACCGTGTTGCCAGACGTGTACGACCCGAGGATGGTGGCGGGCCCCGTGCTGTTCAGGCAGTAGGAGGAGTAGTGGATGGTTCCGATGCCGTTGATATCAGTATTTGTCTGTCTACCGAAGATGGGGTTCTCAAAGTGCTATCGGAAGCGAGTCTAGTATTCCAGAGCCACCTTGCAGGCGCCACCAAACTCGACATTCTGTATGGCATTGCTGGTTGTGGTTCCAAGTTCTGCAATATTTAGCATCGTGACGTTGAGATTGGACTTCGGAGGGATTCACTTGGTAGCCGCATCTTCCTGAGCTGTGGAAGGGGGACGGCCAGGACGACGTAGTCGTTGTTCGCTTTTTGGTATTCCCGATCTGTATAGTGATGTCGCCATTGTAGGTTCAGCTTTCCGAAGTCTTCAACCCACTGGATTTGGTCGATCCTCGTATCCCATTGAGATAATGTTGTCAACCAGCTAGTGGAACGACAACGGCAATCGGTTGAGGCCTTCGTATAGGGTTAGCCGATGACTTGCCACTGTTGATGGTGGCAGCACATACCTACGTCGATGGTCTTCGAGGTGGTAGCACCTAAGTACAGAGATTCGTAGAGGACGTTCCAGAATGATCCTGGGCCGTCGCCTGCCGCGACCATATCGGTGTCGCTCAAGGAGTCACCGAGATAGTTCGCCAAGTATTCGTATGCAGACCACATATCGCCGCCTAAAGCCATTGAGTCCGTTCTCTGCTTCTTTGTCAGCAAACATGGCGTGACGGTTAGTGGCGCGCACCTACCGGGGAAGTCCTTATGTGCTTGGTGCATGTTCGTTGCAATCTCAATCATCGACGTCGCATTATCGAGGATGGGATCAAGCTTTGCCTGAAGTGCTAGCGTTGAGGCATCCTGCACGCTTGTGATGGCGAGCGAGGAGTTTTCCGCCACCTGCTTGATTGTCGGTGGTAACCCGGTGTCCAGTTTAAAGCCGTTGTGGTAATAAACCCGTTCTGGTTGCTCTGGATCCAAGGTATGAAGTCGTCGCTCAGATTCTGGCGTGGCTGTTGAGCTGGTTCATCTCAGCGGCGAGTTGAAAGACCATCTGATGATCCGTGATGTTGTAGGTCTCGTTCCTGTTGGTGTAAGTCTCCGGGAGTGCATTGGGCCCATCACCTGGTATGAGTATTCGAAGGGGCCGCCAGTCAAATTCCCAGTGTGGACACGGCAACCCAGTCTCTCGCTAGCCTCGATGATGCAGAGATTCGTAAGGCCGGATTGGTGCAGAATGAGAAAAGTCAGCACACCGGCGCCGGCGATGGCAACCCCTTTGGACTTGGCCTTTTTAACGTCAATGGGGCCCATATCCTTGCCCTCGGATAATCGACGCCGTCAAACCACGGCCCCAACACGTCGATGCCGGTGGAGTTGTCCACGGGTATGCTGTAAGGGCCCCTTTTGCTCAAGCCTCTCTTGCGCAGACTGTGCTGTTGTGTATTGCTTCGGCAACCAGTGTCCCTTGCGAGTTCCAGGCAGAGAGGCAAGGGGAGATTTTACGTCCGGAGGTTTGGCATCAGCGCCGCTCCGGGGACCCCTGATCAGTAGGACAACAATAGCACTCAAGCACCGACCACTGTGGACCGACAGAGTCACCACAAAGGGGACCGAGACTAATGCGGACATCGGGACCAGCACCTACACCCCTGTCGGACTATCACTCGATACTCATCGGCGCCAGCATGCATTGATTCTCTCTCGGGCCCGTCGCCGCCCAGGCTCTGTCTGTGTGTCCCCTTTCCCTCCCAATCACGCTAGAGACGAAGTCCATGTTCAATTCATGGCTGGCCAATGTTCATGTGTCCGTTGACGGCTAAGTCAAAGGACCTATAGAGTATACCTGTGGCCCCTGTTCGCAAATACGGGCCTCGTGACGCTCACCATGTGGTCGGCCGAAGCACGAATGCGAGCTCGTCTCGTCTCGTTTGGGTCATGCCTGAAGATGTCGAGGCCGGTGGAGAACCAGAAAATGGAGAGAGCCGCCCTGCCTGAGCCTGTGTAACACTTATAGGAGATAGGGTCACCACACCACTTGACAAGCACCTACATTGTGACGCCAACCCTCCCAATCGTTTTGACCTGACCAATCGGCCGAGGTCCGCGAAAGAACTGCCGTTCGGCGACTGGCCGGATCTGCAAACATTGAAGCCATGAATAGCCAGGGTTGGATACGAAGTGCTTTTTTTTCATTCGGAAAGTAGCACCGGTACTGTGGGTTGTGAGGTGTTGGCCATGCTGGTCTATAGAGTAATGTCGCCATGCTGTACCGTATACCCTTGTTGTGAGCCGTTGAAGACAGGCATGAATGCTGCGGTTTATGTCCATCAGATGTGCTTCGGCACACTTCATGGGATCACATAGTTCAAGGACCCATCATATAACCATCTTCACGACAGCTGCTCGTTTGCTAAAACGCCCAGCCCGTGGCGTCGAATCTGATCCCAGACGGACGCAAAGCCGAGAAGTGAATGATACCATTAGGGAACGAGCTGATAGTGTCGTAGATCGAAGATCGTAGATGGCTAGATGGCGACTCGACTGGTCTGCCTGTAATACACGTACGATGGTTTCGCGGCAGGGACATATTCAATTGCCCTCAGAGCGCACTCTTCAATCCGACGAACAGTGCTTCGCCTCGAGCCAGTATAACCCCCTTTTCATTCTCGATCGACCCCTCAGAGAAGTACTTCCTCCCCTCAACTCTGGTGATGGTCGCCCGTGCGAGAATGGTAGCCGAAGTCGGCACCGGCTTCAGGAAAGTCGTGTTCAGGTAGGCCGTCATATACACAGTCTTGGGAATTGATTTACGCTTCTGGTTGATGGGTATGAGCATACCAATGACCTCGTCGAGGATCGCCATCACCAGTCCGCCATGACACACGCCGGGATGGCCATTAAGACCGGCTCCCAGCGTCAGGAACGCTTTGATGTGATCTATACGCTCGTTGGGCGAGGGTAAGTCCTCGTATACCTCCAGCATGGCCGAGATCGCGGTCTGCGACTTCAAGGTCTCTGCGAAGAGGGTGTCCTCGGCGTTGCTCTTCGGCTGCCGGCTTCGTGGCTGCCCCGTGACGATGCGGGGCCTACGGAGGTGCTGGGCCCACCAGGGAATGGCGGCGAAGAGGGCGAAGTCCGACTCCGAATCCATCTTCGACATGTCCGCGAGCCGGTTGATGTGGGCTGAGTTGATGGGAGATGGGATGCGATAAATCTTATGCATTGGATGCCGGCAGCACATTGACAACACGCGACGTGTCTTGAGGTTCGCAGCTCGGCCCCGACTCGCCCGTCATCCCACTCTGAAGCGGTAAATTATGCAGCAGGGGTGGCTTATCGGTGATCCTGTCAGACCATCACATCCACGATCCTATCTGATGGCGAGGGATGACTTGGCGTGGGGTTTAGCGGTACAGTGTTCATCGCAGTCATTTGCCCCCGCCGGAGAATTTCATTGCATCAGCCGGTCGATGTAGATTGTCTCTTGCTAGGAGAGACCCCTCTCTTTGGACGATGGGTATTCAAACTCAGATGCCCTAAATCACTCCTATAATGTCGAAGACGCCTGAGAGCAAACGCCTATACCCTCTTATGGATACGAGACAAAGCTGAACTACGATTAGAGTATCTGCATCTATGCGCAGAGCTGAGTATAGATGCCTTGACTCACAGAATACTTAAAAAGAGAGGAGTGTAGGTAGCGACCAGCTGGGGACTAGGTAGTAACAACTGAAGTAGGTTTTCACGTAGCATTGGGCCATAGGCGCGACCCAGGATACGTACCTTATGATGATCGAGCTCCATGTTGAAACAAAAATTCTCGAAAGAGCAAGAAACTTTACCACAATATCTAAAAGAAGACCATCACTAGACCGACGAAAACGATCATCTGAATATACAGATGTCGGGAATTCTAAACGTTAGTGGCTCCATATACGGGAGTCTTCCTGGGTCCGTATTCCGCCAGCTAGGTGTGCGAAGAAATATACATCACTATACATTATGATCGACACTTTCCTACAGCGCTATGAAGAGCTCCATGTAATGGTCACCTGTTTTCTGTGATGGTATAAGATGTACCACTATATACGGACCTATTACCCCCCTAGCATATGGAGCCGCTAACGTTCACCATCGCGACATCTGTAGGTTCCTAAATGCTACCCCCAAAGCGCGAGAGAAAAGGGATGTTCTTCGAGTTGAGAGCTACCGAACGAGATGATCCGATCAATAGAAGAGGTAGTGGACAGGGACAGGTGGCCAAGGCGGACCTATGACCTTCGCGCCGTCGACCAAAGGTGCAGACTTCACACCAACTTCACATCTCTCTAGGGCATCCTTCGATACCACCCATCTTATTAAGTTCACAGTGCCCCTAAGCGGACAGTTATCTTGCAGACCATTTAAGTAATCACGCCGAGTGCGCGATTGAGGGCCACTTATTCATTACCACGTGCACCAAGAGATATTGTTATTGAAGCGCTGAACCTTAGTGATGTCCAGAGGGTTTACGGCTAGTACTTATATGATGGGCGGTGGTAAGAGTAAAGCCGCAATGAGTATGGCACTATAGGCATCTGGACGCAACCAGGAAGTCTGAACTATTCTGTTGTCCAGTGAGGAGTGTGCCCGTCGAGGCGGTCCGCGTAAGCGATGTGACCAGCTCTGCATACGGACCCCAATGGCACATCTGTGCTCGCCTAAGACCTAAGCGAGCCCGATCCTCCGGTGCGACGGTTATGCGATCGCCACGTTGTCCGCCTCGATCTGGATAAACAGGATCAATTAGTTGCCTCATCCCGTTGAATCCTTTGGATATGATCATGATTCACACAATTCGGTCAGTGAAGTTGCAACGAGTGTGAGTGAACCGGCTTTGATCGCGCTTCCGCATACGCCGAATGGTACTCTGGAGCATTGCTCTCAGAGTAGGGGGGACATCTCGTGCGATTGGTTAGGTAAGTATCAAGCTGCAAATTCTGGTAGCTGTCAGCGTATCATCTGCCAAGAAAGGCTGAGCCATCAGAGCAGCAAGATTAGCGAAACCATGGGCGCTTTCTCGGCGAAGGTGGGAAATCTTACATGATAGCCCTCATGTTATCAAGTAAGACGGCGGTAAGAACTCCGATCAGCGTCAACGCATCTGATATACACAACGTACTCTGACGATGAGTGGGATAGGGATATAGTTACAGTCAAACGATGTGTTGATATCGGTCCGCAAGGCGAATAAGAGGCTTGCTATAGCTCACACACTGCCTCAACCATCGTTAATGCCATGCTGGGTTCGGGGCCGAAGCCCAATCCTTCAACGTCTGTACTATATTACATCATCTTTACTTGTAGTCCCAGGCTCACACAGCACTTTTCGAGTCTAGGCACGTTTCCAATATGATTCTCATGCCTGATTGGCCGGAGCAGATCAGCGCGTGGTAGCGGGCAGGATCTTACTGCATGCAGACCATACAACCCTAGCTGACGGGTTTCATTTATAGAAATCCTTCAACCCAATCGCACGTTGACGTCGTCTTACCATATGCAGCTTGGGCAGCCCATCCAATCCTCCAACTATGCCTGATCTGATCCAGAACCTGCAAGGCTCTGACCTGGTGCGAAGTCAAAGATCAGCGTTTCCGTGCCTAAAACGGAGCAGCGCCCGAATGGAAGGAAGTCGTAGAGTATGATCCTCTGAAATCTTATGGGCTGAAGAGGTGGGTTCGTAGCTGCTGAGTGCACCTCCTATAACACGCTGCTGCCTCTCGCAAGCCCACTTCCATTCCCCAATACTCGGTCCTCCCCTGGATCCCACTTTTGTAACCCATCAGCCCGTCTCTCCTATTACAGGCCACCGGCGCCGCTGGATGGCCGAGTTGACTACGCCCAGCATGAACAGAAGGGCACCTGCCTCCGGCGACGATGGCCGAGGTCCCGGATTTGAGGCTTATGTCACGGTTATGGTCATCGTGACCGTGGCGGCCATAACACTGCGTTTCCTGTCCCGCAGTATTGCGTTACCCCAAAGGTCGTACCAGATCCAGCGCCGCCTCTGGTGGGATGACTGGCTGGCTCTAGCAGCCGTAGTAAGTTTTCCACTTCTCTCTTAAACAGCAATGACGCTGCTACAAGTTCTAACCATTACCACAGCCATTCATCCTAGGCCTCCTCGCCTCGGCTTACGTGCTGCTCCATTTCGGCCTCGGCCGTCACGCCGGGTCCCAACCACCACCAAACCTGCTGGTCATTCGAAACACGTTGTTTGCCGGGTATCTACTCTACTACGTCAGCCTGTACCTGACGAAAGCGTCGGCACTGTTATTCTTCAGCCGGGTCTTCCCCAAGCGCATAGCGGGCCAACGGTTCACTATCCTCTTATGGACAACACACGGCCTCAATACTGCTTGGCTCATAGGCACCATCATAGGGAGCTTTCTGGCCTGCCACCCCGTCGATAAACCTTGGAGCCCATCGGTGTCGGCTGGCTGCGACCCCTGTGCGTTATGGCATGGCAGTGCCATCTCCAGCGCCCTCATAGACCTGATTATACTTGTCCTGCCGCTGCCGATGATATGGAGCCTTCAGACCAGTCGAGCGAGGAAAGTGGGAATGACGATTGTTTTCGTCCTTGGCTATTTGTGAGCGGTTCCTAGTCCTTGTCATGAGCAGAGCTTGGATTCTGACAATCGTCGTTCACAGTGTCATCGTCGTGTCTATCGGTCGCCTCATTACCATCATGAAGTCTGCCGAGATTTTCACAAGTGACGTATCATGTGAGTTCCAGGCTGTGCCGGGCCCGCACGCCTACGTACCCTTCAGAAAGCTCTCTTTAACACTTCCCTAGACAAGGTCGTGACGGTCCTGTACTGGCAATGCGCAGAAGCGCCCATCAGCCTCCTGAGCATTTGTCTCCCTGCCATGCTGACACTTGGCCGACGCATATACACCTCCTACTTTTCGCCTCTAGCATCCAGAGTCTCCGAAATAATCTCCTCGCGGGGAAGTAGTCGCACCTCCAAAGCCAAGTCCGGCGACTTCACTGGAGCAACCGATGGCCGCCATCGTTACGTCCATCTACACCCAGAGAAGGATCCCAACAGGGTCCGAAACCCGACAGCCTATGACACAGAGAGCATCCCATCAGTTGACAGCAGGACTCAGATTATTCGGGACATGTCGGCGATACAGTATCCGTACACGGCTCGTGTACACGGTGGGGAGTCCAGAGGGGCGATGCAGAGCTACGTTCCAGATCAGGCTATTCGTGTGGACAGCGATATCACCATCCGCCATGATGGGTACTAGCAACACAAGCTGTGCTTGTGTACGTGCCATGAGTTGAGGAAGCGAATGCATTCTATGTACAGATTTACATGTCTTACCATGTGTGGTGCGTCGCGTCCAGACTTGATAGCGTGACGAAGCCATGCATGCCACGAATAACTAAGGGGTCAACTCTGTCTAAAACGGATCGTGGTTGGATCGTAGGAATTGCCCTCCATGTTCATACACCAAAACGAGATTGAAATAAGGCACAGCGGCCCCTGAGTAATAAGAGTGCTGAAGGATGCTGTGATTGATTGATTGATTGATTGTATTTAACGTGGGGGGTAGCTCCTCAGTAGTGCAAACCACGCCTTCCAGAGCCTCTGTATCGCAGGGTTGTGGAGGTCTCAAGATAATAAGTACAGTCAGTCCCGCTCACGAGCCCATCCCTATTGTTGCGGCTGTATGACTTTGGGGTCATCTATCTGGTCCTTTAAGAACAGCTATCTATTAAGGGCAGATTGATAAAAAGAACTTGCTCTTCTCAACAAATCTTGCCCATTCCGTGCTCCTCTCCCCCAAGTATTATAAACAGGCTGTCTTAAGAGAGTACCTGGGTAGTAGTCGGTTTTTCCCAAGCCTCTTACAAAAAAAAATGTGTTGTAGTGTTTTTTTCTCACCGCAGTTGTAGTGATCATTCGAGTATGTATGCCCAAAACATTCGTAATATCTAGCAAAGTCACCATGTCCAGATCTGGCTGCTAAAAGTCTGTATAAAGTGCTCCTTTTAAAAGATATAAGGTCCCTTTTAGTTATTGTATGTGAGTATACTTTTTGATATCTAGGTTCTGATTGGTCTTTTTACCATTGATTGAATTCTTTCTTGCCTTTTTTTTTGAGATCTCTCTTTACCCAAGAGATTATAGGAATGTGTCGTGTCTATTCTTAGTATAATACCCTCTTTTATTAGTGTGTTAGTAGCTTCATTGCTATTGATATCTCTGTGTCCAAGAATCTACTTGACGGTCATTCCAGGAGTGTGTGCTGTGACGAGTTCTTGGAATCGTAAAAAATGATCTGTGATGTCTCGGGTGGAGTCCCATTAAGCCCATCTACCACTGACGTGTTGTCCAGGCAGACATATAGCCATTTTCTGTGTCTAATTGCCCTGGCTGCTGTAAGACTATAAAGAGCGCCATGGACTTCAGCATCTATTATTTCTGCTTATAAAAGTCTGTCCTTTCCCTGATATACTTCTTGTGTAGTGCCGCCTTTCCTGATGGTGTAACCCCACCCAGTGCGGGTTGTGCCTTGGTCGTTTAACTATGATCTATCTGAGTAGATGACAAGGTCAGTGTTCATGTTTCTCTCCCGTAGCCATTACTTGAAGAGCTCTATTTTTTTGGTTTTTGTCCTTACGGATTGGGGGCTTTTTCCATGATGGCTTGGTGAGTTCTGGTTTCTGGAAGTCAGGGACTAATTGGAAGCTCCTTTGTAGCCTTGTTGGTTCCTTGCGAGCTTGTATTTGGAGCCTGCCAACAAGAGGGTGTCTCTGATTTATTCACCCTAGTCAGAGACCATGACGTCGTCTTATAAACTCAGCGGACCAGAGACACCCTCTTGTTGGCAGGCTCCAAATACAAGCTCGCAAGAATCCAACAAGGCTACAAAGGAGCTTCCAGCTAGTCCCTGACTTCCAGAGACCAACACTTACCAGGCCATCATGGAAGAAGCCCCCAATCCGCAAAGACAAAGACAAAGAAACAGAGCTCTTCAAGCAATGGCTACAGGAGAGAAACGCGAACACTGACCTTGTGTCACGGAACAGCTGGCAGCTCAGGGACGAAGATGCCCATCTATTACTCCAGATGAATAAGAATCTACTGGTGAGGAGGGAAGAAGGATCAGAACCACCAGCCAATTCTGGTGGGGGATTAGATCTTCAATCCCGCTCCACAATTATCCATAGCGAGTGCAGCGGGGCAACGCGTCCACCCCACCAGATCACCTGATGAGCGCACGTACCACCGTGAATGGATGGATGGATGTCAGATCCATCACACCTTGTCATCTATTCAGATGGATCATAGTTGGACGACCAAGGCACAACCCGCACTGGATGGGGTTATACCATCAGGAAAGGCGGCACTACACAAGAAATATACCGGGGAAAGGGCAGACTTCTCCAAACAGAAGTAATAGATGCTAAAGTCCATGGTGCTCTCTAAGGTCTTGCAGCAGCCAGGGCAATTGGACACAGAAAACGGCTATATGTCTGCCTGGACAACACATCAGTGGTAGATGGGCTTAATGGGACTCCACCCGAGACATCACAGATCATTTTTTATGATTCTAAGAACTCGTTACAGCACACACTCCTAGAATGACCGTCAAGTAGATTCTTGGACACAGAGATATCGATAGCAATAAAGCTACTAATACACTAACAAAAAAAGGTGTTATACTAGAAACAGACATGACACCTTCCTATAATCTCTTGGGTAAAGAGAGATCTCAAAAAGAAGGGCAAGAAATAATTCAATTAATAATAAAAAGACCAATCAGAACCTAGATATCAAAAAGTATACTCATATACAGTAATTAAAAGGGACCTTATATCTTTTAAAAGGAGCACTTTATACAGACTTTTAGCAGCCAGATCTGGACATGGTGACTTTGCTAGATATCATGAACGTTCTGGGCATACATACTCGAATGACCACTACAACTGCGGTGAGAAGAAAACACTACAACCCTTTTTTTTTTATAAGAGGCTTGGGAAAAACCGACTACTACCCAGGTACTCTCTTAAGACAGCCTGTTTATAATACTTGGGGGAGAGGAGCACGGAATGGGCAAGATTTGTTGAGAAGAGCAAGTTCTTTTTATCAATCTGCCCCTGATAGATAGCTGTTCTTAAAGGACCAGATAGATGTGTGAGGACCTGCTCCCAAGCAGCCCTTAACTGCCAGGACTGTGGTAGCCAATCGGAAGCTGGCTGTGGGGATCAGGCACAAGCAGAGCTCCACCTGCTCCTGGACTTGGTCACGCTTTTCGCAATGCATTGTTGGTCATTTCTTTCCTTTTCTCTTTAGCTTAGAATCTTCGTCTATAGCACCCAATGGACTGAGTTCGTCTCAATGCCTTGATCTGGTCGTGACACAATTCTAAGCTCTTCATTTCCTTGCTGGCGAAGCAAGTAAAATATCTCATCAAACCCCTTCTCGCATTCATTTGCAGTCACTGCGTCGGCTGTGCACGACAATAAACTAGGCTACAGAACAAAAACGAAAGAAAAAAAAAATCAAGTCATCGATGCCGAAGAAGATAGATCACGGCCCTCTGACACGACAGTCCACCCGCCTCTCTCAATAGAAAGACATCAGCGAACGGACGCCAGGAGAAACGAGTCCCAAGACCGAAGAGTTAGACAAAGACGTCCTCGTTACACCCTTGAGCCCAGCGCCAGAAGAGCCCGCTCAAGCCCTTAGCAACCCAGAGCCAGAAAAGCCTGTTGCCCCTCATCGCGACTCGGAGCAAGAAACACCCGTCGCCAGCAGCGAAGTCAAAGAATCCGATTACGATTCTGCTACCAAGAACTTTGAGGTCCATTCGAAGCCCAAGGTATTCCGTAAAAACTCTGCTACAATTTTCCCCTTGTCCCAGCCGCCTGACATGCCTGAGGACAACCTCAGCCCTACCCTCCAGCAGCTGATGGCTGAGATCGCCTCTCTAAAGGCCCAAGTCAGCGCTGGAACCCACAATGACAACGACCACCGCTCTCGCGAGATCACACCCGCAAACAGTGCCTTTGGCGGCACCGACTTCAAGCCCACCGGGTTTGCGGCCCTCCCCGTGTTTGCGCCTTTTGGCCAAGACCAGGATGCCCGCAACCCCCATTATGATAAAAAAGCTAGAGAGTCCCGACGCGAACCTGGCGTGTTCGCCGGAGAAAAGGACCTCTTCGACAAATAGATCATCAAGCTGGCCGATAAATGCGAGAAAGACGAAGAGACCTTCAAAAAAGAACGCAGCCGCATGGCTCTTATTTTCAACATGACAGGAGGACCTGCTAACGACTTTCTGGAGTCCCGCTACCAGTCGGTTCTTATGCCGTTCTAGAACACTGCTGAGATGGTCGCCACTCTTTCCGCCGTATACCACGATGCCAATTAAGCCTCTAAAGCTCGGGCTGAGCTAGCAAAGCTCAAGTATAACCCCTTTGACAAGGAAATGGACATCCACCAGTTTATCAGAAAGGTCAATAGCCTGGCAGACAAAGCAGGTATCGACAAGGACCTGCGTAAAACCACTCTCTATGAGCATATCCCTGCCGACCTCGACACCCGTCTGCTGAAGAATTCTAAGGACTCGCGCATCTCCTACGAAGATTTCACTGCTTCCGTTGCCGATATCGCCGTTGCTCGTCACCGTGCTCAGGAAGAGAGGAAGGAGCGCAAACTGACCCGCCGTGAGCCATCTCCCCCGGATACCAAACCCCGCCGCTGATCTCGCGGGTACCGCGAGCGCCGTGAGATCAAAAAGGAAGTCGAGACTACGACTGTGCCTGTCAAGGAGACTCCCTCTCTGTCAGAAAAAGAGAAGAACGCTCTCATGGACGCCGGACTCTATTTCTTGTGCAAGAAGCCTGGTCATCAGTCTCGTCATTGCCCCGATTGCAAGATTATCGCCAATATGCTCCAGGCATTTGACCACGAGGAATCTGACACACAATCATCGAGCATTGCTAAGAATACTCCTTCTGATTCTTCTTTTGATTCTGAAAACTAAAACGGCTGTCGGAAGTCTCCTCGATAGCCTACGTACCACGATTGGCGAAAGTTGGTAAATCATTAAAATTAAATATATTTACTAAATCTGTCAAGTTGTTAGTTAATGGCATTGGTCTTAAGACACACGCCCTTTGTGATACAGGAGCTGATATCTCTCTCTCAATGACCCCCAAGATGGCCGAGAAACTCGTCAATCGGGTAGGTGCCAAAATGGAGCGGTTGGACAAGCCCTTGATGTTGAGCGACTTTAACGGAGCAGCGACTGCTCGCGCAACACACCAGATTCGAGTCACCTTTGAGATTGACGGACGACAATTTGCTCGTCAGAAATTTATAATCATTCTTACCGCTAATAATGTCTTTATCGGACAAGATTGGTTAACCAAGCAAAATATGTGGATGCATCCTGCTTCCCACATGATCTGTTGGCCTGAAGATCGACCAGCTTTGGCCCAATATGCCCCAAGCATCTTAGTCGAGCATTCTTCACCTTCGCTCGATATGAAGGCACAAACTGATGTTTTCCGCCGTGACCGCTTGGTGACAGCTGAAGACCGACAATTAAAGGCTCGCAAGATCTTACAGAACCCTTGGCGATCGACATCACCAGCACCCTTGGTCGCAGCGATGTCCCCTATCGAAAGCAAGGCTTCAACCGGCAACAGCAACCTCACTGCCGGCATTTATACCATCCTTACAGACCCTCGTCAAGAGAGATGGAAGAAGCAACGGATGCCCCAGGTTGCTGTCTCGCTGGAACAACCCTCAACACATCCTTCGGTCAGCTTGAACGCTCTCACTGTCGATCCCAAGACCTGGAACAAGACTTTCGACAGAAAGCATATTCCATTCCCAGAAGGAGAGGACCCTGAACATATAGCCAAGGTACGATCGAAACTTCCACACGAGTTGGCCCATCTCGAAGGATTCTTCTCCAAGAAAGCCTCTACCTGTCACGGCGAGCGTACTGAGGAGCTGGGACATGGCCGGCAGCAAGCAGCTATTACTCTATTGACGAGAATATCAAGACTAGAGAGGAAAGGAAGAGAGAGAGAGAGATAGGTACAGTGAGAGGTTGCCCCTTTAAGGGGATCCTCTGGTCAGATCCTTCCCCTATTAGGAGGTATCCACTTGTCATGTGGGAAGGTCTGTGCAGGCCGCCACAGCCGTCACACTACCAAATTGCCGCCCAGCCGCCCCGGCTTTGATGTGATCCTTGAACTGGCAAAACCCTTGGAAGGAAAACCTTCACGATATCCTATACCGTTCGCTTTCCTTGCACTAGAAAAAGAAACTACCAATGAGCTACTAAAGATTAGATTCATTGAGCGCTGTATAGCCGACAAGCCTGCCCCTACGTTATTTGTACCCAAGCCTCATTCCGGAGAACATCGATTCTGTGTGGACTACCGTTGGATCAATGATTTCATCAAGGGAAGACAGGTGCTCGCCCCAGACGTCCAGGGCACGATCAGCCGCTGTGGACGAGCAAGGCGCCTCACCAAGATTGACATTATCCGTGCTTTTAATCGCCTGTTGATGGACCCCGGGTCTCGATATCTGACCGCTTTTACGACCCGACAAGGGACTTTCCAATGAAAGGTGCTGCCGTTTGGACTCAAGGTCGGCCCCGCCTGGTTCCAAGGCTTCATCAACGCCCAGCTCAACGAACTACTGGAGCTGTTCGCCAGCGCCTATGCGGACAATGTGTTGATTTACTCAGAAGGCGACGAACCAGAGCATTTCGAACAGACTGAGGAGGTTATTTATCGGTTACATCGAGCAGGCCTCCAAGGAGACATCAAGAAATCCAGCTTTAACGTCACTGAGGTGGATTATCTGGGTATGATCCTTGAGACAGGCAAAGGTGTTTGAATGGACCCCGCCAAAGTCGCTGCTATCCTCGACTGGGATTGGGATGATTTGAATTCAAAGTCAGCCGTTCGATCTTTCTTGGGATTATGTAATTTCATCCGATTATTCTGCTATCACGCCAGTGACCTTGCCGAACCGCTTAACCGGTTGCTAAAGAAAGACGTGCCCTTTGAGAAAGGACCTGAGCAAAAGGAAGCTTTCGAGGCGTTGAAGAAGCTTGCCACTAAAGCGCATGTCCTCGCCTTCTTCAAACCTGGCCGACCAACCAAGGTTGATACCGATGCCTCAGGCAAAGCCACAAGTGGTGTCATTTGGCAGCAGCAGGAAGACGGAGAATAGAAACCGATTGGCTACTCTTCAAAGACCATGTCCGTAGCCGAGCAGAATTATCCTATCCAGGACCAAGAGCTTCTCGCGGTGGTGAACACCCTCAAAGACTTCGAGTCCACTCTATGGGGAACCAAGTTCTTCGTTCAGACCGATCATCAAGCTCTGATCTACTGGTCAACCAAGAAGCTGCTCTCGGCAAGACAGATTCACTGGTTGTATTACCTGGCCAATTTCGACATCACGTTCTGATACCGCCCGGGCAAAGACAACGTGGCCGCCGACGCCCTTTCTCGTAAGACCATTAAGAACCCTACAGTCAAAGCCCGGGAATTACAAGATCGAACATTCGCCCTGATACCACCAGAGAAGATCGAGCCAATTGGCCCAATTCAAATACAAGGGATCAATGCCCTTACTACGACCGAGTTGCGAGGCGCTGATCTGGTGGATGTCATTATCGCAGAGAACGAAAAGCAAAACCTGGGCCAAAAAGAAGGATTGCTGGTCGTTCCTGAAACCACTATGGATGGAAAGATCTTCCTGTGCACCGCTTTGATACGTGAAGCTCATGAGCCGAAAGCTTTCGCCCACGCCGGCCAAAACAAGACCCTTCAGCTCTTAAAGAAGGAGTACTACTGGCAAGGCCGTAATAGCAATATCAAGCGGTACATTAAGAACTGTCGGGATTGCCAAAGAAATAAGACTCGATATGACAAGACCCCAAGGCTCCTTCACCCATTACCTATCCCAAAGCGCGTCTGGGAGCATGTTGTGGTTGACGGCAAGAGCATGCCGAAAGATGACAAAGGCTATGATTATGTCTAGGCTTTTGTCTGTCGATTTAGCAAGCTGCTGGCTACTCTCCCTGGTCATAAGGGAGACACCGCAGAGACACTAGCCCACCGGTATTACAGCGCTCTCTATCGTTTCCTCGGTATTCCTCACGAGTGAATCAGTGATAACGCCGGACCCTTTATCTCCGAGTTTCTTGAAACCCTCAATAAACTCACCGGAACAAAGCATCGCCATGGTAGCTCTCGACACCCTTAGACCCAAGGAAGCATCGAAATCACAAATGCCGAATTGGATCAGAAGCTAAGGTTCTACGTGGATAAGTACCAGACCAGATGGAGAGAGCACCTCCCTGCCCTGGACTTAGCCTATAACGCTGCCTATCACTCGACCATTGGGATGTCCCCGTTGAAAGTCGTCCTCGGAACCAGCCCGCGTAACCCTCTCTCTCTGCCACTGCCGGAGGTGGATTTGACAACCGACCAAGAGAAGAAAGCGTTAGAGGTTGTCAAACAAACCCAAAAGGTCCAGGAGTTAGCACGACAGAACGCCGTAGCGGCACAGGCGCTGATAGAAACCCAAGCCAACAAGAAACGCCGACCTGTGGACTTTACTGTTTCTGACATGGTGTACGTAAGTAAGAAGGGATTCTTGACTGAAGCCCCAACCACGAAGCTGGACTCACAGAACGCCGGTCCATGGACCATTGTGGAAAAAAGAGGCCACAGCTTTATCCTTGACACGCCACCCTGGTATAAAGGTAGCAAGCTCTTCCACGCTGATCGCTTTCAGAAAGCAGCTCAGAACCCGCTGCCGCAGCAACAGCTGGAACCAGAACCACCAGTGGAGATCAACGGAGAACCGGAATAGGAAGTGAAAAAGATCCTAGCATCACGGCTTTTCGGACAGCGTCAAAGACTCCAATACCAAGTATCCTGGGTGGGATTAGACCCGGATGAGACATGGTACCCAGCCAGCGACCTGAAGAACTCGCCGTTGCTATTAGAGTCCTTCTATAGAGAGTACCCTGATGCAGCTGGGCCCCCAGTGCGCCTGCAGCATTGGATACGGAATGCCGCGGAGAACAAGTTCGAGGGGGATCATAAAGACGACGAAGTCGCAGAACACAAGGCAACAGGAGTGAGAACCAAGAAAAAGCATAAAACGAGACACTCCTGAGACAATATTCTCGCTATTTCTCTCTTTTCAAGCCTCCTGACCACCAGGCGATCAGGGCTTGGAAGGGGGTAATGTGAGGACCTGCTCCCAAGCAGCCCTCAACTGCCAGGATTGTGGTAGCCAATCGGAAGCTGGCTGTGGGGATCAGGCACAAGCAGAGCTCCACCTGCTCCTGGACTTGGTCGCACTTTTCGCAATACGTTGTTGGTCATTTCTTTCCTTTTCTCTTTAGCTTAGAATCTTTGTTTATAGCACCCAATGGACTGAGTTCGCCTCAATGCATTGATCTGGTCGTGACAAGATGACCCCAAAGTCATACAGCCGCAACAATAGGGATGGGCTCGTGAGCGTGACTGACTGTACTTATTATCTTGAGACCTCCACAACCCTGCGATGCAGAGGCTCTGGGAGGCGTGGTTTGCACTACTGAGGAGCTACCCCCCACGTTAAATACAAAACAAACAAAACAAACAATATTATTATCTTGAGACCTCCACAACCCTGCAATACAAAGGCTCTGGAAGGCGTGGTTTGCACTACTGAGGAGCTACCCCCCACGTTAAATACAATTAATCAATCAATCATTATGAACTCAGTGAGAACTCCTACTAGGAGAATCTGTGATTTAAAGTGTAGGATATGTCAAGGGTGTGTTTTCCAGACCGGCAAGATAGCCCTGATCGCCGTTTATAGTACAGCATCTATTATTCTAAGAAGCCCCTTAATGCGACATGCTAATGTCCCATCTAAGCTCCTAACTTTTTTGATTCCTGGGTAACAGACCTCCAGGCCATGTGTAAGAATAGGGATAACGCAAGCTTTTACAGTCCTCCTGATTAACTTTACTATAAGTCTGTTGGAACAGGCTTGAACGATCAATCATAATACTCGAGTATGGGGTCAAGGTCATGATGTTGCTGATGGTTGGATTGAGAGGAATCTAGCTGGACTCGAAGGTCTGGCCAAGTGCCCTCTCAATCCACTATCTTATCTTATCTAATCATACATGTGGGTCCTGGTATAGATGGTTTGCAGTCTGGAATCGCATGGATCCAACAAAGTCCTTTAACTGTGTTGCATAGTCCTCGAAAGTGATTTGTTACCTTACTAGTTTTCTTGGCCCAGTAGGAAACGTGATCTTTGAAGTTTAGTTTTCTATCTAGGAGGACACCTAGCCATCGTATGGGGTCCTTTGCTGTTTTGTTCATTGTCCTGTGGTGGGCTGGAGGATTGTCTGAGTTCTTTTTCCGCGAGAAGTGCATGATCTCAGTTTTGTCGGGGTCAAATTCAATAGCTGTGACGGCTTGCACGGACCTTCCCACATGACAAGCCGATACTTCCCAATAAGGGAAAGATCTGACCGGAGGATCCCCTTAAAGGGGCAACCTCCCGCTGTACCTATCTCTCTCTCTTCCTTTCCTCTCTAGTCTTGATATTCTTGCCAATAGAGTAATAGCTGCTTGCTGCCGGCCATGTCCCAACTCCTCAGTACGCTCGCCGTGACAATAGCGTTGTTATGTCCCCCATTGGTTAAGCAAATGAAGATTTTCAGAAGCCTCTTTGGCTGTTTCTTTAAGATTTTTTTCAATGCAGAGAGTCGTTAGGTTATCTGCGTATTCAAAGCGTCTCTTCTTCATACCAAGTTGGGCACAGATTGGCTCTGTATACAGCATATAAAGAATTGGAGAGGCTGGTGAGCCTTGTGGTAGCCCATAAGTGAGAGCTCTTATATCGGTCACGATACCTTCAAACCAAACTCTTACGGACCACTCGGATATAAATGACTGGACCCATCTTATGAGGAAGCCCGGCCAGCCCTGTTCTCTCATGCGAACCACTAGCCGTCCCATTAGGGCAGCATCAAAGGCCCCTTTCATATCTGACGTGACTACTGTTGCAACAAGGCCTTGGTCGAGGGCCTGCTCAATATCGTGTATGAGTGCAGCTACCAAGTCAGTGGCAGAACGCTTTGGTAGAGCTCCAAAATGTTGTGGAGCTAGAATTCTGAGTTTAATAACAAACCAGGTAATTCTTTTTGTAATAAGTCGTTCTAGGCCTTTGCCAAGACATGGCAGCAGTGATATTGGTCTGTAGGCCCTGGGGTTAGAATAGTCTTTCTTGCCTGGTTTTAAGATCATCACCACCTCAGCTATTTTGAATGGTTTAGGGTGATGTCCAATCTGTAGACAGGTCTGGAAAAGGGCTCTGATATGTTCCCCAATGACTGGCCAGCAAACTTTTAGAATCCTTACTGTGAGGGTGTCTACTCCCGGGGAGTTGCTCTTGGTCCCTATAGTGCACCCTTTAGCCTCTTTCAGTACGACATAGTATTCAAGGGGAATGTGTGGCTTGGGTTATGTGATCTGAGCGGACCAGGGGTCAGTAATATCGTTTTCTGGGGTACTTTGTTTAAGCGTGGCTGAGCGTAGTGCATTTGCCTTGGTCTCTTGTGACTCGAATATTTGGTCTCCTATAATGATTGGTAGGGAACGCAATCATGCTGATAGCTTGTGCTAAGAAATAATTCTGTACAAGTCTTTTGGTTCAGTTGCTGAATCGATTAGAGTCTGCCAGTACTCTCTCCTAGCTTTTCGAACCACGCGGCAAAATTCCTGCCGGGCTGAATTCCGCCTTTCTTGACTTGCGGTCCGTTTAGAAAAGGCTCTGTATGTCTGAATAGCTGCTTTGTATTCATTATTCCACCAAGCAGTGCGCCTAGATTGTCGGGGCTTCTTGCCCACTATCTTGATACAGCTTGGATCATGTTGATCATGCTCTGCGTATTTAAGGCATCCACCTGGCCAAGGGATGCACCCAGCCGGGGAAGCTCATGAGTCCTGTTTTGAACATTATTAGCCAGCTCTTATAGTTTATTGTCTGGGACTATTCAACAATCGGCCTTGGAGACCTGGTCCAGGACTCCCTGAATTGGAAGGACTATACGTAATGTCTCATGATTTGGGGTGCACTAGAGTGCATCATTCACTGAGGCTTCGGCCATGGGGACATCTGAGAAAACCAGATCTAGTACATTTCTGTCATTATGTTGTCGGGATATCTGGTTCAGAAATCAGATCCAGTCCGTGGTCTGTCATAATCTGCACAAGTATAGCACCACAATGATATCCTGGATTGCTCGAGTCCTAAGATGTGTTGCCAGCATTAAAATCTCCGGCTATAATACAGCCAAAGGGAAGAGTCCATACTTCCAGAATGTCATCCACTTCCTGTGGGTTGTTGCATGGTCGATAGATACTAGCAAATATAATGCCTTATACCTTGACCCAAGTGATGTCTCGTGTAGCATAAGGCCGAAATTGATCCGTTTGAAAATATTTTCTCATATAGATAAGAGATCTGTGTCGTGGATTGTTGCTGTGCTAAGAATTGACTGGGGAATATATATTATAATATAGATATGTCTTTACTCCTATTCTCCTGCCTGGTGGTATGCCGACCCAGGGCTCTTGTATCAAAATGATGTCTGCTTGCTCTCCCGTATAGTCAGCCAGGTTGATGGCCAACTCTGTGGGGCCTGCACTCTTTTGTCCTCCTGCTGTATTTACAGAATGAACAACCAGGTGCTCATGTCAATGTGTTTCGTTTGATGTACCTAGCATTGACAGACAACAATAGTGTCGGCATCTCTGGGATGAGCTGTATTTGTTGTATTGATTTACATTATGGTGTCTTTGTTATTATTGCTAGGTGTTGACCCGGCTGGGTTTCTCCCTGTTTCATTGAAGGCCCTGGATCTGGCTCTTTCTTCGGCCAGCCTTATTTCTTGGATTTGTTCTTATGTGTGCTTATGGATGATACCTTTCACGACCTTGGGGCGTGCAGGGCATTTGTCAAAGTTGGCAGCATGAGGCCCCTTGCAATTGACGTATTTTGGGATTGGGTTTTTGCACTCCTCTTAGTGTACTGTGCTAGCACAACGTGCACATATTTCCTTTTCACATCAGTAATTTCTACCAATGGTATCTGAAGCAGCTCGCACACTAGTGAACCTTAGGGGTGTGTTAAATGTGCTTTGAGGTCATTAAGTGAGCAAAAAGCGTGGGGAGATTTCTTTGCTGCACGAGACAGAGAGATCACCCATGTGTTCTCTAGATCTGAATCAACCGTGTTCTTTGAGAGTATGCACCTCAAAGGTCTGTCATCTGTTTGAGCTTTAACCTCGTTAGCGACAATATCATCGGTAATGTCAATTGTAAACCCTTCCGTACTGATGACTTTTCTTGGGCATCCATTAACCTTATAGTGATGCCAGACTGTATGAATTTCGATTTTTTTGTGCCTTAAGAATGTTGGCGATCTCTTCTTAGAAGGCCAGGAGCTTAGTCTGAGTTGGCTTGTCCTTTGGGTGTAAGGTAAATTTGGAGGGCCACCGTGTCACCTCTCTAAGCTTCTGGGGATGGAGCTTAAGTCTTCTATTCAGTGTAGATTTTATCCCATAAGGCTCTAGGTGGCTATTGTCCATGCGGACAAAGACCCGGAGATCATCCTACTTCTTCTTCAGTTGGTTGGCAGCAGTAAGGGCGCCAGGCTGTGTTTTTTTTATGGTGGTATTGACTGTCAGTGGATGCTATTAGTGGTTAGAAGAGACAGCTTGTGCGAAAGTCATGGTGGGCTTCCCCATCACCATCCCCCCGGAAGTGGCCTTCTTTATGGTTAAATCTCGGGTTTCCAGCCACTCGCTCAGTCATTTAGAGAAGAAGGCGCTGAACTCCTTGGCATGTGAGTATAATTCGGTTCTGGCTTTCTCAAGTGTCTTGTCAACTGCTGTAGTACACTCCTGAAACATTGTTATCTTGGTTTTGTAAAGATGCCTGTCTTATTTAGTATTTGTGAAATTCTAGAAGGGTCACAAGCCTTAGAGGTGTGAGCAGTCGCTGCAAACGTTGTTATCATTCTCAAGTATGCTTGGTAGGGCTAATCTACAGCTAAATACTATACTGCACCATGCCAGGGTGGATCCACTGTTCCCTTGACAGCCCCCTAGTGGGTACTGCACCTAAGGGCACCATATCTGGGATCTAACATCTGACAGTCTTTTTATAACTTGGTCCTGGCACTTTAAGAAGGAAGCTTTATTCCCTGTATTGCGTTCAATGGCTTGGTCTGTAGAGATTTCGTTCAATTGAGGTCGTTTCATTCTAGTTGTGCTGCTGTCATTGATATTTCGGGATTTTCCTTTTAGAAGGGAAATAACAGTGAAGTCACCCTCGGAGACCTGTGACAGGCTGCTGCTGATGTCGTCAAGCAGCGCCTGGCAGAGCCTGCTCAGAGTTGCCAGGCCATATGTCTTTCTAGGGGCCGGGGATTTGAGCACGCCGCCGGTGGTCATCTTTGGGACGGCCATGGGCGTGTTTGGGGGCCCGTCATAGAAGGGTGCCATCTGGTTTGTGAGAAAAATTCTCTTATGCCTTAGTAAAAATAGTCAGTTACTGAAAGAAGTGCCTGTTTTAGCACAGATATCGAGGTTGCGCCCTAACAGCGGGGCGCCAAGAAAAAAAAGGTGTTTTTGGCAAGTGTGTCCAAAGGATGCTGTGAGAAAGTTGGAGGCCGTGATTTAATAAGGGGGACTTGGCATATGCTAGCATCCCCTAGACTAGCCCTGTCAGCCAAGACCCGACGGAAAACTTCGTGTTTTGGACTCCTTTGAGATGACAGTTCCTCTCACTCTTTTGGCACCCGAACACGCAGATATCATTGTCGCTCACTACTTGTCGCTCATTACTTTCGTAAATTTGGTTGCATCTGATCCGGCCGTCGCGACTCCTTCATACACTTTTCACCCTAGGAGTCAGTCATCTCCGCCGCAGCACACCGACGCGAGCGAGTAGCCCCAGGCCACCACCACCTTCATCGCCGCCACAATGTCCGGAATCCTGGGAAGCTACAGCGACTCGACGTGCAACACGCACAACGCCCTGCGCAACATCACCGAGTACGCCTGCGGCGTGACTTTCACTTACAAGGACACCGCCTTCCCGCCCGACATGCACTACGGCGTAGTATCGCTGCAAAAGTGCTGCGACGAGGTGAACGCGCCCGTCATGCGCATCCCCGGCAACACGGGCTGCGAGATGCAGTTCTGCCACGTGCCAGAAGCGACGACCTCGAGCACGTACACGGTAGAGTACGGCTACGCGACGGGCTCGGGGACCGCAGCGCGGACGCCCGAGCCCACCGTCACGTCGGATGTCAAGGTCGGCCCGCCGGGGAGATTGGAGAACTGCATGGCATTCGTTTACAAGGGCGACTTGCCGGATGATGTCGGGGACAAGATCGCGAGTGCGGGTAATTGGTGCGTGGTGAGGATGTACGACGACGAGATAGATGAGGCGGATGTGAGCGCGGCTGTCACGGCGAGTCCGGCGCCGGCGAGCTGGACGACGGCTGCGGTGAATCAGTGGGAAATGGCCTTGTCGTCGTGGAGTGCTACGAAGGACGGCGCGAGGGCTACTTCGACTTCGACGTCGACGAATGGTGGTGCGGGTCGCTATGCTGATAGGGGCACCGAGTATGGTGTGCGGATATGGGCTGCTGTTGCTCTGATGACTGTTGGGCTCGTCATTGCTCTTTGACCTGGCGGCGGGACAACCACATGTTTATACTCCCAAATACCAGAATGACAACATCAATCGAATGACCAATGGCGGTCTCCTCGACTTCATTGAAGAGCCAAGCGGACAATCAACCGCGTCTTTCACCGAGATGCAACGCGAGGCGAGCGAATGCGTTCCCGTCGGCATCCCAGTCTTCGCCCCATGCCCTACGAGGTATTCCGAACATCATCTAGCGACAAAACAGGATTCTCGGCCCATTGAGACGTAAACCCACGGTATCAATGAGTCTCCCAACATTCGACAAAGGAGAGCAGAGATCGGCATAGATGGCCCATGGCTCACAGCAGATGCGGGGCAGTCAGTATGCCTTTACCATATGTCTCAAACAGGCAGCTAAGTTGTGTCTTATCTGGAACGTCACATTCAATCAGGAAGTGGTCTAGCTCAAGCTTCACTATACTGGGCCGGATTATCGGGGGCGAGATTGAAAGATGGCGCGGGGTACTTGCCATCTCGATTTGCCGTCACGGTCACAGCTCTAGGTAGTGACTGCACACATCAAACGTGGAATGATGATAGTCATGAGATTTGCGACTTCTCGGCATCGGTGACTTCCAGCTTTGAGTGGTATCGTCGGCGGGGACTTCGCCAGCCCTCGAACAAATATTCAGACGCTCCAGATTGCAAGGCCCAGGTCTACATCCTAGGCTTGTCGGAGCTTGCCATCTTACACTCGGATGACATAGTAGTTGCTTATAAGCATAGCCAGGAGCAGTACTTGGTATCTCGAAGCCAAGATGAGGCTCATCACACTCATCAGCGGCCTCCTAACGCTCGTAGCCACGGTCACCGCCCAAGACGAGACAGGCGACCACCCCAACTGGCCACGCTGGTGTGGCAAAGTCTATGAATCAGGGTATCCTTCCTTCGAGCCGGGCGGACATACGACGGCGCCGCCGGACAATGGCTCGACGTATCTGTACGTGCAGTTCAAGCCGCGATACAGCATCTACCTCGATGGCGAGACGACGGCATCGTTCGTGGTAAATGCTGCGCTGTCCCCGTGGTACGGTGGTGCGTGGACAAACTCTACGACCGATGGCACGGCGACGCAGCCGTTCACCGACCTCGTGTTCTCGATCAATGTCGCAGGAAACAACACACCGCTGGTGAAAAGCAGCATCAGCATCAATGAGACGGGCATAGAGTTCGAATTCGACCTGTCCGCCTTCGAGCCCAGCTTGACACCCTATGACGTGGTGCTCTCCGGCTCCTCAGTCTACGAAGACCACATCGACACCGCAGCAAGCTCATTCCTGTACCTGCCAGACAACCCCTCCGGCAGCGCGACCAAGATCGACAACCTGAACGGCGGCCTACTCTTCAAGAACGCCGCAACAAACAACTCATTCGTGCCGCTGCTGCCGTACGGCTACTACGGCTGGTACAACGGGTCGACCGTCCCCGCGGAGGCCGACGCCTTCGTGCACGAGTACACCAGCAACGGGGAGGGCCTGAATGCAATCATAGCGCTGGCCAACTATACGGACACGAACCCGGTGTACGACAGCATGGACGAGTTTGGGCTGCACTACATGTTCGACTTGCGCAGCTCGTATAAGAATCTGACGGAGACGGAGACGCGGGTGAATACTATCAAAGGGCGTTCTTCGCTGTTTGCGTACTGGACTGCTGACGAGTACGTATCTCACCCCATATCATCTCATCTTCACTCCGCCAGTAACTCCCTCATATGAGATACATACATACATACGTAATTAGGATACTAACACCTCAAAAGACCCGACGGCCAACAAGTCCCCTTCAACACCACCCCAGCCGCCCAATCCCTAATCCACACCCTGGACCCCTACCACCCGGTCGCCATAACGCTCAACTGCCAAGACTTCTACTTCGGCGCCTACGCCGCGGGCGGCGACATCCTAATGGCCGACCCGTACCCAATCGGCACCTCCTACGCGCTCTCGAAATGGGGCACGACGTGCAACGCCACCCTCGGCGACTGCGGGTGCGATAACTGCGCTGGCACCGTGCAAGACGTGCCTTCGCGCTTGGACGATCTGGCGATGTATGAAAGCTGGTTGGGCCGCTGGCCGCTGCCGAGGTTCTTCAATCCGCAGGTTTTCCATGGCGAGGACTACTGGGCGCGGGACCCGACGCCGGGGGAGGCGCGCGTGATGAATGCGCTGGCGTTTAGTCGGGGTGCCACGGGGATCTTTGGGTGGACGTGGCCTAGTAGCGATGTGTTGTTCGCGACGCACTCCGAGATGGCGGCCGTGGTGACGGCGTCGCCGGTGAGGGAGTTCTTGCTTGGTGGGAAGGCAGAGCCGTTGACCGTGGAGGGGACGGAGCTTTTGGATGCGGCGTATTGGGTTCAGGGGGAGCGGATGATGGTTAGTGTGGTTAATGGAGGATATGTGGATGTGAATAGCACGCTGGCTGTTGAGCTGCCGGTGGCGGCGACGGGGTTCGAAGCGGTGCCGTTTGGGGGGCTGTCGTGGAGGTTGGTAAGTGGGCGGTTGACGGTTGATCGCCTCCCTGCCATGTCGTCGAGTTTCATCATTCTGGGTCTTGAAGTTACTGGATAGACATTTTGCTCCTGATCACATATATACAGATGTGTATCTTCAACTTGCTGACCATTTCCACCATGTGATTTTGGTTTGGGTTTCGCGATCTTTGACATCGCTAAGTATCTACAAGGGTGTATCGACACATGTCCCCTACTCCTACAACAAACCCCCTCGGCAAAACGACTGACACCCCAGCTCGTTGAAGCGAACTAGCTTATCCTAAGATCGACACTAGCATTCCACGTCTAACGGACTTATACATACACAAGTTGGGACTGGGTATCTTCAGGAGGCTTTTTCGATCCAATGTGCTTCCGATCAAACGATGCTGAGAAAAGAGCTGACGTCTTGTGAAGAATTTTGGGGATCTGAGGGCCCCCCAACCGGAATGTCTTTTCGCAGGAAGTAAATGGACCCTCATCCGTGTGAGGCCCTCGGAAAGGATTCGATATCACTCGCATCGAACCTACTTAAATTTACGTACGAAGTAGACCCATAGCCTGCTCGACAATGTGGGGGTACTGGGCACGGGGAAGGGCATTATTCAGAGAGTGCAACTTGCCCTTGAACGAGTCGTTGCCAACATAGGCCCCCCTCAACCACCTCTCCCCGGTCGACGTGTCGAACTGGCGACGTCCATGTAAAACTCGAAGATTGTCAAATATGGCGCATTCTCCCTCCTTCATCTTGTACTCGTAGACGTATTCTTCCTGTTCCAGCAAGCTCTTGAACTTCCGAGCTGCTTCCTTCCACGCTTTGTAGTGTTCAATTCCCTTAGGAGTCTTTTTCAAGGGCTGCCATGGCGTTTGGAAGGGTGGAGACCAATATGCAGCTCCAGAATATTCGTTGAGAATCGTGCGGTCGCGGTGATAATGATGCTCGCCTTTCTGGTAGTGGTACCCAACTCTCTGCTTAGCAAGAGGTCCGAGCATGTGTGGAAATCCTGATTTCAGTTGCGATCCAGCGCGGAGACCGTCACTGAATAGGGACTCACCCCCTTGACACGTGTTCTTGAGGCAGTGAAGAAGTTGAATGCGTGGTGGGTCACCCATATAGAGCAGGTCCTGATGAAGACCTAGGTACGAGCTGGTGTAAGCGACGTTCTCTGCATCAGGCTTGGACCAGACATCCCAAGATTTCCCATAGAAGGTATGCTGTAAGATGCCAATCTTGAAAGCGAGAAGCTCGACACAATGTTTAGACAAGGGTACATTGCGAAGAAAGATGGCGCCGTGAGATCGGAGAGTCGCCATGGCGGACAGGTAGTCGGCTTTCCCGTCCATAAACTCTGTATAACCGTAGAAGGGGTTAAGAGACTCGAGTACTTCACGATCCCATAGTCTTCGTTTTTGGGGGTCATTCTCCCTTTTGCTGAAGTATGCCTCGATCTCTTGGCGGGGATAGCGGGAGACATGAGTTCCATGGGTGTGGAAGTCGTTCTCCCAGGTGATCTCAAGCGAGCCGTCCTCGCAGCGGACAGCATTACTGACAGGCAGGTCACCTGGTACGTCAACTGTGGCAAAGCGCTTCTGGCCGGATGAAGGGTCAACACAAACATCACACTGGCAGGCATCGCGGAGCCATGGGCGGTGGAGCAAGACGGGCTGCCTGAGCTCTGGATGACCCAGCGAGATCAGTTCAGATTCCGAGAGCAGCGATTCTGAGCTGGACTCTACCGTCCATGAGCTCGGTGATTCGGTTTCTACCCAGAAGCCACGATGGATCGCCGTCTTTCGAACCGCCTTCGTAGTCCTTCGAACCCCCTCAGAGTATGACCGCGTAAGGAAGCGCCCTCTGGGAGACCTCCCGCAGCGTGGCCGAACAACTGCCAATGCCCGGCGGAGTGTTGCCGCAGTCGACATGGCGCAACTGGTCAGGAATCACCTGACTTCAGACCATGGGATATCGAAGCAGTAGGAGCCGGGAGAATTTTGGAAGTCGCTCTTTATGTTGTATGTAAGTGGCAAGGAACATGAAAAGCAATTGCCATGTCGCTTCTTTGAAACAGGCGAGAGAGTGAACGAAGCCGTACAGATACGGATGTGAAGGCAGATCAACTGACCAGGCCGTGAAACGGAATCGAGACAGCTGGAGGTGAAAACGAGGGGTCTGTGCTCAAGCTCTCGATGGGTATCTTATCTTATCAGCTCTTCAGGGTGGGGCCATCTTCGGCGGGACGCTGTGGTTCCATTGATTTTCCAGTCAAAAAAGTTTCGGTCACTTGGAGAAAAGCTGCAGCGGCACCAAGTCAGTAACAAGAGAGCAGTGAGGTTACCTACCTTACCAGACCAAACCACCCATATTGCAGTCACCATGGCCGGCCCGAACGTGAAGAAGCGCAGCCACCAGGACTTCCCCTCCAAGGGAAAACCGCACAGGCCGAGCAAGAAGCAGAGAAATTACAAGGTCGCCCAGTATCACAGCGACTCCGACTCCAATCCCGACTTTACCCCCGTCTACCTCGACTCCGACAACGAAGACCTCGACAATGCCGCCGTGGATGACATAGCGTCAGGTTCTGGTTCTGGATCAGACTCGCGCTTGGATTCAGATGCTACAGAATCGCGGCCGACACCTGCTAGCAAAAAGCAAAAACCCCAGAACCCAAAAAAGGCTGAAAAAGGCGGTTCCGGTGGCGAGGACTCGGACGGACAAGACTCGTCGGGAGGGGAGGACGATGATGAAGAGGATGAATCAGACTCAGGGGCCGAGGCCTCAACCACGAGATCCAAAAAGTCCAAGTCGAAGCGCAACGACCCGGATGCTTTCGCCACGTCTATAAACAAGATTCTCTCGACGAAACTCTCGACCACACGCCGAGCAGACCCCGTACTTTCACGCAGTGCGGATGCGCACAAGGCGGCGAAGGAAGCGGTTGAGAGCGCGTTGGATTCAAAGGCGAGAAAACACCTGCGCGAACAGAAACGGCTGGCTTCCGAGAAGGGCAGAGTTCGGGACGTGTTGGTAGGCGCCACGAATCCAAAGACAGGCGAGCCCGAGACTTCGACGGGAGAGATATTGCAGACGGAGAAGCGGCTGTAAGTCAAGATCCAGACATTCGTTCATACTGTCAAAGTGATTCTGTCCCTGGCCACCATAATCCCAATGCCCCCCTTTTCCCCTAACCACCTTCAGCTGAAGCAGCACTGACACCCTACTGTAGTCGGAAAGTGGCTCACAGAGGTGTCATCATGCTGTTCAGAGCCGTCAGGGAGGCGCAGGAGAGGGCCGCTGATGCCGACAAGGAGGCCAGGAAAGATGGCATCACTGGTGTAATGAGACGAGAGGAGAAGGTGAATGAGATGAGTCGCCAAGGTTTCCTCGATCTTATAGCTGGTGGAGGTGGGAAGTCGAAGAGAGGTGCATCAGAGGAGTAGGAGCCGCAAGACGGTAGTCTGGTTGTTCGATGTTGGCATCAAGATACCACGTTTATGTTATGACCTCGTTAGGAGTTGGGTCTCGACCCTGGCTGCTTTTCCACCCACTCCTTGCCGTGGAGGGTCATATTATACAGATGGCTTACAGACAGCCATATTGCCAATTCAACTGCCACATGACGCTCATTCTGCACCGCGGATCGGATCTATATACAAGCCATACGGCCTTGACATACAGCTGTCTTCCTGTCGTCCGTATATCGATATTATTTACTGCCAAAGTCGCTCGCCTGCAGATTCCTTGTCATGGAAGGCAGCTTGACCCTCAATCCATCCAGCTCTTTCGTCATGACGACCTGGCATCCCAGCCGGCTCGTCTCGGTGAGCCCAAATGCCAGATCCAGCATGTCATTCTCGTCGTCTTCGGGTTCGGGCATCTTCTCGTAGTAGTCCTCGTCGGTCACGATGACGTGGCAGGTCGAGCAGGCGCAGGAGCCGCCACATGCGCCCTCCATCTCCAGGTCGTTGGCCTGTGCGATATCGAGCAGGTTGTCGCCTTTGGACACCGCAATCTTGTGTTCCTTGTCCTCCTTGTCGATAAAGGTCACGTAGAGCCTGTGAGGCGTCAGCGTCCGGTACTGTACTTGTGGACGTCGTTTCGGGGTCCTTACTCCTCTCCGGGCTTTGGTGGTGTGGTATGCCCATGGTGCCGTATGGGGGACGAGCTGAAGGGCCGCAATAGAGGTACGGCGCAACTTGGAGATAGTGACGTGGGTATGCGAGGGGCGCCCAATATTCGACCGGTTCGTATAGAGAGAATGGGGTTGCTAATTTGCTGTATGCTGGACGTTGAGGTGCTAGAGAAGGACCGCAGACCTCGGACGAGGCTTCGTGGGGCGGCCATTGCGTTTCTAAAAGGTGTCGACGAATGCGACTCGGCCGGTTGAGACGGAAGGCGTGGCGGAATGACAGAGACAACTACTTGGTCGAGTAGAGAAAGGACGCGGTGCAAGTCAATGGGTGGGAATGGTCAAGATCAGATATTTCACCAGAGCAAGGCTGTCATCGTTGCATTGGTCTGTATGTTGCGCCAACAAGCACGGCGAGCGCCAGTCACTATGTTGTTATATGCACAACAAGTCGGATATGCAGATGCAGACGCAGACAGACGGACCTGGACAGGCGATGCGATGCGATGCCGCTGCTCACCAAAAGAAAAATCGACGTTAGATAGCTCCGATAAGCTCGGCCGTTGCTTATCGGGGTACCGTTGTACTTCTTAACTCCGAGATGCCTCTATCGGCGCCATCCTGGAATCAAGCCGTCGACGAGATTGCACCGCATGATTTCCGTCATCCAAATATTCATGCGTACTAGCACTGTACCCACCCTATGAAAGCTACCCTTCGACACGATCTATCAACGACGACATCATCAAACCATGCGCCTTCACTGTAGCCCATAGTGAAGTCGTCAGTCAGCATGGCTTCAACAACAAGGGAACCGGTGAACCCACTGCGCCCCTACTACATACCGCCGACGATAGGAGATCAATCCGACTCGCTGCCGTCGCGGCCGAGCCCGTCTTCACATGCGAATGCGACATCGGGCAACTACGCGTCCAAGGCACGCGACATCTTCCCAGACCTAGACTACAATAACCATCTGGACGAAATCTCGCCATCGACAGTCCAGTCCGTCAAGCAAACCGTCGACGAGCTGCTATGGAAGTACACGTCGGTGCTGATGGCCCAGCCCTTCGAGGTGGCAAAGACCATCCTCCAAGTGAGGAGTCAGGATGATCTGGGGGCACTGGGTGCGGCGCCAGTAGAGGCCAAAAGGCCAGTCATTGCAAGGCCGAGGCGCTCCGTATACGACGAGGTACTGTCCAGAGCTGCCACTTAGCCTCCTTGATGCTCATGGTGCTAATGACGATGTTCAGTATCCCGATTCAGACTCCGAACCCGACGACTATTTTACCTCCAACGCTCCCTATACACCCACGCCCTCGCATCGGACACAGCACAGACGAGGATCGTCGCCGATCGAATCACCCAAGGCCAACGCCAAGCCGACCTTGCTTCCACACCAGTTAGGCCTGCGCCGACCGGACTCAATATTCGACGTACTATCACAGCTGTGGTCGAAGGAGTGGGCATGGGGCGTGTGGAAGGGAACAAACACCACGTTTCTCTATACAGTGCTGCAGTCTCTGCTAGAGAACTGGTCCCGCAGTCTGCTGAGCGCCCTGCTCAATGTTCCGGATTTAGGAGTCAAGGACGATGTTGAAAGGCTGGTCGACATCGCCTCGCCCTACCCGTGGGCATCTTTATGTGTTGCGGCAGCTGCCGCAGTCGCAACAGGCCTCATTCTGGCTCCCCTCGACCTTGTGCGAACCCGCCTCATAGTCACCTCGACCGGACGCGCGCCGCGTCGTACACTCGCCACACTGCGAGCCTTGCCATCATGGCTCTGCCCATCTATCCTTATTGGGCCTACAATACTCAACTCCCTCGTCCACCCCTTTCTCACACTATCGACGCCTCTCGTGCTTCGCTCGCAGTTCCTGATTGATCGCGAGTTATCCCCAACCACCTTCTCAATCGCAAAGTTCTGCACCTCGTGTGCCTCACTCTTCATCAAGCTGCCGTTAGAGACGGTGTTGCGGCGCGGACAGATGGCAGTGCTATTACAACCAAACTATGTCGAAGCTCTCGATCGTGCTGGAAATATGGACATAATCGTGCGACCAGGCCCCTACAATGGTGTCATAGGCACCATGTATACAATTGTAGCCGAAGAAGGCTCCAGGGCCGTATCCGTGCCGGCTAAGAGTCCACAGCGGGGTAGAAAGGGCAATGCCACGGTCAGTGAGGTGGTATATAAGAAGGGCCAGGGTCTGGGAGGACTCTGGAGAGGGTGGAAGGTCAGCTGGTGGGGTCTAGTAGGTTTGTGGACCGCTGGTATTGCTGGTGGTGGCGGTGAGGGAGAGTTCTGAAGCATCATAGCACCATGCTGTTGTGCAGCGGCATCGGTGGGAGGAGGTGTGCTGGAGGGTTGGCGGTGGTCGTAATGCCTTTGATATTCTCTACTCTGTAAGAGATGGACTTTGGGTGGAAGTGGGAGCGCTAATGAGATACGGTATGATATCCCCTCAACTTTCATCATGTACCAAGCATCTTCTATTGTACATTTTGGCGTACTGTACAGGCATTGCTCTTGACAGGTCGTGGCTGGCCCATTTGAATTGGCATCGTCGTTGAGGAGATAGGCCACGGCACCTCGAAGGATCAAACAAGCTTTTGCCAAGCTCAAAAAGACTAGCAGGGTTCTTTACGATACGACTGCATCAACGTTCATACAAGTCACACCTGGGACAGAGGTTGGGGGTGTATGTGTACAGGAGCTAGGCTATGGGAGATCGTGAGGCGCTCAATCATCACTCGAGGTATGGATGGCAAGTGTAGTCGACTCGTCAGGTACTCCAAAGAGGTGACAGTCGCATGGAATCAGATCGGCATCATGATCACCACCATGCCTCCATTAGATCATTCTTCTTCCTTACCGCCCACGCGACAGCCTACCGGCAAGTCGGCAAGCCATCCATTCATCTTCATTACCATGATGATTCACGCGCTCACCCATGCTTGGTGCTGTAATATGATACACCAAATATGGGATCGTCATGCAGGCGCAGGGCTTCATGAACCTGATCACTGCTGTAGGGATTAGATCAGACGGAGGAACCAGTGTGCGACCGCCGACGACCACGCGCCAGGATACTGCAGCTTGTCCGCCTCGTGAGCCCTGCTGTGCGTTTCATGTGGGAGACATCCTGGCGTCTGATCTCGATTGTGGTTTACACATTTGAACCAGGGAAATGGTAACGCGGCTATGCGGCGAGCAGAGATGCTGAGGCGAATCGAATCATTACTTCGAGGGTCTGTCAGTGGTGTGAGTACCTTGGCATTTTGTATACAGAGCGCTACAAGAAGGACATCTAGCATATATCTGGTTCCCTGGCTCTTCTCTCTGAAATCCTCCCGGGGCAACTTGTTCACGGTACGACTTACCTACCTCGCCAATCATTCTTGTGACCGCAATACCTGTGGATATGGAATGCGCGGCCAACGGCAAAGGACCCCTGAAAAATCATGTCGGATGTGAGGCCCGGGTCACTTCCCTTTGTGATCAGACGAAACGGGTGGATCACCAGGGATCGGCGTTGAGCCTCGTCGAGGCGCTGCCTGGGTCGCGCAGCTGGGCCTTTCAAGTCACTCCTGCATCGCATCCATGCATGAACCTTTTAGAATTGACTCGTCATCGACCGCCAGCCCCGAGGGACGGCCATTCTCGAAACTTGTTGGTGCCACCCAGGGCGTCTGTAGGCGGGAGGTCGAGGTGTCACTAACTGTTCATACAGTACTTCGATCACGAATCACGATCTGGGAGATTTGGAAATATGCGTGTTCATAGCAGAGATCTTTGGCGCCGACATACAAGCAATTGCCAAGGAATCGGCTTCATCAATCTCAGCGATCGAAAGAAAGTTCTTCCATGTCGTCTTGTAGGAGCGGCGATTCCAGGTCGGCAGGAACCGAGAATTCCCACGAATCAAGACTCGGAATTTCCCCGTTGTGGATAGGGACCGTTGAAACATGGCGCCAGGGGTAAGGGGAACCTCTCAACTTCTCCACCGCCAACGCCGCCGCCGAACGTGGGGCTATCCGCAACTTTGACGACCGACATTGTCAAGTGACAATGCCTCGATGGGCCCATCCACATCATTCGGATGGTTGAGCTGGGGCCTTTAATCTAACGATTACTTGGGTTCGGCATATGAGGTTAGAGATTGATATCTCTGCATGTGCTTGCGCCGACGTCGACGCCGACCTTTGGCACGGATTTCCGCCTCACAGAGGAGCTTTGCTGGGCCTACCCGCCTCTTTCCCCTCTGGCTAGGCTTGTTGTTGCAGCTCAAGTCACTTTCATGGTGCTCGCGATGCTGTCTGCTTCGAGGTATCTTTCCCGCTGTCTAGTCAAGGCTTAGGGGAATCGTGAACCAGACAAACGAGACATGTGTGATAGATATTGCACGTCTGGACCCGTTCAAGAGAACCGCGAGGCTGCCACCTTGTGGACCTTAACCGCCATTCGCAACCCCTTCTCTTCCATATTGGTCGTGAGGCCCGACGGCATGGGTCAAAGGGCCACACCTCCCCCTACGCCTCAACGTCGTAACGACGGGAGACTCTGAATTGCTTGTTTCTTTGCAGTGGAGTTGACAGGACTGCAATTAGATGAACTGCTGCAGGGTTAGACAACCATGGACAAGCTGACGATGCAGCCTCCTCACGAATCTATATAACAGTGAAGCTTTCCTCCCTCTCAACGCCTTTCCTTCTTTTCTCCATCGTCACCATCAACGGTTCTCGAAGTCAACTTCCATTCACTTTTGCTACCTGTCTCTCTTTACAGTCTCTCTTTCTACCTCCTGGTGAGAACATCTTCGCATCTTGATCGATACCTCAGTTTTATACTACCTTCGTCCAACACACGAATTTACTACTTACCACATTACACTCACTTTACAATCAACCGACTTTCGAAACCGCAACATCCGACAAGATGAACAGCATGAGACCCTCCACCCTGATCGCGGCTCTCGCCTCCGCCGCTGGTGTCGCCGCCCACGGCCACGTCAACAACATCGTCATCAACGGTGTCTCGTACCAAGGCTACGACCCTACGAGCTTTCCCTACATGGCGGATCCCCCTACCGTCGTAGGCTGGGCCACAACCCAGACCGACAACGGCTTCGTGGCGTCGGACGACTTTACCAGTGCCGACATCATTTGCCACAGAAACGGCACCAACGCCGCGGGTCACGCCCAAGTCGCGGCCGGTGACAGCATCTCGATCCAGTGGACCGTGTGGCCCGAGTCGCACAAGGGTCCCATGATCGACTACCTGGCCGCCTGCGACGGCTCCTGCGAGACCGTTGACAAGACGGCCCTTGAGTTCTTCAAGATCGACGGTGTCGGCATCCTCGACTCGACTTCCGCCCCGGGTACCTGGGCTTCGGACGTCCTAATTGAAAACAACAACACCTGGCTCGTCCAAATCCCGGCCACGCTCAAGGCCGGCAACTACGTCCTCCGTCACGAGACTATTGCACTACACTCAGCCGAGTCGGCGGGCGGCGCTCAAGCCTACCCTCAGTGCTTCAACCTGGAGGTCACCGGCGATGGTACTGATGTGCCCACTGGTACACTCGGAACCGCGTTGTACACCGAGACCGACCCCGGTATTGAGATCAACATCTACACCACCGGAATCACCTACGACATCCCCGGCCCTACCCTCATCGCCGGCGTCTCGGCTTCCGTATCGCAAGTCAGCTCGGAGGTCACAACCTCTGCCTCCGCCACTGCTGGCGACGGCACCGCTGCTGCTACTACGACCGCCGCCAGTGCCGCTACCACCACTGCTGCCGCTGCTACAACCTCTACCGCCGCTGCTGAGACCTCCTCTACCGTTGTCGCCGAGACCTCTTCGGCCAGTACCAGCGTCGCCGTCGAGACCAGCGCGGTTGAGACCTCGTCCGCTGCTACTTCCGCCACTGTTCCCGCCACTACCCTCGCTACCGTGACCAAGGCCACTACCACCGAGGTGGCAGCCACCACCTCCGCAACTGCGTCGCCCAGCCAGACCGGATCTTCCGGCGTCGCAGCTCTCTACGGGCAGTGCGGCGGTAAGAACTGGACCGGCGCCACTTCCTGCTCTGAGGGCACTTGCACCAACATGAACCCTTACTACTTCCAATGTGTCAACGCTTAAGCGCTTTTCACGAACCGTTAAGTTGGGATGCTTGGATTGTTGGCGTATGATAGGGGCATTGGCGAGGCATTGTGTATAGACGGAGCGATTGCACACATGGTTGGCTCTCTTGACTTGAGGGGCCGCTATCAGGGGTTCGCATTGGAGCTCATGTTCCCTTCTTGTATATAGACAATAAATGATGGCATTATTTGATCTTATGACCCTGGTCCTATTGACTTTCGTCAGCTGTGACTGTTTACCATTTGAAGGATGCTTCTATCCTCACTTAGAAGGAAAGATGTTTCCCCAGTACCCGGACAGAGCAACATAATTGCTCTACCAGCTTAAGGTGCTCTGCGGTTTATATCGTACTCAAGCAATGCACCGCCATTAACAAATCATGTTACTAGTCGCTCATAGACGGATTTACTTGCGAGCTTACTTTGCGTCACTAGTTTTTGTCCGCAGAATGGCAGCGACCTCTCACGGTTTACTGGGTATGTCGTCGGAGAAACAATAGAGCTGTTGCCGTAGACTCAGCCACGCCGGTCAGCGATACTAAATCCATAGCCCACTCAGGCCTTCTCTTTCCTCGCCCAAGACCGGATCACGCGCTGGCTTGGGAACAGACCACACCGTCTCATACCTCCCAGCGTGCTCGCCGCCAACGGAGAAGTCCCATTCACCTCCGTGTTGATAAGCGCCAATCATAGTAAAGCCATTCAACTTCACGTCTTTCAACGTCTCCTCCACATTACCACCCGCGGTCCTGTGCCCGTCGCCAGGTATGAGGAATCCGGATTCGGCGACCGGCTTGGCGTCGAACGTCTTATGGGACACGCCCGCGGGAATCACAAATACATCGCCGGGCTCTGCGTGGATCTCTACGCCGCCGCCCTCGTGCCCCGCGCCATTCGTGTTGGTCTGCATATCGTCATCGGCATCGGCCGCGCCGAAGCGGATGGTAGCTGTACCGGAGAGCACGGTCATGCACTCGTGCGTCTTGGAATGGTAATGCGCACGCTGCGACGGCCCGTAACGCGCGATCCATTGCGTCTCCCAGCCGTTGACGAGGAAAGACCGGTATGCTGTGAGCGCGTCCAGATTCCGGCCGTCGCTGCCGAAGAATCGCGGGTAATGGATCAGTGGGTATGGGGAGTTGGGTACCAGAGGGGTTGGCTCTAGGTTGTAGGTCTTGGGTGCAGGCATGATGATTGACTAGGTTCCCTTTGGGTTCTTGAAAAGAGTTACAAGCGAGGTCTTGAGACGAGCCCGAAGAACTCCAGTCCGAGTTTGGAGTCAGGAAGTAAGCGGGGCAGGTCCGGTCCGATTTTAGCCCACGGGATGATGGCGGAAGCCGGTGCTCGGCGAGTCCGGCCTCATCACAAAACACCATCAATTATCCCCGTCCACAATAAACTTCACCATGGCTTCTAGGCCTTCCCTCCTCATTAACCAAACTGATTATTATTCCACATACATATCTGGTAAAAGTGTTTCAGAATTATCTGTGCAGGATGGGTCGACGAGAGAGATCCCCCGAGGCCGAGCCCTTTGTTGCATTGACAAATCGCCAAAGGGCTTACGTTTCTGGCGGCAACCATGCGTTGGCTCTTCTTCGCCTAAAATCCTTTGTTCGACGTGTCCGACATAACAATTGGATGTCTCGAACCCGGGTGTGTTGCATTGTTCGGCACTTGGACCTTGGGTATGATTAGCCCGGTCCCACGGTGTGTCGTCTACCCTCTCACTTTTTGTTGATATCGTGAAGACACAATTTAGCGCGGAATAAAGCATGCTACGAACGCTAGCTACAATATTGACCCTCGGCCTCGCGGTCGCATCCCCGTCGCTCGAGGCCCGTGGAGATGACCCCCACAAACTGATCATCGGCGCCCCGTTCCAAGTTCTGACCGCCGACTTCGATGGCACCAAGTTCACTATCACCGGCAACGTTACAACAGTCGGCTCAGCCCCTAGCTGGCTGCTCTACAAGCAGCCAAATCTCGTCTATGCTGTGAACGAGAACGCCAACGACACCAGTCTCTTCCAGCTTAGGGAGAACCACAGCAACCTTACGCTTCTAAGCAGCATCACCAACGGCGCATTGGGCGTCGTTCACCTCGAGTTCAACTTCTTCCAAACCATCATGGTCGGTGCCGGCTACGGAAGTGGAATGATCTATGTCTGGAACTCAGCGTTACCGGATGGGACCCTCGAGCTCGTGAAGCAGGTCAACATCACCGGCAAGCTCGGCCCCAAGCAGCCCAACCAGGCGGCGCACCATCCCCACCAGGCCGCTATCGACCCTCTCGGTCGCTTCTTCCTGATCCCCAACCTCGGCGGTGACGCCATCGAGATCCTCGACACGCACAACGGCCTGTCCACTCTGACGCGCCGTCCCCTATTCGCCGGTTCCGGTCCCCGGCATGGCGGCTTCCTGCAGGACCAGCGGAACAAAGTGACCTACTACGCAGTCGTCTGCGAGCTGTCAAACGAGGTCAAGTTCTTCAAGGTCAAGTATTTGCCCAGCGGCATCAAGTTGCTGCACGTCTCGACGCAGAGCACCTACGGCCCGGGTTTCGGTCCGGCCAACAAAACAACGGCCGCCGCTGGCGAGATCGTCATCGCTCGCAACATGCGCGACGTCTACATTTCGAACAGGCTCAGCGGGAACGAGACGGACAGTATATCGCACTTCATCTTCAATCCACCTGAGGGTACCGATCGAAACCTGAATGCGACACTCACCTTTGATGAATTGGTGTCGTCGGGCGGTATCGCGCCGCGCATGTTCAGTCTCAGCGCAGACGGTGAGGAGAGAATTGTGTTTGTTGCAAACCAGGGAGGAGAGAACGGTCTGTTGGCGATGAGGCGAGATCTCGAGACTGGGAACATTGATCCTAAACCGATCGCCACGGTGCTGAACACGGACTTGGTCGCGCCGCAGCTGGCTACTCAGGCGAACATGGGGCCGTACTTTATCCAGGAGATCGTCTAGGCGCGCTATCTAGCGAGCATTTTATCAAATAGAGTAGCTTGGTGTTGACAGCCTCGTGACCATTCGCAACGCGACTCGGATCCTGACGCGGCCTTTAAGCTCAGCTGAGCTTGTACTGCGCCGTGACCGAAGCGCCCTCTCATAAACACTCAGCCCGGTAATTGGAGCCTGAGTAGAGAAGACTCATCGCATCCAGCGTTTCAAAAGCCTTCCTGCCCGGCTCATCGTGGATGCGACCGATCCACATGACTTCCACGAGCTGCTCCCGCATGTGATCCCAAGATAGAGGCTGAGAAGGTCCTCCTGATCTCCATTGACAGCATAGCCATTCCTCATCCGCGTCGAATACCGATAAAGCGCCAATCAGCAGAACCCAGGCTAACACATTCCTTCCATCACCTGTTGATATAGCGCCTGCAGCTCTATAAGCACTGCGAAGTTTATCCGCCAACTGCGGATACGGATATCTCCTCCCTGGAAGCTGAAATGTCATGGTGATCATGAATGCCAGCATACCCAGACGAAGGCACTCGCTCAGTGGTCGAAGACCATCATCAGCTGAATGCGTCGAGTCCATTTGCAGCAGACGAGACTGTATGTAGTCCATTGCTGACTGGAACATCTCGCCGTTTACACGTGTGTTGCGGTCAGAGTGTTGGTTGATCATCGTCACCAGATGCTGTAAGTCCGTGAACATCACGCTCATCCTATGGTCGACCAGGCCTTCGACAGATAGCATTCTGGTGTTGTAGCAGATCGGCGCAGGGTATATACCTCGAAAGAGTGGCTGTAAAGCTTTCTGGGTGTCGTCGTTGAAGCGCGGCTTGCCTTCGCTGCTGGCTGACTGGGCCACGTCCAGGCTGGATATAGCAAATCAGTACATCTAGTTCAAAACAACAACAGTCCATTAGCATGCGTACCAGGCAATCTTGAACCGTATCTTTGGGTTCAGCTTCTTCATGCCACCACGTAACCGTACTACCTGCTCCAGACCCATCATGTGCGTTTGCGCAGCAGTGGAATCATCGAAGATGCCAGCCATCATATTCAGCGTCATGACAATAGAAATGACCGAGTCCAGCAAGTGCGCATCCTTGGTGGCCAGCTTTCGGTTCAGAAGTGACAGTGTCTTCCGCAGATGGAAGATAGTGAGGCTACCGGGCTGCTGTCGGCGTGTGTAATCACGCAGAGCGGAGAGGGTCAGTAGCGATGAGTGCAGGTACGCAGCGTCTTCGGCCATCCATGCGAACCCGCGGTTGAGGCCAGTTGAGTTGAAGTCCAAGCAGGCCTCGATGGGGTAGATGTTGAATGGGACGCCTTAGACAGGTTGTTAGTGGAAGGACGAGGCTTTCACTCGCGGAGACCAGCATACGCACATTCTGATAAGAGCCTGAGGGACTCGTGATCGATATCCTCCGCAAAGCGAAAGAAGGCCAAGCTCGAGGCGGCAAGCGGAGGCAAAAGGCTGACGGCCTCATCTGGGGCAAGCAGAGACTTCCTGGAATACGGGTCTGGAACAGCGCCTGCAGTTCCCTTGGGCCCCTGCGTCAAGGCAGACAGTGATGGAGATGTTGGGTTGACGTCTAGAGTCTTCGCCAGCTTAGAAGCCGACGCCTCCGCATCTTGACGAGCGTACTGGGCCGACCGATATGAGCCTGCCCGTCGATTCTTCCCTTTGACGCAGTGGCTGCGGATCAGCTGTCTGTGGTCTTTCTTTGGCTTACCAAAGCTATCTGTGGAGACGAAAGCGAAACCGAAATCAGGCATGACGAATAAGCTGGGAGAAGCAGATGTCGGGCAGGTATGGAATGTCTTGGTCAACCCTGAGATTGCCTTGACGACACAGTGTTTGCCAATTCAGGAAGGAAGAGCACGTTGATATACAGGTCTTCGGTTCTCGGACGAATACCGGTACCGTATTTACGCCGTCCCGCTCCCCAGCCCCCGGCCCGAGCGGCGCACTGGCCACGCACAGGATTTGCCGTTTCAGGTATAGCCTGACTGGGTAAGTACCCCCCTATTCATACGACCCGCTTCGGCACCATGGTGCTGCTAGCTCCCGCTCGTAAGTGCACAGGCCATGCACAATGTTTGCCTTTTCCAGTATAGCCTGACTGGGTAACGACCCGTTTCGGCACCCATGGCTGCATGGTGTTACTAGCTCCCGCTCCCAAGTGCATTAGCCACGCATAAGGTTTGCCATTTTTTGTATAGCCTGACCACCTGGGTAAGCACAGCCCGCTTCGGCACCATGGGTATGGCTATAGATGTTAATGGACTGTGGTTCAATAAATGTACCATCGAGGCATGCTGGCAAAGACGTGGGAGAGCTGTAGCCTAGAAATGTCCATCTCCGCCACTGCTCAGCATGGACCAGGCATACTGTTCGCCGTATTGGTCATAGTTCGCACCGCAGTGCCCCCTACCAGCATTGCGCGGCAGTCGTGGACCTCATGTACTTCAGCAGGTATCGTAGGTAAGTCATCTGGCATTCCGCTGCCAGGCACATTGATGACCAGATCTGAATTCGCTGGCCGACCCTCTAATCTTGGACCATTTCACCTGGTTATAAGTAACTTTACGTCCCGTACGCTCTTTCGTCAAAGTCTCCAGTCCCGTGTACCTTCTCATCGCATTCCATATTCTTCCCAATCCCGTTCATCAATACAACCTCGTTCATCAATACCACGCAGCACCCACCATGATGCCTTCATCCATAGCCCTCCGTCCCACCCTGACCCCCTTCAAACAATTCTACGCCAACCAATTCGGCACCAAACCCCAGCCGCCACCCCGAGGCACAACCTTCGCCTCCAAAACAGCCATAATAACCGGTTCTTCCAGCGGTATAGGGCAAGAATGCGCTCGCCAAATGCTTGACCTCAACCTCTCACACCTAATCATGGCCGTCCGCAACCCTGCGAAAGGTGAAGCAATCGCGAAGGAACTGCGGAAGGGACACCCCATGGCAGTGGTTGATGTGTGGAAGCTGGATATGCTGCACTATGCCTCCATTCAAGCGTTCGCTGAGAAGTGTGAGAGGGAGTTGAGGAGACTGGATATCGTAATCCTGAACGCCGGAGGCTCGAACCAAGCTTTCAAAGTCAATAAGGAGACGGGGCATGAGGAGAGTTTGCAACTCAACTACCTCTCTAACGCTCTTCTCGGCACTCTCCTGTTGCCAGTTCTGAAGAACAAGCGATCGCCAGGTGCTGGGCCTGGGCGGATGCTCTTCGTATCGTCCGCGCTAGGAGTCACCTCCAAGTTCTCCAACGTCGCAGCAGACCCCCTCTTGCCGTCCTTCACGGAGCCGTATGTGTCTGGAAAGGAGCAGTGGAATTTGGGTGCAGCGCAGGAGCGGTATTCCATGACGAAGACGCTGGTCAACATGTTCATATACAAGCTCAGCACTCTCGTCTCCGCCGATGATGTCATCATTGATGGCGTTGAGCCTGGGTATACCAAGGGCTCTGGTCTCGACGCGGATGTCACAGGTGTTCTGAAGTGGGTACTCTGGGTAGTGAAGTCTCTGGTCGCGAGGACGCTGGAGCATGCGGCATGGACTTACATCGATGCCGTCGACACGAAGGGGAAGGAGAGCCATGGGTGTTTTCTCATGTGTTATCGGAATTGGCCGTGAGTACCTCGGTCGTCCTGCTCTCGCGAAGATATGCTAACTTTCCTTTTCAAGATTTCATGCGTTGATGTACACACCTGAGGGTGAAGCTGCGACCGAGCGCCTCTGGAAGGAGACGATGGACGAGCTGGACTTTGCTGGCGTGAGAGGAATCGTGGAGTCGATGAAGCACTAAGTGGCGAAGTCTCATCTTTAGATGGCACAGGCGGGATGAGAGCGGATGACGGGCTTAAGAAGCGGACATGGTGGTCGTTTCTGGGGGTGGGTGTTGCGTTGCGGGTGGGTTATAGTTGTGCGCAGTAATGATGTAGCGCACAGCACCGGGGCTCTGCTTTTTGTTGTCTTTTGGGGTACTTGGGTTTGGCTCCTCCCTTCCGGTCAAGAGCTTAATAATAAAATAAATCGTAACGATGGTGGTGTTCGAGGCGATTGTAGAGCGGTATGTCAAATGGGCGAGGGGCAGGATACACATAACTCAGAATTAGAGCTGTCATCAGAAACTTGGCGGTCGAGGCTATATCGCTCTTTTGGACTTTCGTTATGTCACGTACGGGGTAATCCAGAGGGACAGCTCCCCAACCGCGTCTCCCTGGCCTGGGGATTCGCTTGTAGTCCTAGGTTGTCACGCGAATCGCTCTCAAATTTGTCCACATCCCTTTTCCGGGGCATTCATTTGATCAGTATTGTGCGGCATGTTCTCTGTCATCGTTCCATCGCTAGAAAGCTTGGCGTCGCTGGTGGTGTTGATGTGCAGTGATGTGCCTGGCCAGCGCAGGCGTAGATGGCGGAGAAAGACTTTGCGGATGCGAACAAGAGCGTTGAAGGCGACTTCATATACTGGTGGCGGGTCGATGACGCTGAAGTCAGGTTAGCTATAATACGGAATGACCACAGAAAGCTCAGTTCAACCCGGGAAATATGACTGAGAATGTTTCACCTACCCCATGGCTTCACGTAATCTAGGGCCCATGGCTACAGACACCATCTTCCGCCCCATAGTCTTGAACGGCGTCTGTACCTGTTGAAGCCACCTATCCATCGTGGTATTACCCATACGAGCGGCAGCCTCCGATGGCTTCATGTGCTCTTCCTCATAAGCTCGAGCCCAGACATCAAGCTCGCTCAACCAGTGCAAGCCGTCTCGCCAGGCGTCACGTTGCGAGGGCAGGTGATCATACGGAATCGCCAACTCGTCTCCCAGTGCCTTGTGAAAGACCGCAATGGCACATCGTTCGATATCCGTGAGTCGCCGCCACTCATAGCTGTCGACCCAGCGCACTATTTCAAGTGTGAAGAGGCTTAGCGTGTAGAGGAGGTCGTCGTCGGAGATCTTGCCTGATGGCCGGTAGAAGCTATGGATGTAGTTGACCCGCGCGATGCCTTGTACTGCTTCCTGCGATCCTGGCCGGCCCATCATGTTCGCCAGGACGACACTGGAATCGAGTTTCTTCTTCGTGCTTTTCGTCTGAGCCTTGGTATGGGCATTTTGCCCTGCTCTCGCGAAGAGCCCTGATATAGATGGTATTCCGTAAGACTTGGGCAAGCACCTATCAGCTCCAGAACCCTTTGAAGGAGTTCATTTGGTGGGGTTCCGACTCTGAGCGTGCTTGCGTACCTTGAAAAGGGCGAAGGGGTTCACCATTGAGAGGGTCCGAGGGAACTCTTGCTCTGCGAGCCACGACTTGATGGCGTAGGCTTCTTCAAGAGTCATCCCAGCGAGCGCACCTTGAGCACCGTACCTGAGTCTTAGCCTTCCTTGCATCGAGTTTGTCCGTCGGTTACGCAGCATCATGCATAGCGAGAGGTAGCCCACCGCACAACAGATCACCCATGGATTCCACCCCGATGTGAACAGGTCGGCCAGATCAGCACCCGTCCAGTTGAGCCCGTGATCCATGGCTCGCAGATGAGATATCCTGCCGACAGTTGAAATAATCGAGATGTGTGGTTGGAATAGACCTGACTCTTGAATGACGCCCTTGAAACTCTCTACCTAATAGTCAGGGGTATTTGGTCCCTAGATCGCTAGAAAGGAGTATTTCTTCTCCACCGTCGCCTGTACAGTACTCGTTGACTGCAGCTATGGCAACTTCAATGGTTACCGCATACGGTCGCAGGACTCGACGTATGGTTGTTCCTACCTCCAATCTGTTCAAGAGTGGTCGAATTGCAGGGTTGAAATGAGAGAATCAGTGATGTTGGACTTTGAGGAACCTAGGATGGGGATGGAGGAGAAGAACACTATTCATGAACGGGCGAGGCACGCCATTTGACAAATCCAGAAGGTGACTTCGATGCATCACTGCAAAATGGGCTCTCTTGTTTCGCTTGGAGAGCGGCCGAATGCTACATCAGACTGGTGTGTCATTGGCCGACGGGAGATCCAGCTTACGGAAGATAGAAGGCTCACTGCTGTGGTATTGCGCACCTTCACCACTGGGTTTTTGTACTGTCCGGCATTAAATTGACCTGGCCTCTGAGTTCTCTACTGTGTCTATGACATACTGGGATCAATGTTTCCTTGCAAATGACACTTGCTCCAATCCTATCTCTTCAATGCAATTTACGGTCTCGGTATGAGGGCACGTATATCAGCAGTTCCCAGGAGTTACGTTGTCCCGAATGTCTCCTTTCCCCGAGGCTGTAGAGGAAATTTCTCGCCCTCACGGCTTACCAGATTAGGGGGTGAAGTGCTGGCTCTACATACCAGGTTGGTGACACTTACAGGCGCTACTCGATGGCTATTCTCTGCCGAAAGGGAAAGCAACGCTGCACCTTTGCCCCCCAGGCAGCCATTCCTGGACTACGAGTATCACTTTCTGAGATTGTACGTAGATGAGAGCACTTAACGGCAACCAACAGGCGGTGGCCTCGGGTAGGTACTTAGGAAAGCAGGCATATTTCACCGATGTTAACCCCATAGCGGTCTACCTGGCCGCAGTCTCAACTGACGACGGCGCATGCACAAATGGAGGTGATGGTCATAATAGCTCTGGTTGTTCATTGATACGCCTCGTGTGAGCTAATGTGAATGTGGTGTTTCCATCAATGATTGTTGTGCAGGCAGGTTCCTTCCCCGTGAAAGCAATTGCCCTTCAAAATGCCTGAGGCATCCTGTCCCCATGAACTGGCCAAATTCCCGTGTTCCAAGCTGTACTGTCCTCCAATTTGCAACCCACGTCGTTTCCCAATGTGTATGCCAATGGTCCTAGTCCTCGGTTTCCTCCGCCTCAGCCTGGAGGTACTCCATGATGTCCTGCACGCAAGGAAGGAGCTTCGTGGCTCGCTTTCTTCGGTTGGCGACCGACTTATTCACCTTGTATTGTCGATGGCTGCGAATCTCCTTCTTCTGCTGCTCGATCTCCTTCTTCTGGATTTCGTTTTCGGCCTCGAGAGCTTGGAGGTCGTTCTTCATTGTCTGGAACTGGTCGGCCTTGGAGTCGTTTGCTTTGTCCATTTCGGCCTTTGATAGCTTCAGGGCCTTGATTTCTTCAGCCAGAGTCGCAGCGTGGTCGGCTTCTTGTCTGTAGAGCTTTGCGAGTTCGACGTTGGCTTTCTGGAGTTGTTCGTTTCGAACAGACACCGGCAGCTTGACTGTGACCAGGTGTCTTGGTGCCTCCATTTTGGCTGTCGCAAAGGTCTGCTTGCAGTGTTGTGTGAGGTGGTGTCTTGTGTTTGTGTGATATGGGATATGGGTCTTGGCGACCTTAGATGATGGACGGTTTGGTTGAGAGGAGGGATGCTCAGAATTGTTAAAGTTGGGAAGTTTGTGTATGGGAACCTGCAAGCCGGAGCTTCTCGGAGTACCTATATCTATAGGTCTTGTTGTTGCATGGCACGAAATGCGGGAAGGGCAGTTGCATTGACAGGACCCAGAGAGCAGCATGCCTTCTGACATGGGCCAGAGGGCAGAATGCCTTTTGACATGGGCCAGAGGGCAAAATGTCCTCTGCCCCTTGAGAGCCGCATGTCTCCTGACAGGGGGCAGAGGCAGCATGTATTTTGAGACCTCTGTCCGACCACATTTTCGCCCAGCTTCCTAATTACATTCGGTTTAGTTTCCCGGCGGATGAGGTCCTTTTTACGGATTGGAAGCTACCTGTGTTGTAGATACATGCTCATGAGAGTCAACTTTCCAAGTACTAGATATGCATATGTTCATGTAGTGGGGGACTTATGAAGCCTAGGAGAGTCGCCGTGGATACGGATTATTTTACAGTTCCAACTCCCTTCTACGGATAATCCCATATATCTCGAATCTGGGATTCGGCAAGTAAAACCGCAGAAATATTCCTCCATCGAATCATCTTACTCGGGGATATTTGAGAGATATCGAGTAGGGGAGACCATCAAGTGGAATTAGGCTGCCGATGCCAGTCCTGCACACTCCAGGGCACCAAGAGTGGAGCTTGAGCTAGAAAGTAGTGACTGAGCTACACATCCCCGGACAGTCGACGAGAAGACCCTTTAAGAGCACAACATACCAAATTGTAGAGTTGCTAGGGCATACATACTAAGCCGGTGGAAAGATAGACGGTCCTGCCTTGCGTGTAGAACTGTAGTTCACTGATGGAGGAAACACCATTTCATGTTTGAGGTTCAGGTTCAAGTCAGTGGGGATAGAGGCCAATAATAGGAGAGTGGCGGCTGCTACCATGCCGCCAACAGCTGTTTTTACCAAGCCATTTCGGCCGCAAGGAAAGAGCACGACTCGACGCTGGCATCAACAGATCACGCCGAGCAGTAGGAAGAAAAGGGGTCAAATTTCAGACTAGTCTGAATTGGAAGAAGAAGAAGGATAGCTGAAGGGGGTAACTATCTAATCAGGTGATCCCACTGGATGACCAACGTACTGCTCAGTGGCGTATCTAGCCTGAGTAAGTATCCTGACAAAAGGTGCAAACGCATGCACTCATATTCTACCTATTCCACTGCATGTCATTTTGAAAACCTCTTGTACATATTACAGTGGGCTGTGGTCAGCTGCTAACCTGGAAGCCAGCGGTCTCCCTCGAGGTACCTGATCAGTGCCTCAGGCAACCTGCACGTACCCAACAAGAATCTTCCCAGTTTCGACAACCTTCCCCACCTGAGTCCAGCAATCGCAGGCCTCCCAATCGCACGTATCTACCTGCGAAAGTTTGTCCCAACGCACTTGGAGACATCGCATCTTCACCACCGCCTCTGTTCTCATTCCGTTGGTCCTCATTGATCACTGCCTTCTTCCTGATCACCACCTCCCACCGCGCCGCGTTCCGCCAGCCTCGAGTTGTCTGGTAAGCCACAAAACGTTTCTTTCCGCCGCAGCAGCCTGCTAACCTCACATTACCAGAAGTCCTCTATCCATCATGGCTCCCAAGCGTAAGGCGAGCAGTGGCCTCGAATCCAAGTCGACCAAGGCGACCAAGGCTGGAAGCCCGCTCGTGACCGACATCGAACAGCTTGAGAAGCGCATCGAGGAGCTCGAAAAGCAAAACACTAGCCTCTCCGACATGTACAGCAAAGAGGTGAGCCATCATGCCGAACTCCGAGACACGACCGATCACAAGGTGAATGAGCTGCTACAGGAGAATCGCAACACCCAATCTCAACTCCAAGGCCATAAAAATACTATTCGCGACCTTGAAGTCTCCCTGGGTGAGAAAAAGAAGGAGTACGATGACCTAGAGGGTTTGCGTCGTCGCCAGTGGGTAACCGTCCTCCAACAGCACAAGATCATGATCTCTCAGAAGAAGACAAACGATGAGCGATTGGAGACAATCAACCAGCAGAAGGAGAAAATCAACCAGCAGAAGGAGACCATCGATCAGCATGAGAACAGCATCCCCCAGCAGGAAATTGCCATCGACCACCATGATCACACCATCCAGCAGCTGCGGGATACCATCAACCAGCATGAGTTTACCATCGCCTATCAGGAAGTTGCCATCACTAAAGAGGCCGACATCATTACCAAACAGCAGAGAGGTGAGCCGAAGTCAGATTCTTGGAAGAAAATCAAAGACCTGCTCGAGGAAAGAGAGAATCTCCTTAGCCAGATTCAAGGCCACAAGTCCACCATTCAAGAGCAAGAGGAAGTCAACAACCAACACGAGGATGTCGTCGTCCACTATAAGTGTCGGGTCTCTCATCTTGAACGCAAGATCTCCGACATACAGGAGGTCCTTGAACGCCAGAAGGAAGCTGAGCAACAGCTCAGCAGTGCCTCCAGGATGTTGACGGAGGCTCGGCTTGTCATAGAGGCGGTAGTCAACAAGGATATTTCGCAGTAACATCGTTGCTGTGAAAGTTGTCTGGCAGTTCAGTTCCGGTCATTGTATCTTGAGGGACAAGATGGGGCAGTGACGACATGTTGACATGGGCACGGAGTTCAGATATCCGCTTCCTAGGGTCATTTCGCTTTGAACATAGCATACACACATAGGCTGATAACAACCGAAGAATGGACGTGATGATGGAGACAGTGTAGCCTTTAGTGGTACTGATCAAATTAAGAGTCCTGCTATTTGCACCTTGTCTTCACCCCCAAGCGGGCTAACCATCAAGCTTACGGCTTACCATTAGATCGAGGTTGTCGGTGCAATTGTCTGTGCAGTTGTTTGTGTAGTTATCTGTGTAGTTGTCTGTATAGTTGTTGGCGTAGTTGTCGGCGTAGTTGTTGGTGCAATTATTGGTGCAATTGTGCTAAGATAGGGGACTGTATTGCAGCTGGCTGGCAGGTGGGTTGTAGAGACAAGGTGCATGCATATAGCATGACTTCAAATTAAGATGGTGCTGATGTTATAGCCCGCGTAGACTTTCATCTCCCATATGCATGAAACCTACAGGTATAACAACGCGCAAGGTGATGAAAAAAGGAAAATGCAATTGCCGGAGAAAAAAGAAAGGGGGAAAAGATCAATTGCTTTCAGCAAAATCGAACCATCTACCTGATACAAAAAGAGTTCGGCACTAGGCCTACATCTCTAATATGTCTACTCCGTAATCAAGTTCATGTATAATTGAGCCAATCCACACCCCATCAGCTTTCACCTCATTTGGTGAGAGTTTTGCTTTTGTTTTGCCATATAACCCCTTCCACACTGTAGGCATTGCTGGGCGACACTCTGCATGGTAGCAGCCACCTAGCAACACGGCGTCCACCACGACGTATTCACCCAGATGCTCGCATTAGGTTACAAGCTCCCGATCCTACGATGCCACTTCGTCTGCTCACCTATAGAACATCCGAGAATACCGTTGCGCTGCTCGACGCAGGAGTTTCCTCACACAATGTTACATGACGTTCTCAGTGTGCAGAAGCTCCAACGTATTGCGCGACTCGCATGCCTACAATTCTTGGGGCTCAGAGCCAGACAGCTGCAACGCGAGAGCCCGATTAAGAGCACATGACTCGGACTGATTGTAATACAATGAGTATATTGGGCTCATTGCCCATTTTCGCAGTACCGAAGACTTGATAACATGCCGTGCCCAGGACTACACACCCCTAAAATCAAGTCGCTCTGTTCTTCACCCGCTAGACTGATGCTCCTGCAGTGCCCACACCTTGGGCTACAAGAAACGATGATACCCGAAAATGCCCCCTTCTCGATCCGTCGGTTCCGACAGCAGAGCATCTCGTTCCTAAGCTGTTCCCCTCCCTGTTAACCAAATAACTCCGGGCAAAATCATGAAACCCCATTCTTCAGTCCTCGAAAGTCGTCTCCTTCATACATCTGTTGTCCGATAACACTGGAGGGAGGTAAATGTTGCCCGACCACGCCACCCACTTAACCTAACCCATGTATCGGACCTCAACCACTTCCACGCTTTCTCCAGGTCTCTCCATACCCCAAGCTTCACCCGCATCCCAGTGACGGTATTCATTACAAGCAAGCACCCACATATACGCCGTAGTACAAAACACCACACCCTCAAACACCGCAAGGTGCCGCACCGGACGGCCCCATCGATAGTGCTTCCGGGCCACATAGCCCAAAAGCCACCACTGGAGGCCCCACCACTGGAAGAGGAAGCTGAAGAAGAGGACCTGGTGAATCTGCACGCGCGGCGCGCAGGGCGTGAACAGACCCCATTGATGCGGGATACCCAAGATCGAGGATTGGATGTGGAAGCCGAGCTTGTGCAGTTGTAGTGATAGGAGGTTGGGATTGTAAATTTGGCCGGCCGGGAGTTCCGCGGGGGTGAAGAGGCCAAATACGAGGGAGGCCAGCGTGGCGGTGTCGATGCCAAAGATGTAATAACAGGCAAGCTTGAAGAATATGACTGGTGCCACGTATTTCATGTACTCGTAAACCGAGCGGAGAGCCATTTCGGTCGAGTTGTCGTCTGCTGGTATACGCTCGGCGAGGTACAGAGTCGTGTGTCGGGCTGGTGGGGAGAGATACTCGTAGTTCGTGTCTGTGGAATATGCGGGCCAAAATTGATTTGAAGTTCTACGTTGTTGTTGTCACTGTTTTTTGAGACCTTCTCAGGTTCAGGGCCACAGTGATCGGTCGGTTGGGTGGTGGGTCACAGTGTTAAACGTAGGCGGGAAGTTGCGAAGCAGCGACCTCCAAGGTCTCAAGAACGATGTGCCGCAGTGGCGTGTGAGCAGATAGGAGCGGGAAGGCGCTTTGAGCTTCACAGGACACCAAGAACTTGATGAGTCCAGTAGACACTACAAGACACCCTGCAGAATACCGTCAAAAATCCCACGCATAGTAACGCTAGTTGAATCGATGTGATCATGTAATTACGGCCAAGCGCTGTAGTCCCATTGCGATGACATTGACTACATTAGGTAGTGTATAGGGGCTTTATTGGCCCAGCTTCTGGGTACTCGTGTTAGTCTGATGGTGGCCATCACACCCAGACGAGTAAGGCCCCGGTTGAACCTACCCGACATGTATCCCAGATGAGGGAAATCGCGGTCACGACTACCAAAGTGACATGGTGATGAGCAATCTGAAAGGCAAACCTTGACGACATTCGGGCGTGAAGTTCTGTAAAATCTGCGGGACATTGACCGGCTTGGAAGAACCAGGTTCACGAGCTACCGCCAGCGAGCAATATGGAGCGCAGACGAGTGCGGCTGATGATGCCAGGAGGAGGTTCGGTCGGGAAGATTGACACGGCCCCTTGACCAGGGGCCCAAATGGCTCTAATTGGGCAAGTGTAGGGAGCATCAGGCCTTCTGGCGCTGTGCGCAAAGCAACCTGAAGTTAGCGGAAGACGATTCGTCATATAATACGACCAGCCCTGGACTGGCACACTTGGTACAATGTGCCCTCATTAGTCGGCAACAGGGTTCAAGCATTAGACGCGCAGTTTAACCGTCGGTCGATTCATAATACAGCGCTTCTCATGTCAGTAAATCCGGCCATCAACAGTGGATGAGAATAGTTGTACTCACTGTTGCGTGACATTCCCATTTCCTCCCACATCCATAGTGAACTTCTTTCATCGAATCCTCGAAAAGACCTGCTGGACGACCCATCAGAATATTCGCAGCACTACCGCATTCTTAGCGGACGCTGGTCATCAGATCGGAGCTGATCAGGCAATAAGGTCTGCCACGTTCATTGGCATCTCATCGATCTGAGTAGAGTAGTACACTGCTAGTGTTAGCACAGGCCTTCGAAGGAAGAGATTCGGTGGCTTACATTCAATATCACGAAGGATACGAACATCTTCGCTAGTAACGAAGTTGATGGCGACACCCTTGCGACCAAACCGTCCACTGCGACCAATACGGTGGATGTAGTTCTCACGATTGCTCGGAAGGTCATAGTTGATGACCAAGCTGACCTGCTGGACATCGATACCACGCGCCCAGACATCCGTCGAGATCAAGACTCTGCTGTTGCCCTGTCTGAAGTCCTGCATAATGCTGTCTCTCTCCTTCTGAGGCATGTCTCCGTGCATGCTGCTGACAGTGAAGTTTGCCTCGCGCATCTTGTCGGTCAACCAGTCCACCTTGCGTCGGGTGTTGCAGAAGATCACGGCCTGGGTAATGGTGAGTGTGTCGTACAGGTCGCAAAGGGTGTCGAACTTCCAGTCTTCCTTTTCGACAGCAATGAAGTATTGCTTCAAACCTTCGAGGGTCAACTCGTCACGCTTGACGAGAATGCGGACTGGGTCGGTCATGAACTTCGTAGTCATGTCGAGAACGTCGTAGGGTAGGGTAGCGGAGACGACGACGACCTGTGTGGCCGGCGGCAGGTATCGGTACACGTCGTAGATTTGCTCGCGGAAACCTTGGTTCAGCAGCTCGTCGGCTTCATCCAGCACGAGCATCTTGATCTTCTTGGTGCGCAAGTGGCGACGACGGATCATGTCGGCCACACGACCGGGAGTACCAGAAACGATGTGCTGACCATAATCCAGCTTTCGGATATCCTCGCCCACGTTGGTTCCGCCGATGCACGCATGGCACTGAACGTTCATGTAGTCGCCCAGAGCCATGACCACGGACTGAATCTGCGTGGCCAGCTCGCGTGTAGGAGATAGCACGAGGGCCTGTGTTTCGCGCACGGCGGTGTCGATGACCTGAAGCATTGAGATAGAGAAGGTAGCAGTTTTACCGGTTCCGGACTGCGCTTGAGCGATGGTGTCGCGTCCCTTGCAAACTTGGACGATGGCTCGAGACTGGACGGCGGAGGGCGATTCGTAGCCGTATGCGTAGATTCCACGGAGGAGGTTCTCTAGGACGGATTAGCAGTCTATCGTGAGAATGGCAGTGGTCTTCCTTACCCTTCAAGGACATGGCCTCGAACGTGGGATGGACCGTAACCTCTTTCGAGGTCGAGAACTCCATCTTCTCCTCCGCGCGACGATCGATGCCACTGCCTTCTGCCATATTTCCGATTTGTTGGTAGTCTCGTGTCGTTGAGGTCGAGGTCGAGGTCGAGCTGGTCGGGTCGCCGTTCGTAGACAATTATTATGTTTAGTGGAGAAACTTTGTATGTCGGCCGCTTCTGAGGCACAAGCTTCCGTGCTTCCCTACCCCAGTCCACACTAATGTGGCTTGTTCACGGTATTTGGTGCTGCACCGCCACAACTGCTTCATTCAATGTTGCACTTCAAAGTTGAGCAAGGCTCACCAAATTCTTCTTCAGCCTCATCGTCCTGCTACCCTTTTCACTCTTTCTCGATCACCGACCGCCCAACACTTTATCCCACCAAGATCATCTACCTGGATCTACCCATTGGTGCCTCTAACGATGTTATTGGAAGAGCAAAGGTTCTTGCACGAGGACCTCGAGCGCCTTGAGCAAGGCATCGCCGATCGCATTGGCGATGAACCAAAACATGTACGTCGCTGATACTCTATTGACACGGTCCAGTGCTGACATTGTCTTCTAGATTCGGGATCGCTTGGCGCAAGACCACCAGATATCGCAATTTCTCGATCGCATTTCCGCACAATCAGAAAAGCTCCTCACCATATATCGCGATGCAGACGGTACGAGGTCGCGCGAGATCCAGCAGATCGGGACCGGCGATCCGATGGAGGAGTTTTACAAACAGCTGGCCGAAGTGAAGAGCTTCCACGCAAGGTACCCGAACGAGCCGGTTGAGAACCTCGAGCGAGCATACAAGCCGAAGAAGGGAGCCGATGCCGATCTAGCGCAACCCAGCATCGTGGACACCATGTTCACGGGTGAAGAAGCGTTTGGGCGGTTCTTCGATCTACACACGTGCCACGAGCTCTACCTCAACCTCCCCAACGCCAAACGCTTAAGCTACCTACAATATCTGGAGTTGTTTGACAACTTCTCTCCCGGCGCTGGTGGTCTGAAGAGATCCGAGAAGATGACCGATCAATACTTCAAATACGTCGGGCAGCTTGCTTTGGATCTGGAAACCTTCATGCGGAAGACGCGACCGTTAGAAAATGTGGATAAGATTATTGCTGACTTCGACAACGAGTTTTCTACCGCGTGGGAGAAGGACGAGGTAGCGGAATGGAAGAACGAAGCGTCAGCTACTAGTGGCGCGAACGAGCACATGACATCAGGCGATGGTATCTGGTGTGAGGATTGTGAGAAGGATTTCAAGAATGAGAACGTCTACAAGGGACATCTCTCTGGCAAGAAGCATACCAGAGCAGCTGCTGAACGGGCAAAACGATTGCAAGAAGGCGACGAGTCCACGAACGGTGCGGGCAAAGGTGGACCATCGGCAAATCGGCTAAAGGAACGGGCGATTGCGGAGCGCGAGTTCCGTATCAAGCGTCTGGCCAGCGCGATGAGCACAGAACGCAGTGATACCCGGGTGAACGTCGAACGGAAGCAGGGCATGACGGAACGTGAGCGACAGCAGGAACTGGAAAACCTCTTCAACACGTCGAACGCGACAAACCAGGCCATGGAGACAGAAGAAGGCGATGAGGAGGATGACGACGAGAGGATATACAACCCCTTGAAACTACCGCTTGCATGGGACGGCAAGCCCATCCCATTCTGGCTGTACAAGCTCCACGGACTGGGTGTCGAATTCGCATGTGAGGTGTGCGGAAACTTCGTTTACATGGGGCGGAGGGCGTTTGACAAGCACTTCAACGAGGCACGACATATCTACGGACTGAAGTGTCTCGGTATCACGAATACGGCACTCTTCAGGGATATCACTGCCATTGACGAGGCTTTGAGGTTATGGGAGAAGATCCAGAAGGACAAGCGGCAGGGCAAGGTGGATGACAGCACTGTCATCCAGATGGAGGATGCAGAAGGAAACGTTATGCCTGAAAAGGTCTACTACGATCTGCAGAAGCAGGGTCTGTTGTAAAGATAGTTCGTCATTGCCCGGGACGCGCAATGAAGGAGACGGCACGAGGAGATTCATGAATACGACTTGGTAATGAACAATGCCATCTGTATTATCAAGATGATGTCTACGACCAGGGTGATACACGACGAAGTTGGCTTCCTCGCGACATTATCTTAGGTCACACGCAGGAGTACCAACGTCTGGACAGTAGCTCCCTAACCTTTGACCACACCCTTCCATGTTAAAAGGTCTACCATTTCGGCCTGAAAATGCTGCGGGCTGTCACTCTTTCCCCGGATGAGGATGCGGACGTGAGCAGTTCGGCCGATAGCACACAAACACACTGATGTCCACAGCACCCTCACTGTATTGGTCTGGAGCCTGGCGTGACTGGAATACCGCATCATCGCTGTGACATATTTTGGTTCTAGTTATCCATTCGGTGGTGGACTCAACATATCGGGACAGATTTGTGTAAACATTGAACTTGTAGAAGGCAAACTGAGACGGAGACCCATGGATGTTGAAGCCATGGCAAGTCTATGCTATCTATCTAGACCATCCGCGTCCTCTTGACGCCGAAGCCTACACCACACACCCGTCCTCAAACACCTCCAGATCGGACTTGCCACCCACAAGCATACTCGGCTCACCGCCCTCCCTTCTTAGGCCTAACCAACCAAGCGAACTTCCCCCCACTCCTATCCTTCCCCTTGAAAGGACTCTTCACCTCAACATCCTTCACAAACACGAACCCATTCTTCTCATACAACCCTTTCCCATAAACCGAACTCTCTACCACAGCCTCCACCCCCAACTCATCAGCCTTGTCTGTCCCCCACCTGACCAAAGCGACACCAACACCCCGTCTCTGATACTCGGGATCAATCGCAAGAACGTCCAAGCATACAAGATTCCCTCCCGACTTCCTGATAGCAGCGTTCCGCTCTTCAAGGAAGAGCTTAGCCATAATCGACGCAAACGCCATTTCCTCTTCGTCGTTCCAGTAGTTGACGTGCTTGACTTCGCTCTTGCCGGGCAGGGTATTGTTGGAGTAGATGATCCACTTGGCCATGCCTATAATTACTCCGGAGTCGGCGTCGACGGCCTTCATGTATTTGGCATGCGGACTTGACTTGCGGATCTCTCGCATGCGGTCGGCTGCTTGTTTGCGGCCAGAAGTCTCCCAGTGGAGGGGCCACATGAGATCCCACCTGCAGGTTCGATAAGTATGAGAGAGCGGTGCTTTGGAGTGGTGGATTCATTACTTACATGGGCTCATTGCGCTGGAAGGCTAGGGAGGCGACCTCGATGAGGCGGTCCATGTCGGCATCTTCTGCCTCTAGGACTTGGACGGGCATGACGGGTTCTATGTCTGGATTATTTTAGAGAGTGCGCGGGGACGTGTGTAGCGAGAAGCTGGACCGTTTTCAAATAGGGGACAACGCTTTGAGCAGAAATCATCCACTTAAAGAGTAACATCTATGTCTGCGAAAGGCGCAATAATATGCGCGCCCTTCGGAGCGAAAACACAGATCTCTCTATCGAATGGGATTGCAGCGGCAATTACGATGTGGAGACAACGGGGCACGTATTTTGGTACATAAAGTTCCATCTTCGCCATGGCAGCAGCGTCGTAAGCCGGATGGGTCAGATCAGGTCTCGAATCACAGATAGACTATATCCTACGACGTTTTGGGCATCTTAATTTGGGGAAGGATGTCAATGATATTAAAGAGTGATCTACTAAAATTCCGAGGGCCAATGTGCCTTCCTAAGAATACCGGCAGCTCCACCTGAAGTCCATACTTATAATGTGGGCACGTCCAGTTCTGTAACTGAGTCAGAGCAAGATTGGGTGACAACCGTGGACGCTTGCTTTGAGTAGACAGTCAGGTACTGAGAGATATCACAAAAATCTCAGATAGTTGGTAAGATAGGTAGGTTGTAGGTTGAAGTGCCTGGCAGAGGTGATACCATCAAGGGGAATCTTTGTTGGAAATTCGGTAACAAAAGTACAAACAGGTAGTAACCAGCCAGGCATTTGCGAATCACGAATGCATATCCGTGGCAAGTAACTATCAGTAAGGATAAGCGCATAACTAAAGTGAACACCGTACGTTGCGAGCAGAAAGTGTATGCTATCATGTTGAAAGCCTAAGCCTCAAAAAGGTGGGTGACTGGGAGCTTCCCCTGGCCACACAGTTTGGATTGCGAGTGGTCCGTGCGATGGTCATTGTTACTCAGTAGCTCACCCCACCAACTCCCGTCGCGTGACCCAAACATTGGAGAGAAAGCACCGCGTCATCGAGCTACCTCTTTGCTGCCTTCCAAGTTATGCTTGAGATAAAGTCGACTACCTGCGCATAGTACTCTGGCACGGAAATTCTGCACTTGCAATGGATCCAGACCTTGACAGCGACTGCAGTCGCGATTGGAATCGAAGAATCTTACCACCTCATCGCTGAGAGACGCGCCGCGACCGTGCAACAATGCCTGGTCTATCGAAGCCGATTCCGCCCCTTTACACCGTCTACATCCTGCGATCGACTGTACGTCATTCGTCACTCTATATCGGTTCGACGCCTAATCCACCAAGACGGCTGAAACAGCACAATGGCGACGCGAAAGGTGGCGCAGTGCGTACATCACGAGAGACGCTGCGGCCCTGGGAGATGGTCGGTATCGTCTCCGGCTTCCCTGGAATGGTCGCAGCCTTGAAGTTCGAGTAAGCTATACCCACACAGAAGTTGGCGTTGCATTCCGACTGACTTGAGAAACTAATCATTTAACAGATGGGCTCTGACAAACCCTCACCTGTCGCTACACATCCCTTCCACATCCCGAATAACTATCTCAACGCAGAAGAAGCGCAACGGACATCCTAAGCGGCCACGACACAGCCTTACCTCGATCATCTCGAATCTTCATCTCCTGCTTCGCGTACCAAGCTTCGCCAGGTGGCCTTTAGAGCTTCGTTTCTTTGCTCCCGAGGTTCACAAGGCGTGGAAGAAGTGGTGCGACACGGCGAACGAGCCAGTGCGCGAGTCGATCCCGGTATACACGGACTTTGGGCCTGCACACACAGATACCACTGCCGATGAGTCTGGGCCGATCACCGGAATAGACGAACCATGGGGTATTCATGCACTTCCGTTGGACTACAAGCCGTTGAAGGACTACGTGACAAAGACAAATTCGATATACACCTTCGAGAGGGAGGGCTCTTGCGTCATCTGCCGGGAGTATCTACCGCCCGGAGAGGGTCTCTATGCGACGTGCCCGAACACGGGATGCGAGGGTACGGGCCACGTCTCCTGCTGGAGTCGACATATGCTTGGGAACAGCGATGAAGACGTTATTCCAATATCCGGCCAGTGCCCACAATGCAAGGGCAAGGTGATGTGGGGAGAGATGATGAAGGAGATGACGCTGCGAGTGCGAGGCGCAAAGGAGGTCGATAAGCTGCTCAAGAAGCCTCGGAAACGGACAGCTGAAGTTGCAGCTGAAGACAGCGAATGACCTTCGCAATGATGAAGTCGTATGTACTCTGCGTAAGGCACGAGCTACTAGCATTGGAGGGGATTGGGTTCACAACGCACATAACTGGGGTTTGGTATTCGGAGCATAGCAGGGCGTTGGTGGTCTATTCTAGGAACACTCCATGGGGTTGCATTCTTGAATGATACTCAAAAGAAGCGTTTATCACTGGGTGCCTCGTGGCATGCCCATACCGAATACATGCGTGTCTTGCACTGCCCAGTCTATATCGGTCTCCTCTACAAGGGCATACTGAAGAAATGCGACGGTGGTGGCATTGCTAGTCAGACTGTTGAAACTTGGAGGGCTGAGATGTCGTGCTCGGTTCTGGAAGTGTTACACCTGCAGTGCATTTCGGCCCCCGCCTCGCCCGCAACGCTGTCCATTTTTGGCGACGACCCGATCATCTGCTGATCTTCTCGCAGAGTCGCAGCTCACAGCGAGACAGCCGCCAGGGCTCGGGGAGCCCCAGTACGCACGTTCGCATTCAAGCCCCTGGCGGTGTCATTCTCCAGGGGACAGGTACAGGGGCATGGTAACCGCTTTTTAGACGACATGTCACACTGATTGGTCCTTTAGACGACACTAGCGAATTTGCCCCCTGCCAGTTGTGCGGTGATATCAAGTCTCTCTTTTGACGACAACGGATCCATGGGAGAAGCGGGGGCTCTCATGTTTGTCATCTGTTCTCATGCCCTCGTGGCCGTTTCTCTTGAAACTCTCATCTCTTTCGCTTGCTTGCTTCATCTTCTTCTCGCTAACCCATGACCCGGGCGATATTTCCTTCATTCTTTCATTTGTTTGCCGCGGCATTGATATCTCCCTTTTATTCATCCTGTCAACTTCCAAGCACTCGACGATCTCGGCTACCTTAGGCGTTGCGTAGGTAACGACCGAGGGTCATCAGAATAAGCGTCACAAAAGGCGGAATTCGCAACGTCGCACAAGTAAAATGCCGCGCATGGCTGGGGCTAGGAAAGTTCTTGGCGTAATCCTCCAGTCACCACCTAGGGAAACGGGCAGATGACATGCCACGCTTTCCATCGCATCTGCCGCTCCTTTACCTCCGCTTATCACTACCACGCCTTATCTGTAGAATTCTCGGCCATGATTGATCAGTGATTCCTTTACTCGACGGGCCAAATATTCGAATGCCCATTTTCCGTGCGGCTGGCCCCCTCAGCTCCTACCGGCTGTCGTTATGTGAGCTCTCTCTTTCTTTTTCTGCCGTTCCTCCCATCAATCGGTCAATCATACGATTCATGCAACGGCGATCTCCCCGTTTCGAGAAGATTACTGTAGTAGATGCTGTCCCACCACCAAAGCGGTACAAGGTATATGATCCAGCGTACCTGTCTATCACTTTCAGTTCCAGCGATGTCGCAGTGCATCAACTTTGGGCTAAAACCAGCCACTTGCCTCATGCAGTCGTATACAATCTATATATCGCAAGGCTGCCCACCGACACAACATGATCAGAAGCTGAGTTCGGTGTTGTTATGTTTAGCAGCTGCTGGAGGCTGCAAACAACTCGGCCTGCTTTATCAGCTCAATTCAACCACCTTTATACAACTTTATATTTATTCTTGGATGCACGCATATCTTGAACTACCTTAGAAATACCAACAAGCAAGGGCCATGCCACGAATAGGAATATAATGTTTTGCGATAATTATAAAGTCAGTCTTTACAGCCCGAAAAGTGAGACTTACTGGTAGATGAGCTGCCGGTTTGACTGACAGAAGTGAATACCTACCTAATGTAACGATATGAACGGAAAAGATTGATGGACATCAAATGGAATGAAGACATGAAGTCCCCGATCAGCCGCTCTGCCGCTGTGAGGTCCATTGTCGCCCCACTGTTTTTTGCGACTCTCTGACTTCACTCCCTGAAATGTGCCCCAAATTCCACGACGACGTCTGCGAGTCGTATCTACCGCAGACCGCCCCTAATGGCCCGTGCACCGCCTTGAAGCACCCAGATTTTCCTCCGTCCCGACTCCCGTCTAGCTCCATTCCCACATGCAGCTGCGGGAAGCAGTGAACCTTAGCACTGGAGCCAGTAGCAATACATCCACTGAAGCCGGTTCGTGATCACTGCCCATCAGCCCACTCCACTGACCTCAGCTGGACAAGACTCCCTTGCATGCCTCATCGTGAACATTCAACATCTGGTGCACCCCCAGACTCAAAGTGCCAAACCCCCAAACAAACCAAGCCATTGGAAGTCGGTCACCTCGCGTGAACTTTATGTTTGTCGTTCGTTCAGAGCTGCGTCCCTCTTTCTCTCCATCTCTCTGTTCTCTCCCTGCTGGCGATAAAACTGGGGGGTTGTTGGTGGTAGATGGTTGATGCACCGTCCAATCAGGTCCATGCAAGCTGTCCCTCATCCACTCACACCCACGCTCAGCCTGGACTTTACTACCTACACCTCTCCTGTGCACCTCCCCCAGCCCAGATCTTCCTGACTTTATTATTATTCTCATATTCTGTCCCGTATTGGGTTGATTACATACAAAACTCACCTCACGATCCTCCCGCCCAGAGGTGAACTTCCCTCTTGAGAAACCCCCTCGTATTGCTAAACTGCTATCAAACTGGGGTTGGTCCCTCTGATGACAGTAATTCAGTCCCCCGAAATTTCCACCCGAGTTTGTGCCGTGGTCGTGGTGGTTCTCAGCAGGTAGAGAAGATTGGGATCACAGCTTGTTATATCTGGTCTGTGTCTGTCTGTCCGGACTTGCGCCTGTTATCTGTGTGGTGGAGCGGAAGCTTGCCCGGTGCACCTCATCCTTCCTTCCTGGTGTCCAGTGGTACCTACAGCTTAGACCAGGCGCACCTCTAACCTTAACCTTCTCGCCCGTCCGCCGTCCCGCCCATATTGTCTCCCTCCCTCCGCACACCCACAACCTCGATATCAACTGCGGCGCAACAACCCTCGGTATCGACCTTGGTGCAACTTTCAGTGCCGCCTGAGTTCTATCGTCCACTTCGAGAGCTGGTATCTTCGTCCACAGCGACTTCTCTGCGATGCACCTGCTCGCTTTTTGAGAGACAGCCTCGACGCCTTCCCACAATCCGTCGTCGTGGTGGAAAGCTACCTGAGCTTGCCACAGACCAACCACGCCATCTTCCCACCGACACCGTCCGAGATTCCCTCGTCAATACCGCAGCCATTCAGCGCCTAGCAGAAAATGGTCTCCGTCCCCTCTGCCGCCCATAATGGCAGTGGAGGTAACAGCAGCACCAATGCGAGCTCTCGAGCTTCTCCCGCCATCAGCACCGTCAACGCTGCGAACAATGCCGCTCCGTCCACGAACGGTACCAAGGCCAAGACCCAGGTCAACTCGAACTCGAATGGCTACCACCCTGCGAACCCCCAACTACCACTCAGCTCCATGCGCAGCGCCCCGCTGGACCTCAGATCAGTCGAGCGGAGAGGTCAACCGACCGCCAGCCGAGAAATGGTCAAGCGAGCGAGACCACATGGTCTTCAGGATGCACCGACATACCGACCGAGCGAGGAGGAGTGGAAAGATCCCTTCGAATACGTGCGCAAGATTACACCCGAGGCACAGAAATACGGCATTTGCAAGATCATACCGCCCGATACATGGAACCCCGACTTCGCAATAGATACCGAGGTGAGTGTCTACTCCTCAGCCTGTGCTCAGTTTCAAAGTATGGAGCCGTGTTGCGACTGTCAAGCGATCTGTCCAGCATTTTCAGCTACACCTAGCTTTCCCCTGAGTATCCCCTGCGTAATGCTTATATACGAAATAGAAATTCCACTTCAGAACCCGAAAGCAGGAACTGAACTCAGTAGAGGGCAGTAAGTTCTCCTCCGCCATGATACTACATGCTCTCTCTATGCGGCAGTCACTGACCAGCACAACCAGGCACCCGAGCAAATCTCACTTATCTAGACGCTCTAGCCAAATTCCACAAACAACAAGGGACAAATCTAAATCGACTTCCCTACGTCGACAAGAAGCCTCTTGATCTATTCCGCCTCAAGAAAGCTGTTGAATCCCGTGGTGGTTTTGACAAGGTCTGCAAGACTAAGAAGTGGGCTGAGATTGGGAGAGATCTGGGCTATAGCGGCAAGATCATGTCTTCGTTGTCGACTTCGCTTAAGAACTCGTATGACAAATGGCTCAACCCCTATGAGAACTACCTGCGTCAGGCGAAACCTGGTGTCTATCAACAGCTAGAGTTCGAGTATGGTGGTCCGCTCACTCCCAGCCCGGCGCATAGCCCCTTGAAGCGGTCCAGTGTCAATACTCCGTCCAGCCTGAGAGGAGAGTCGCCCGCTCGCCATGCGACCGACGCTCTTCAAGTGAGCATGAGTGCCGCCAAGCTGGAGACCGACCGTGATACTGTCATGGCCGATGTTCCTTCAGTCCCACCACCGCCGCCGCCGCCTACATCGGGTGGGTTCACTCCCATCAATACAGGCGGCTTCACCGCGGTCAACGCCGGATTTACCAGTGTGAATCGCCCAATACCTTCGGAAGCGAAAAGCTTCACACCACCGCCGAAGCGCCACGGTAGTCCCCTTTCATCAGCAAAGAACACTCCCGACTTCCGACCGTCTGGGCTCGGGCCAGCAAACGCACTCAAGCGTCAACTCAGTTGCGACAGCCTGGATTCCGCAAAGAAGGACAACGGCACGGAGCAGGACGATTCGGAAAACGGTAGCAGAAGGAGCAAGAGGCTGAAGAAAGGTATGTGTTTTGAGTATCGGCTCATTTTCTCCGTGACCATGACCTTGCCATCGTTTTAAGCTCTGTCGTCCTCGTCACGATGGTGTCCTCAATGTGGACTCCCCCAAACCCGGTTGCTGTCATTATCCTTGACGTCAATTCCCCTCGGTTCTACGCAGCCACGGCACACATGCCACTGGTATGTTGCGCTGTGCGACATGGAATGCAGGGATTGCCGTCAAGTAATGCGCCCTGCCGTGCAAGCACCCGGCGAGATGGCAAGGCCTAATGACAGTTGCTTTGGCTGCTGATTGGCTCTTTCGTATTCGTCGTATTCGTGGCTAATGCGAGTTGGCGTATAGAAGCGGTCCCGACGGTTGCCGGCTCCCATATGTCTTTATTCCGACCTTCAGCTCCCAGAATGCCCCGGGAGGAGTCAATGACGCCCGGTGAGGTGAGTATCTTGGGCGCAGCTCCGTCCTACTATCTCGAGCTTTGTCCTAACCCTTTCCCTACAGAAATGCGACACCTGTGGCAAAGGAGAAGAGTCCGGCTTCATCGCCGTCTGCGAGTCATGCGATCACGGATACCACGGCACCTGCCTCGATCCTCCTGTCAAGACCAAGCCAGATGGGGAATGGAACTGTCCACGGTGTCTAGTTGGCGACGGGCAATTCGGTTTCGAGGAAGGTGGTCTCTACTCCCTCAAGCAGTTCCAGGAAAAGGCTGCCGACTTCAAGCAAGGCTACTTCGAACATCGTATGCCTTTCGACCCCGTACTGAACTGTCCGAGACCGGTAACCGAAGACGACGTCGAGCGCGAGTTCTGGCGGCTTGTCGGCAGTATTGAGGAAACCGTCGAGGTTGAGTACGGCGCCGACATCCATTGCACCACCCATGGCTCTGGCTTCCCATCAGCAGAACGAGATCCATGTAACCCTTACTCGACGGACCTCTGGAATCTGAATGTCATGCCTCTGCACCCCGACAGTCTCTTCCGACATATCAAGACAGATATATCTGGTATGACCGTCCCGTGGGTGTATGTTGGAATGATATTCTCAACCTTCTGTTGGCACAACGAGGACCATTTCGCCTACTCGGTCAACTATCAACATTTTGGAGCAACCAAAACCTGGTACGGGATACCTGCAGAGGACACTGAAAAATTCGAGAATGCCATGAAGGAGGCCGTGCCGGAGCTGTTTGAGACACAGCCTGATCTACTTTTTCAGCTTGTCACACTTCTCACGCCTGATCAGCTGAAGAAGGCGGGCGTGAGGGTCTATGCCTTGGATCAGCGTGCAGGCCAAATGGTCATCACGTTCCCCCAGGCTTACCACGCAGGATTCAACCACGGCTTCAACTTCAACGAGGCTGTCAACTTCGCGCCATTCGAATGGGAGCCTTACGGTCTTGCTGGTGTTGATCGAATGCAGCAGTTCCGGCGGCAGCCTTGTTTCTCTCATGACGAGCTGTTGTGGACAGCAGCCGAAGGAACCACAAGCGGACTGACCATACAGACCGCGAAATGGCTTGCGCCAGCACTCGAAAGAATTCACAAGCGCGAGCAAGATCAGCGGGAAGCATTCATTGCGAAGCACCTAGAGGATAACAGCCATGCGTGCGCACTGACTGCAGAGTCTCCGGAACCTCCATGTTCTATCTCTTTCGAGATCCTCGACGAAGATGTACCGGAGGAGGAGTACCAATGCGCTTTTTGCAAATCTTTTGCTTATCTGTCCCGATTCAAGTGCCTTCAGTCTGGTAAAGTGCTGTGTCTCCAACACGCCGGCAACCACCCATGTTGCGAACTCCCCGAGCCTCGACGATATGCCGGCGACAAGCACGTCATGATATATCGTAAGACGAAGGAGGACATCGAAGAGACGTACCGAAAGGTTGCGGACAAGGCACACCTACCTGAGGCGTGGGAGGAAAAGTACGAGAAATTGCTCGATGAGGGGGCGGAGCCAGCGCTGAAGACGCTGCGAAATCTTCTCCATGAGGGTGAACGAATACCGTACGACCTCCCCTCCCTACCAGCTCTCAGGGAATTTGTTGAACGCTGCAACGAATGGGTCGAAGAGGCGACTAATTATACGGTGCGAAAACAGCAGAACCGCCGGAAGAACGACAAGGTCTGGCAGAGCGGGCTACGAAAATCCGTCGGCAACTCATTCCAGGAGCAGAGGGACCGAGAGCTGCGCCGAGTCGATAACATCTACCGCCTAATCGACGACGCCGAGCGCATAGGATTCGATTGTCCCGAGATACAGCACCTGCAGGAGCGCGCAAATTCCATCAGGAGCTTTCAGAAGAATGCCGAACAAGCCTTGGAACACATCCTTGGCTACAGCATGGAGTCCGTGGAAGAGCTGATAGAGGAAGGTCGTACATTCAACGTCGATATGCCGGAACTCGACAAACTTTCCGAGGTTCTTGAGCAGCTCCGATGGAGCAGCAAGGCCAGAGCAAGCCGCTCAAAATTCATGACCCTGGGAGAGGTGCGCGAGCTTCTGGAAGAAGGCAACCGCCTCGAGATACCGCTATACAATGATCACATGAAGTGGTATAACGACAAATACCAAGGTGGTGTACAGTGGGAAGCCAAAGCCAAGGAACTCATCAACGCCGAGACCATCCACTACCCACAACTAGAAGCGCTCTCAAACCAGGTGCAACACAATGCGCTTCCCGTGTCGGCGGATACCCTGGCCTCCGTTGACCAGATCCTGCACAAACAACGAGAGGCTCATCGACAGATTATTGATCTTACCGAACGCTCACGCGAGCCAGACTATACCAAACGTCCAAAGTACAACGAGGTGGCGGAGATCATGCGAAAGCTTGATGATTTGAACTCCAAGCCCGCCGGGACACTGGACCTCGAAAAGGAACAAAAACGTCACGAAGACTGGATGCGAAAGGGCAAAAAGCTCTTTGGCAAGACCAATGCACCACTGCACATCCTCAAGAACCACATGGACTACGTCTACGAACACAACTTCGACTGCTTCGATATTACTAGTGATAAGCCTCGAATGCCAGCCGAGCCTTCTTCTAGAGCGGCCAGTGAAGAGAGAGAGACCAAAGTGGCGCGGACTTGGGACGACCCCCAGTTCCGGGAAGTGTTCTGCATATGTCGGCGTGTCGAAGCTGGCATGATGATTGAATGCGAGCTATGCCATGAATGGTACCATGGCAAGTGTCTGAAAATTGCTCGAGGAAAGGTCAAGGAAGATGACAAGTACACCTGTCCCATTTGCGATTGGCGCGTCAAGATACCTCGCGACGCTGCTCGACCGAAGCTTGAGGACCTCATCCAGTGGCAGGAAGAGATCCCCGGTCTGCCTTTCCAGCCAGAGGAAGAGGGTGTGCTTCGGAAGATCATCGACAATGCACTGGACTTCAGAGCCCATATATCGGCCTACTGCAACCCAGTGCTGGCCACTGCATCGGAGGCTGATACCCAGCGATTTTTCTTGAGAAAGATCGAGGGTGCCGAAATCCTGCTGTCCTTTGAGACAAATTTCTTCCGGCAAGAGCTTCACAAGTGGAGTCCCGTTGCGCCGGAGCCGCCGCCTGTTCTCGATGTGTCCAAAAGTACGCGAAAGCCGCGTCCCACGAAGCTGCAAAAGATGTTGCAGCAGTATGGCGTCGAGGACGCTGATGATCTCCCGGAGAATGTTAAAGGCAAAGCCAATAGTCTCAAGCGCAAGGCTCTGAATGCCGAAGCCGCTGCCGCCGCCGCCTCCGCTGCCGCAGCAGCATCCTCGTCGACTGCTGCCCTCGCTCCTCCGAACTCAGCAAGTCCTTCTACTCATTCATTTGCCTCGGGCACGCATCCATTCTTCTCACGTAACTCACAACCACCCACCCCAGCACTTGCAAGTACCACGCACGCCCACCCGCCTCCAGGTCCAGATTCAGCCTCTTCTAGTAGGCCCGGTTCTTCCTTGCGACCGGACTCGATGGATGTCGCCAGTGGTACGAATCTGCACCCAGACTTTTTCTTGTCGACCGGCAACAATGGCCCAGGTCCCCGGCTTATGGCCCCTGACCCGGCCATGTCGCTAGAAGACCGCCTGCTCCGTGGGCAGGACGATGGTCTCAACCTTAGCCTGACTTCTGACAAGGATAAGGCGCTTGAGATACTGAGCAAGAGTGAGACTGGACGTCAACGTGCCGAGGAAATCTTTGGACCTGATGTGTGGGGTTCCAGACGTGGTGATACGTTTGGTAGCGGATCCAACATTGGACCCAACCAGCCGGATGACGACAATAAAGATGTCGACCGAATGTTTCTCGACCTCACCAATGCCGACGACGAAGAGGAAGCCAAGAAAAGGCAACGAGAACTCGAGCGCGAGCGGGTTGGGATCACGGCTGAGAGCTTCGAAGCCGAGCGTAATGCGATGGACATGGAGGACTCGGAATGAAGTGTACGACATCTGTTGCATAGTCACGCCTGAAGCTCTATCACCTTGAAATGGCTACGGAGTTGGCGCATGGGCACTGGAGGAACCAAGGCGTATTGGTCATCATGACGTACCGGATCGGATCGGATCGGATCGTTCTAAGGTCGCGGAATATGGCGCATCTCGGCGGCGCGTTTGCGTTCCAGCATTTATAGAGCTAAGGTTTACTACCACGATTCAGCTCCCGACAGCGGTGGGTTGGGTCTATGTATGAATACGATGATGGTCTATTTGGCAAAACCCGGGCTGGGAGAGCTTTGTTGCATTAGATAGGCGTTGCGTCGTGGGCTGATGTATCGTCATCGCTTGGGAAGGGCAGCGCTGAATTGATACCTACCTTGACTTTACCTATTGAAACTGTTGCTTTTGATTTTCCCTGGGTCAAGTCCAACGTGGTAAGAATCAAGCCCGGTAAACAAGAGGGACTCCTGCCCCGTCTCTAGTCCGTCGCACCAAACTCCATGCCATGGGAACAATCATTTGTCAATAGCACCCTCGGCGCGGCCAACCGTGTCAGCTGCCCTGGTGTTGTACAAGTAGGAGCCCGAAGGGGCTTGCGCAAGGAAACGTCGTACCTGCCAGCACAACACATCAACCCCTTTCTTTACCCCGCCCACAGGATGGGATCCATGTGTTCTGTCCCTTTTCTCGTTCTCGACGGTTAGTATTCGTGTCCTCGGAGGACCAACATTACTCACATCTATCCAGCCTGGAAGCGTCTGCGCGTCGTCAACTTTCTTGTCCTGCCTACCTTGATACGACTGCGGCCACGGACTAGACTACTGGCTTGGACGTCTCCTCGCTTCTATTTGGTCCCCGAGTCGTGTTCGTCGCTGTTGCGTCGGCTTCGGCGCAGCTCGAAGTTCCGAGCTTGGCGAGGTGTTGTTAGCACCAGCTGGCAGGCCCTGCTCCAAATGATACGGACGCCACAATGCCTGATCAACTCATTACAGGGCAATGGAGCCTCAACGAGGCTTCAGACTCGGTCTAGTCCATCGCAAGGGGGGTCTTGCAAGCCGCGACGAGCGACAACGTTCAGCCACTAGCGATCCTAGCTTGTGAGCAATTCGGCAACACACTCGCCATGAGTCGGGAAACTCGTCTCAAGATTGAGCAGACTGTCTTGCCGACTCCGGATCCCATGCCAATACGGTTCCTCAAAGCGAAAGTCGGCTTCGCCAAGCATGACTGTGCGGTCCAACTGGGGAGTAATCAGGCCGGGTTACGCTTCCTTGGTCTGGCTACTGCTCTTATAACGAGTATGGATGCTTTTCGCTGTGCTGGAGTCCTCTTACCGATGCTTGAGGCCACCACGACTGATCAACGGCTTTTGCCCAGTACGAGACAACTGTCCGATTTAATGACGAGTCTTGACGGTAGATGCCGCAGCGCAGGTTTCCAGGAGATTGTCTGTGGATATAATTCAATGCTGGAGGAATCGATGCATGGAGCAAACTTCAAGAGTCGCGGGCCTTTGGACCATTTACCTGACCCAGGAGGAATGGCAACGCTAGTTGATGCTTTCCGTCAACTGCAGAGAATCGGTGATGGTTCTCTCGCCTCCATCACCGTCAAGACTGGGCGTTGCGCTCCTTGGATCGCTGCCTTCTCTAAATGGTGCCTCGACGCCCCTCCTTCCATTTCCCTCTCAGATGGCACATCCATTCTAGCCGAACCCGGGTCTCAGGTGGCTGTCGTCATGAGTAGCCAAAGCGGCTGGCTCGATGTCTCAGTCATTGGACATCATTATATCGGTAGACTTGAGCATCTTCTTGGAAAAGGGGGCAGTGACTACCTCGTAAACGTGCTGGTTGGGTTCCCTCTTGTGCGTACCATACTACGCGAAAAATGTGGCCGAAAAAAATGGCTTACGGACGCCATCTTTGAAGCCCTCCCGTCCGCAATTTCTAAGTTGTTGAACGCGTTTCGCCACGATCTACCTTTTGGCCTGGCCTCCAACTCGGACGTAACTCTCAGACGCCCACACCCTTTTCCAGAGGACACCAGAATTATGAATATACTGTCGGTTGTGCTGGGGTACCACGTTGGATCTTCCTTTGAATTATTTCCTCATGATACAATAATCGGCGATCTTCCGAAAGTGGCAGCGTTCCTCCAGAGGGCTAACAAGTCTCGATTGCCCCCCGAGTCTATATGGCCCGGTTGGGGGGAGGATTTCGAGATGATGATCAAACCAGGTCGTGAGCCTTCCGGTACTGTCGCATCAAAGAGCTTACACTCGAAACTGAGTGAAGTCTCCCTCTACATCCTTCTCATCTCCCTGTTTGACAACATCGAGGATCTTCAAATCAACCCACGTTTCTCACTGTCATTGGACTGCCAAGTAATGGCCGAGCGCATGCTTTCAGACCCCAAGCCTAGTATTGGGCGGTACAGCGCATCCGATGTACTCGTAGAGGCCCTTCGTCTGGTTGGGGTGACAATAGATTTTGTGAAGGATGGCTGGAATTGGTGGGGCTTTCCGATCATGCGTTGCGAGCGTGGACAGACTTTCTGGCTTTCGCTGTTTGAGGAGCTCGATGCTAGAGAATTCGGCGTCCTCTCTATTGCATCTTACCGCGGAAACATACAACTCTTGCGCGACACGTACAGCAGTGTGGAAGTCGCTCAAGACGAGCGCCTCGCAGTCGTTAAAGGCCCTACTCGTCCGAGCGACCGCATCACGTCTACACCATGCAACCTTTCTCCGGACATGCAAATTCATTGGGACGTCACAGTTGACGAACAACGCCTTAGCGCTAACATCCTCCTCCAGGACCGGCGACAACCGCGAAGTCATTTACCAATGGACTCATACACGGTCGCATTCGCGCTAAAACATGCCATATTAGTCGACTGTTGTCACCATCCAGAGACGCCACTACAATACGGAGAGCCATCATGGACCCTCCTGAGTCTCGAAGAACTGTTTGTTCTTGGTCAAAAGCCTGCGAAGAGCGACGACAGTGGCAACGCCCCTCGTTTAACGGAATATACCAGGCTGGAATATACTACTGGATGGAAACCGTCTCTCGAAGGCAAGCTCTTTGTTATCGCTCTTGCTGGAGCGAAGCCTCTCCAAGCCTGCTGCGTTGGCGCTGTAGCGGAAAGGGCAAAGTCATTCGACGGATCGCCAATCTTGTTGCGTCGCCACGCGTGTATGAATTGTTGTATTCGGCTTTGTCGGGAGACTGGAATTAACGTACTAATTATCTAGATGGTTGGGCTGGTGGGAGATGAGTTTCCCAGCAACGGTTTACCGATTTGTGAGCCGCCGACACCGGCGGATGTTGGGCCCTGAGAAGAACATGTGCATCCTTGGCGAGTTTCCTGACATGGCTCGATGTGTGAAGATGAACCCGGCAACCCCCCTTTTATTGTTGAATACAGGTGGGCTTAGCTGCCTCGCTCTGCCACACTTCGACATAGGACAGCTTCCCCAAGCTTGTCGCTTCTAATAATGTCACCTGAAAGAGTAATCGCATTTGAAGTTTGTGCAATGAATTGGTACGCCTGAAGAACAACTAAGAACTAGCTAAATATGCGCCACCATCAAAGCTCAATTCCCAAGCTCGGCGATGCACGCAAGGGAGGAAATTTACTAGCTTCCTGCGTATGAGGAGTGCGGTGGCAGCACTGGAATTCTAGCGAAGTACATACAAGATGGGCAACGCCCGTTTCCCCACACATTGGGTCGAAGCTGGAAAGGAAAGCTCGCGTACTCATCGTCATCCGCTGTCCAGTAACCACTGTTCCGTGCCCAGTTTGTCTCAGCACCCACTTAGCAAGTTCCGAGCATGGAAGTCAATGCGGTCTTCTCGGCGCTGGTGATGGTGAGGTCGTAGTACGACTTCACGGCGACCCAGCTCTTGGCGTAGGTGCAGTAGAAGCTGGCCAACGGCGGCTTCCAGGCATCAGGGCTATCGTCGCCCTTCGACTGGTTGACGTTGTCGGTTACGGCCCACAGCTGCGGGCGCACGAGGTCGTTGGCGTACGCCTGGCGCTTGGCCGTGGTCCACGCATTGGCTCCAGACTGTTGGGATGTGGCATGTCAGATTCATACCTTACTTCATACAAATCTCGTGAGGGGGTCTGGGCTCAGGCGCTTTCACTTACGTTCCACGCGTTCTTCAGTGGCACCATGTGGTCGATATCAACGTCCGACGCAGCGGTCCAAGACGCGGCGTCGTACGGGCTCTTCCAGGTGCCGGCCGTGGGGTAGCAGTCCGAGTCGACGGTCACGCCCGTGCCGTCGCGCTTCAGTACTGTCTCGCGCGTGCTGCACCCGCCGGACTCGATCCAGTGCGGGAACAGGTCGCGGTCGTATTTGCCGTCGTCGACGTACGCCTTTACGGTGAGCGCGGCGAGCTGCGTCTTGGCGGAAGCGGTGGCGGGGATGCCGGTCTGTGGAGGTGCTTGTTAGAACTGGTGGTTCTGGGGCGACCATGTGAAAGGGGCATATGATGTGTCTGCGGGACGGGACTAAGAGTGATCAGGAAGATCATCTTGGTAAGGGGCTACGAACAGGACTGGGGTTCGGTGAGCGCTCCTCGACGGGGTTGGGGATGGGCGCAGGCGCGGCATTGACCGATGCCACGGTGGACAGCAGCCCGGTGAGGGCAAGAACGAATCTCATCGCGTAATGAATACGACACCAAAAGGGTAACGACTGAGGAAGCGAGTGAAATGTTCAGGTGGAACTCGGAAGACGACGATGGGACTGGCCTGATGGGAGACTACATGGTGACGAGATTCGTGAGGTTATATATCTGGACTTTGCTCCTCTACACGTGTGCCCGACTCTGGAATTCTTGATTCTGCGACAATTTCTGGACCTTGCGATCCGTAATTTGGCTGTCCCTGACAATGGGGCGCCATGGCTGCAACCTTATCTTCTAATGGAGGGCAGGTGGTTGACTAGTTCCCTGAGCGGCAGGGACTATGGGGAAATCCGACTCTCGACACGCAAGAGCAGGAATCACGATAAGGCGCGCAACTGCGTGGACGACTCCTGAGTGTGGATGATAGCAAACCACACTGACCAGACAGATGCGTGGAGTGGTGCACCTGGTAGTATTGCGGGTCATGGGTTTCTGGTTGACGATGCGCCGAAGGCTTCCAAGGTGCTTCCACGCATATTCATGCTGGCGCATGCAGACGGAGCACTTCTGTTCTTGTCTTGGTTACGACGGCTTGGCTGCAGTATCGCGATAGACTACCTTCCGACCGACACTGGACCTCGTGTTTTATCACGATCCGGGGGACGTCCGCTTGAGGGCAATGCACCGCATCGCTTAGAGAGATACCCATATTGTTGAATGGCGCGCAAGCCACCGTGGCGTTCAGGGAGGTGGCAGTGCACTGAAAAAGTCCAGTAGGGCATTTTGGGGCCACCTAGCACACAACAGATCCTTCCAGATACACACACATCACGGTACCATCACTGAATACATAAGTAACAACCATGTGAACCACCTTACGCACTGTTAGACATATCACAACTCGCGGGAAACCGGCACCAGATGGACTGCCTGGCGACAATCACGAGCAAATCCCGGCGTGAATCCAGCATCCCGATGGCAGATCCGGCATGCCAAGATCTTATAGTCTTGGCAGCTATAGTTGACTTCCTATTCAGGAGCTCTATGCCGATTGATCGACAGGGGATGGCCCTACAGGATCTAGGCGGTATTCCCCCAGGCCCCGCTCAGCTCCCTAGGTTGACATGGTGAAATGCCTCGTCTGGACCAATGGGGCAGCTTCTTGGACGAACGTTGGTTCTGGCAGAGCACCATGCTGGGGTTGGCGGTTCGGATATATTGACCTTGAGCTTGTTGGCTGCCAGTGTTGTATGGGCAATGGGAGCATCCTCCCAACTTCGCCCTGTTGTTTTTGTCCCCTTCAAGCTGGGAGAGACAGCTGGTCGGCGGACTCAGCCGTGGTTGTGAGGCTGCGGGCGGCTCCATCCGTGGTTCGATGGTCAGGGTTATCCGTCTAGGGAGCAAGAGAGAGAGGTATCGACGGTAGGTGCCAATCTCGTATCGTTACCGGCGCAATTTGGAGAACGATGAGATGCTACAGTCTCTCTAAGCGACGTCGGAGTTTGTTGCTGCCCTCCATGATTGGTATATAAGAGATAAGGGGGGAGTTAGCTCCAGTCGCTCCGCCAAATGTGCAAGGCGAGCGAGAAGAGTCCAGACCAGCCTTTCGTCTTTGACTACGGCTCGTGAAGAAGTCTCTGGACTCACGAAGCCGTAGCTTCTGTGCCGGGACCATCCAGACATAGGGTAATAATCACACGTAGAGTAGCGGAATGGTAATAGGCTTCGAGGCAACAGTCCCCAACCTCATTGCGTGCTCATAGAATCTGCTGTAGTATTCCCCGAATTTTACGCGTCTAGTACCTCGATCTCGTCCATCATCACAACCCATGTTGCCCGGAACGCGTAAATTCTACCTACAATCTGGCATCGTTGACTCGAATTTTATCGCTCGGGGCGTATAGGACGGATGCTGTTACATATACTCAAGCCTTCGCGTCTGGAAAGTGATCCTGGTCTTAGGGAGAACCGCAGCTTGACTCGGTGGAGATCTGCTGGCCAGCAGAGGCACTGATCCCAAGGGCATCACGCATAGTAGATTTCCCTCTGTATCGAAAAAGAAATTATTGAATTGTCATGTTCATCCTGTCTTCATTGCAGGTCGTCCCATAATACGTTATAGCGAAGAGGACAGAAGCGATCCCCATAAACATCCATCAAACCGCAGTCTCGTTTGCTAAGTGAAAGGCCTCGATTCATGACGACTTTTCATTCCGATACTTCCATCTAGCTCGTTCCTGAGCAGCCAACAAAGTTGTTTCCGCTGGCGCCGGTGTGAGTAATCGCGCCGGCTTGCTTGCCAGAAGTGGTGATGATAACACGGTCCGCACCGGGACTACCTAAAGGGGCGTTAGATACTTAGCTGTAAAATGAATGCAGGAAAACCAGAGAAAGCTGCTCTTACCGCCAGTGTACACGCCGCTCTTCAGAATTGGGAATTCAAGGTAAGGCCCGCTCACGGGAAAGCTGAAACCTTCGTAGTTGTTGTACGTGTGTGGGTAGTCGTCGGCGTCAGTGCCGGCCTGGTAGTAGGAGTAGGCTTTCTGCGAAGCCGAGTTGACTTGAGCGGCCGTGTAGGAGTTGGAGCCACAGGTCGTTGCGGCGCGCTCCTCGAGAACGGGAGCGGCGATGACGGGCGAAAGGAGGGCCACCAGGGCCAGGGCAGAGGTGAAGAACTGCATTTTGAACGGAAGATGCTGACAAGTCACTGCTAACGAATGAAGATGACTGCGAGGCTCTGGTAGGTGGAAGTAGTGGCGCGTACGAGTTCCTCAAAGCAACTGGCTTGGAACAGGAGCGGCCAGGGACCTATATATGCTCGTCCCTGACTATATGCCGTTGCTGTCGCGAACTTCCTGTCGCGAACTTCCTGTCTAAGAAGGTTGCCTTTGGCGGTAGTATTCGAGAGTCAGACTCGATTCTAGGCTCCCGTATCCATTACCCACATCAGCAACGAATTCGTTAGCACGTGGCTAATCGCTGCTCGGGCACCGGCAAGTCGATATCGCGATAGGCCCAAAATGGAAGGTCGACGCCAAGCAGTGCAACGTTGGAGAGGAACGTGCGATTAAGGTTGGCGGAGGATTTCAGATAGCCTATAGCCGCTTGCTTCTAGGGTCAGATGAGAACAGTCGGGGGCCGGACGGATTGAGCTGCGCCAAGCGTCCTGGGCCACCACCGTTGCGACTCCATCGGCGCCCTCCGATGCCACGGGGTTGACGATACCCCGGAACGCCGGTCAATGCTTTGAAAGGAGCGTTGGGTCGCAACAACGTATATCATATTCTCGAAAAGGGCGAAAAATAGATACACAGAATATACACAGACGATAATAGGGGTAATAGCTATTGGAGCCGTTGCGAACTCGTCTCGGTACCTAGCACCTCATCAGGTGTATAGATTAGGGTGGTAGTACACTGTCGCTTGTCTCCAGAGTATGCAACTGTATTCCTAGCGGTCCAGTATCTCGTAAGTGTCTGAGGATAAGAGGTTGCCATAGCGTATTGGGGCCGCTCAGCGGTGACTATGAAGTGATGTTACTGTCAAATGACTACCTACTATGGATATTCATTCTGACACTTCTGCGTATGCCTTAAACCCCACATCTTGGATCTTCCTTCCAAGAGAACGCCTTGTCTTAAGGTGGGAACCCTTTTAGAACGCGTTGGACTGTGCCGTTGCATGGCCCTGACACCAGTTTTAGGCTTCCCTCGGGTTGTTAGAGACCGAAAATCAACCAGTCATTCTCGGAACATTGAAAATTACTCCATAATACTTGCTGTAGCCGGTAATTTCAGTATGAATCAAGATCCGGGATCGCCAATGCAGCTATAATCTGACGGGGATTGCTGGTATTTCCAAGCTGAGGATGAGGGGAAATCGCGGGGAAGGCCACTCCTATGTCTTTTATGGAGTCATGCCAAGCGACATCGACAGCAGCAGGGGGCTCTGGTAAGCAACTTGAAGATAGAACGTAAAAGCATCACTTGGTTTCCGGAGTGGTACAGATATCCCACTGTTATTTGTCTTTGCCGAAGACTTCACCCCACTCGTCTATCATTACCAGATACCCTTGGCCAATACTCTGCCGTCCTTCGTATTTCGGATTCCAAGTATGCGAAACACGTTGTCTCTGCTCTTGGGATGGCTGGTACTTTGCTCGGCATTGTTGGAGGAGCAGTTGGTATCCTTTGATTTCAGCAGCGACTCTGTCCCACTCCACAATGCTTCAATACTATACTCGTCGGATGACCCTGTCGGTGTTCAGAATGCAGCCAACAGTCTAGCTGGCGACTTCGAGCAAATTACCGGTAACCGGCCGTCTGTGATCAGTCTAGACCCTGTCAATGTAACAGGTTGTGCTGGATGCAAGGACTATGCAATAATCGCAGCCACTGTCAATTCCGCGTTGCTGAAGCATCTGGTACTGGAAGGCAAGGTTGATGTGTCTGGAATCGAAGGCAAGTGGGAAACTTTCCAGACGAGCGTCGTCGAAGACCCATTGAATGGTGTCAAGAGAGCTCTGGTTATTGCGGGAAGCGACAAGCGAGCCGCCGTGTTCGGACTTTACACACTGTCAGAGCAATGTGGACAATCACCGTAAGGCCTTCCCCTTTTTGTTTTGGTATAACTGCGATGCTGAGCACGACGCAGTTTCCATTGGTGGGCGGACGTTCCAGCTCAGGAACACAGCGAGATATACGCCCTGGCGAAGTCAACCACCCATGGCGAGCCGAGCGTAAAGTACCGTGGACTGATGATCAACGATGAGGCGCCTGGTTTGACGGGGTGAGTGATATTCAGGCTTAAACCATCGCAATATTTTACTGATGCAGGACTAGATGGTGGTCAAAGGTGCACGGAGTCGATCACCAGCCGCTCGACAGCGAGTTCTACATGCATGTGTTCGACATGTTACTACGACTCAAGGGCAACTTCATGTGGCCGGCGATGTGGGAGTCATCCGTTCCGAGGCCTGGCAACATCTTCTTTACCGACGACCCCAAGAACATGCAGCTTGCCGATGATTATGGCATCGTCATGTCCACGAGTCACCACGAGCCGATGCAAAGAGCGACCAACGAGTGGAACGAGACCGAAACAGGCCCCTGGGACTGGACGAAGAACAAAGCAAACGTCACGGCCTTCATGGAAGAGGGTGTCCATCGTGCCGCAAAGAACGAGTCGTACTTTACACTCGGGATGCGTGGAGCTGGCGACGGGCCGATTCAAGGCGACGACCCTGTTGGAATACTCAAGGACGTGTTCCAGACGCAGAGACAGATTTTCAGTGACTACTACGGAAACGCTTCGGCAGCTAACCGTAAGTACCTACGGGGATATGATACTAGGATGAGCTGACCACATTCAGAGGTCTGGACGATATACAAGGAGGTGGCGACATACTACGCAGCGGGTCTCCTACCACCAGAGGACGTGACTCTTATGTTCACGGATGATAACTGGGGCAACATACAACGCTTACCATTAGCGAACGAGTCAGAAAGGTCCGGTGGCATAGGAGTAAGTTGAACTTCAATGGCTTAGTCTTGCCGCCGCGAGTACTTACAACTTGTCCCAGATGTACTATCATCTTGAGTACCTTGGCACCCCGAAAGAGTATAAATGGCAAAATACGAACAATCTGGTAGGTGGTTGCAGCAAAAGAGAAACGAGGTTACGAATGCTGAATCAAAGAGTAGCCCAAGGTGTATAAAGAGCTCTACCAGGCCTACGAGCGTGGAGCCGATCGAATATGGGTGATCAACGTCGGCGACATCAAACCCCTTGAAGTACCTTTCAGCTTCACCATGCAGCTTGCGTGGAACATGTCGAGCATCGACTTCGATAACATCCCAGCTTATTTAGAAGCTTTCGCCACGAGAGATTTCGACTCAAAGCACGCTGGCGAGATTGGTTCCATCATGATGGAAAATAGCCGCCTTGTTGGTAGACGAAAACACGAGTCTACTCAGTCTGACACCTACTCTGTTCTCCACTATCATGAGAATGAGAGAGTCATAGCGGAATGGAAGACACTAGCAGACCGAGTAATGGCGGTCCTGGACACTTTGCCGGAAGATCGGCAGCCAGCCTACTGGCACCATGTCCAATACCCGATCGTGGCTGGGTATGTCTACCACGCGACGATGCTAGGCCTAGGGAAGAACCAGCAGATCGGGTTCGAGCGAAGGAACTCAGCAAATGACCTTGCAAGCCAAGTCCTTGCCACCTTTGATCAGGACTTTGATCTCTTGGAACAATACGACAGTATGCTGGATGGAAAATGGGCTGGGATGCTGGCTCAGCCCCATTACGACCAGTACGTGCAGTCATACAACAACGACTGGAAAGAGCCCACCAAGGACGCCATCACAGGGCTCTGGTACGTCCAACTCAGGCAGAACGCGACGTATGCCTTTGGAAACCTCGGCATCTATGCAGAAAATTGCGAGAGCGCACAACTTCAAGGACGCAGCCTTCCGTCAGCCGATGCTTCGGCACCAACAGATGGCGATTTTGCTCCTACGCTTCCAATTATGGACCCTTACGGAAAGGGGATCTGGCAAATTGACCTATTCCATAGAGGCGATTATCGAGTGCCCATTGAATGGGAGGTAGACATTCCGTTCGATTGGATCACGGTCAGTCCGTCATCTGGAATCGTATCAATGGAGCAGCTGGAGCAACGCCTGAATATTTCGGTGGACTGGTCCGCCGTGCCTGCGAATATGGACGAAGAGATCGACATGCGCATCAACTTCAACACGCCTCCTTGGTTTGACCTCATTCGTCTGCCTATCATGAATTACCGTGTCCCAGACGACTTTACGGGGTTCCCAGAGACATCAGGTCTGATATCAATAGAGTCACCGCATTGCCAACGCAAGTCCACGGGCAACGTCACTTTCGAACACATACCTCAGCTCGGCACACGCACCAACTCGGGGTCCTTAGCACTGCGTCCGTACAGCGAAGCGCGGGTTTCGGCTGAAGTAGCACAAGATGCATGGGTTGACTACGACATCTACCTCTTCAACGAGTCATCATCGCTCACTGCCACTGTCTATGTCAACGGAGCTCTGGACACCGATCCGACTCTGCCGATGAGCTACTCACTGACACTCGACGGCGACGACACGAACACCAACTGGACTCGTCTGCTTGGCGATCCCGACACACCGGGAGCCACGCCACCGGGCTGGCAGACCAGCGTGGCGGACCATGTGTGGATGAGGAATGTGACGCTTGGCAATGTGACCGAGGGATCGCATACGCTCAGATGGAGGACCAACTCGCCTGAGGTCTACTTGGAAAAGATCGTGTTGGATACTAGACAGGGGCTCAAGAGTAGTTACCTAGGACCTCCAGAGACCACCTTGATTAGCTAGGGGAGGATACAGGATGACATTCTCTCTACCACCGAATCTGTGGACCTTCAGTGGGTGAGCATTGACCGCACCACGTCCAAGAATCGATCGAGTACATAATGATTTGGACAGCACGATAGAAGCGTCAGACGTGCTAATGATTCGTAGCCCGTCAGGGTAGGGGTCTATCACCGTCCGTTCTAGATATCTGACTTAGACTAGACCACCTATTCAGGGACCTCGAGTATCCCCCTTTACTCCATCGCATCTCACTGGTTCATTTTGCTTGGCATAGGGGGTAGGTAGAATATGGGCCTTATCTATATCACCCCTCTTGAGGACGATGAGCCTCATTATAAAAATTGCTATTTAGTCGTCCTATCCACCTCAGGCTTTCTTTTTTGGCCACGTGCGTCTTTGGGAAATTCTTGTTGGGCGCCCACTTATCCTTAGCTCGCTACGCTGAACATCCAGAAGTCTCCGGATACCCTTCGTTCACCAAGCGAAAGCTTTATTTACTTTAACTAGAATAACCAGTCTGGAATAAGCATTCAGTATGGCTAACTGGCTTAGCCCTGCTTATTCTGGGGTGTTTATTCCATTCATGCGTATGTAGCATTGATATTAGCCTACCATCGTGATCGCCCCAGACGCCTGGCAGACGCCCGTGATATGGGACAGATTCCCGGCCAAACTGAGAGAGGCGGGCTACGTTGTAGAGTACCTATGTAGCTTGGACTTCCGTGGGCGGTTCGGACATACCCCTTGCGGGTAGTTACAGCCGAGGATATCGTGGCGATGTTGGGCAATATCTGCCATGGATGATCCTCCGGGTACGAATGCGCTATCCACTCGTATTTCGAGTCCGTGGAACACTCAAGCCATATACAGGACGATCGCGTCATCTGCGATTCCGAGATGATGCCCCCTTCAAGGATCTCGAAGTTGAAGCGCAATCGAAGTGGACTGAGGAGATTGAGTTGGTGAGTATGTTCTCTATTCTATGTGGCGCCTAAGGTTTGAACTCAAGAATGCCCAATTCGCTGACTGTTTCCTAAAACATGAATGCTGTACCCAGTACCTTATTCAGAATGACTCATCGTTGGCCTGGGAATGGCCTCTTTGCTCTTCCGACTCCCGTCTGTCCAGCGCCTCAATGCATCTCGGTACCGCATCGATGTTCTCCTCTCGCGAGATTCTCATATAGTAGACCGGGCCCAGGTCTCTGACGCGACGGTTCAAATATGCGATGTAACGCCAGAGATCCAGATCGTAGATAGCACGACCATCACTGTGAACACAGTCGTTCCGTTCCCACGCGGCGATATTCTGCCTCATGCAGCGGGTGACGTATTCCGAATCGGAATAAATGGTCAGTCGTAATGGGGGGTTGCCGCTGCGCCTGTTGTCGTATTCGTACAAGGCCCATTCGAGAGCGACGACTATGGCCGTGATTCCTGCTCTCTGTTCCGTGGGAATGGCACCCCTTCGGTCTAGATAAGCCGTTGTATACCAATAGAGATTGCCTCCCGCAAACATCGAACATGCAGCTACGGCTCCGATGGCACTCGAACGGGGATAGTCGCGAAAGCCACTACTGACGTAGAAAGTCATGTTGTAGTAGGACATGATGGCGATCGGCGGGTCGATCAGAAGGCGTAATTCGATCGGGAGGTGCTGGCACAGGAGTCAGTTGGTCACATTTACAGCTTTTGTTTGGGTTGCGGACCGTTTGATGCGTGTCAGTCTGGTACGTGACCGTTCGCCACGTTACCCTGACTTGCTGTTGCTTTCTGTCGGGGTCTCTCAGTAACTCGCAAGTCACCTATAGTTCTGAATCTGGTGATACGATCGGATGGAAGAATATGGAAGAATGGGGAGTCAAGTCTACTACATGTAGGTCAGAGGGATTGTGGACGTTGCATTTGCGGTAATGGTAAATAAGGTAGGTCCTCACCTGGGCAGTCACCTGGGTAGTCACCATGGAGGCGCTACACGGAACCCTCATAAGTCTCCGTACACCGGTAATATCAAATGCGAATAAACACCATGGAATAAGCATTAGAAATGGCGTATCAAACTAGAGCTGCTTATTCCGGTATGATTATTCCAGTATTTCGAAGTTGTACGAGGACTTCGAGATGGGGCATGGTTTCGTCGTGTCCTTCGCGCACTGGCAGGAGTCTCGGGAGGGCGGCGGTTGCAACACGCTTTCGGTCCAACAGCGCGACATATTGGCGAAAGAGTTCAAAGAGAATGGGTACTACTGGACTTAAGAGCTTCAAGAGCGGGCAGAGAAGCGGTTTGGGCCTTCCGCACGGGCTGTCTGATGATTTATCACCCGCCACTGGCTGGTCTTGGCTCTATCCGATTTCTTAAACGAAATCGATGTTCAATGGCTCAAGACACTACGTGAAGGGCAGAGATGAAGGAGATCAGGAGGTAATCAGCTTTCTGTCCGTATTGGTCGCTTCTAACGGTGTTTTTAACAAAGGCGAGGTCCGCCAAAGACATGGCTAGTGAGTAGGTAATCTGAAATCTCGAAAATTGTAGTATTTTACAGCAAATTCACGTTTCCGTCGTCTCGTCCTGATCGAGGAAAGTGCTTGATGCTGATGATTCTTTAGGCAGCCGACAACGAAGGCAGGAAAGGGCCTGTACGCGTTTTAGCAGAATAGCTAAACCTCTTTACCGTCTTACTGTGGCAACCAAGTACCTATGGACTAAGGAATAGCAGAGAGCCTTTGACAACCTAAAGGATGCCTTATGCTCAGCTCCCTTGCTCTCATATTTCAAGGAAGCAGCTCCTACCAAGCTGGAAACAGACGCTTCAGATGGTATAATCTCAGCAGCCCTCTCCCAACAGGATGAGCAAGACAACTGGCATCCAGTGGCCTATCTGTCGCGAACTATGAATACAACAAAGTGCAACTATCCCATCTATAATAAGGAACTATTGGTAATTGTCTATGCCATGCGAGAATAGAACCACATGCTCACTGCCCTTCAACATCCCCTTTCTGTTTTCACAGATTATCAGGTATTCCAGTACTTTGTCACTAAGCGACAGCTCAATTCTTGACAAGCAGCCTGGAGTGAGGATATCTCGGGCCTGGACTTTATTATCTCTTACCGTCCAGGTAGGGAGAACCTGATAGCTGATACTCTATCACGGAAAGCCATAGATCTGGTTACACAGAAGGCCATCAAGAATAAAAGTGGCCGCCAGATCCTCCTACCTGTTAAAAGGTTCAATAGACCCGTTGACCTGCCTGTGACCGACCCGTCACCTAGTCCAGAGGACAACCTGGTATGTGCCATTGTGGCCACCTTGGAAGCCAACAACCAGGACCCTGACGGTTCTCTAGAGGGTGTTCAGCTTATTGATGCCATCTTGACAGCCAACCGCTCTTAAGAGACCTTACTTCTTGAGTGTGAAAGAGCTAAACACAGTCAGCAGGATTACAGTCTTGTTGATGGCTTGTTGCTGAAAGAGGGACACCTCGTGGTGCCTGATGAGGGGCACCTATACACACGACTTTGTGATGAGATTCATAGACTACCTTCCCGTGCACACCCTGGTCGGAACAAGATGCGTGCCTTAGTAACAGAGCGTTACTCCTGGCCAGGTATGGGTGCTTTTATAGACCGCTATTGCGCTCATTACCCAGAATGTGGCAGAGGTCGCAATTCCCGTCTCAAGCCAGCCGGCTTGCTACAGCCCCTGCCTATACCAGATCGTCCTTGGCAACATGTCTCTATAGACTTCAAGACCATGCCAAAAGACAAGCTAGGCTATTGTCAGAAGGCCAACCATAGGGGGGGGTAAGATGTATGTTGTTCTGCAGAGAGGTGCAGTACTAATCAGGCGCGAAGGCCATGTATATGTACACGTATGATCCTTTTGTTCTCAGGATGCTTCCTGACAGTACTCCCCTCTTCCAAAACCTCATTTGACCGCAAATGAGGCGATTCAGAGATCAAAATCAGTGTTATCGTCGCTCTCTCCGGAGTTTTCACCTGATTCCTCTGAATCGCTGTCACTTGACTCTGATTCACTCTCTGTCCTTCTTTCGTGCCAATCCCTCTGCTCTAGGGCTTCCTTCTTGCGATACCACCCTGGAGGTCCTGGTTTACCTTCGTTATTTCGGTGAAACTCGTACAGTATCCAGTGACAACCCTGGAGGTTGCGAGCAGGCTGCCACGATGCTGTGCCATCCTGCCACTCGACGTAATACTGCAGCCCCTCCTTCTGGTGCATACGGCTGTTGGTAACTTTATCGAATATCCACTTCCTCTGCATGCGGCCTCGTTCATCCGGAACGATGATAAGGCCCTCCTGGTCGTCTTGAGAGTCCTTGTTGATCTTGGCCTGCTCCCTTGTCCTTGGTTCCTTAACTGGTCGCAACAACGAGTGGTGAAAAACAGGGAAGATGCCATTGAACCGTCCGTCAAGCTCGAGAGCGCATGCTCTTTTGTATGTTCGTGATACGGCAAAAAGGCCAAGCCATTTGTCGCTAAGCTTCCTGGAGGGCCGCTGAGTGACGATGTTCTCAGAGCTTAGCCAGACCAAGTCTCCGATTTTGTACGCGGGGGCACCGCCTCTCCTGGTGTTCGTGTATAGCTCGTGGTCTTCCTGTGCTTGTGCCATATTGTGCCGGAGCTGGTCAAGAAGGTCTTTCATCAGCTCAGCGTGCTTGTCAGCCTTGTCCCATTCTCGTGTCTCATCTTTTGACAGGTTTGGCGGTCTTGGTAAAGGTGGCTCGATCCCTAGGCGTGGATTCCAACCATAGTTAACAAAAAACGGTGAGAACTTCGTGGTACTGGAGACGGCGTTGTTGGAGGCAAACTCTGCAAGGGGCAGATGATCAACCCAATCGTCCTGATTTAGCGATATATAGATGCGAAGGTACTGCTCCAACACGGCGTTCATGATCTCCGTCTGCCCATTCGTCGAAGGGTGATACGCAGACGAGGGCTTGAGCCTGGATCCCAGGCGTTCTGCTAATCGTTGCCAGAACTGTGAAACAAACTGAGACCCTCTGTCTGAGGTGATGAATTCAGGGGCGCCATGGAGTGAAAATACTCTGTGGATGAACGCATCTACCATCATAGGAACGTCTAGTTTATCAACCAGTATGAAGTGCCGCATCTTCGTTAGCCAGTCGATTACCACAAAGATGTGTTTGTAGACGACTCCATGTCTTGAGCATTCGGGCAATCCGGTGATATAATCAACTGAGATGCTGGCCCAGGGTCTGAAAGCCACAATTAAAGAGTGTAAAAGGCCCTAGGGGCTCTCCTTCAGTCCCTTTGCTCTTCTGCAAGTGTGGCAGGCCCCGACGAAACCTCCAATCTCTCTGTACATCCCTGGCCACTAGTAGTGCCTTTTGATCAGTTCTGCCGTCTTGGCTTCGCCTTGATGACCACTGGCAGGGAGCGCGTATGTATGGTATTTGATCTGGGAGCGGAGGTGATTGTTTGCGGGGATGAATAGCTTGTTATGGTAGAAAACACGGCCATCCTGCAATTCGCAGTCACCAAAAGGTACTCGTATGAAACGCTTCACGGTCTTTGGCCACGACCTTTGGATTAGCAAGGCTTTCACCACCTTCTTCGCCATTGGATCAGTATTGTACGCTGCGTCGATGAGGTCGTCAAGGTCTTCAGAGGTATCCACAGCGTAAAGTCTGAGGTTGTCAGGATCGTCAGGTAACTCTGGAGCCATCCCTAGCGATATTTGCGACTCTGGAAGGACCGTCTGTTGTCTAGCAGCAACTCGTGAATCCGTGATATCAAGCTTCAAAGATGGATTGTCCCCTGGCCTCCGGCTGAGGGCATCTGGTTTGACCGACTGTTTGCCGCTCCTATAGACAATCTGGAAGTTGAATTGGCTGAGGAACTCCGCCCAACGGGCCTGTCTCTGTGTCAGGAGCTTGGTGCTCATGAAGTACCGCAGGTTCTGATGGTCCGTGATGATCTTGAACGGCTCGTCAGACCCCTGAAGCTCCGGGTGCCACTCTTCAAGGGACTTTATAATCGCGAGCAGCTCCTTGTCGTATATCTCGTAATTCGCCTCCGCCAGCGTGTGTTTAGACGAGTAGTACCCAACAGGGTGTAACTCCCCATCGTCATCGTATTGGGATATTACTCCTCCAATCGCCCAGTTGGAGGCATCCGTCTCAACGACCGTTCGTCTCACCGGGTTGAAATATGAGAGTACTGGGGCACGCGTGAATGATTCCTTGAGGATCTGGAACGCGTGTTTGCAATGGTGAGTCCAGTCCCAGCGTTCCGACGTCTTGAGGAGGACTGTGAGTGGCTTCGCGATCGATGAAAATCCACGAATAAACCTTCGGTAGAAGTTTGCAAAACCTAAGAACCTCTGGAGTTCCCGGACGTTACGGGGGCTCTGCCAGTCCAACAGTGCTTCTACCTTGTCTGGGTCCATGCTGATGCCGGTGGTTGGGATGATGAGACCGAGATACTTGGTTTTTGTGGTGTGGAAGTCGCACTTGTCGATGTCAACCTGGAGGCCGGCCTCTCTCAGTGCCTCCAACACCTTGCGGACGTGTTCCTTGTGTTCTTTCAGGTTCTTGGAGTAGATGAGGATGTCATCAAGGTAGGCTGAAGCAAACCGGTCGAGAAAATCGTACAGAGTGTCATTAATATAGTGCTGGAAGGTCGAAGGTGCGTTGCACAAGCCGAAAGGTGTAATGAGGGTCTTGTAGAGCCCGAATCTTGTTGTAAACGCCGTCTTCCACTCGTCCCCTTCCGCGATTCGTATCCTGTTGAACGCGGCAATGACATCCAGCTTGGAGAAGACCTTGGATGTACACAACGCGTCAAGGGTCTCGCAGATGAGAGGGAGGGGGTATCTATTCTTGATCGTAACGTTGTTCAGGCCTCGGTAGTCGACACAGACTCGCACGCCGCCGCCCGGCTTCCGCGCCAGTAGCAGTGGTGCCGCTGATCTTGATCGAGAGGGCCGAATGAAGCCCATCTGCATGTTATCGTCCAGGTATTTCTTGACAACCCGGAGTTCGGATTGAGACATGGGACGTGTCTTGTAGCTAGGGATGTATTTGCTGGGTTCGATGTCAATTCGGTGATCGTATGGTTTGTGTTTAGGTAGCTTCGTGGCTTTGGAAGGAAGGAAGATATTGAGAAGGTCGTGGTAATCGGCTGGCAGCTTCCTCTTGATCTCCTCAACCGTCGCGGGCTTCTTATCTTTGAGGTACTTGTCGATGTCCTTGTCTGTGACCCTGTTGATGAAGTGTTTGTCAAACAGGTCGTTGACGAAGGAGTGATATCTGACATCCAGCTTGGCCTTGTGTTCTTTGGGGCTGCCTTCAGTAGCGAGGATTTGTCTGAGTTTGCTTTCGGTGAGGTCGGGGGGCTCGAGGTCTGGCATTCCTGCTTGTTCGAGCTGTTCAGCAGTGATCCTTGAGATTGTAACGCCCTTCTGGCGACAGAACCATGCGAAATTCGTTGCTGAAGAGATCTTCAGATCATCAACGGAGCAGTCTCGTAGCATGACCGTTTCTGCGAAATAGACTGTTTTCCTCCTCTTCAGGCTGGGGTTCGGCGCCTTGCAGCCACCGCGCACCTGCGCAGGTCGTATATGGAAGCAATTCTTGTTGCAGAACTCGGAGCAGAAGGTGATTTCGCATGTTCGCCAGTCAATCGTCGGGTTGTGTGTTCGAAGCCAAGGGAAGCCGAGGATCAAAGGGTGTTCATTGCTAAGGTCGGTGAGGAAGCAGAGGATCGTCTCCAGGTGGCCATCCACCTCCATCGTTACAGCAATGAACTTGGTAATATTGCCCTTCCGTTCGCCGTTGGCAAGGCGCAACTATTTGGGTTTTGGTAAGCGTAAAATCTCGAAGTTGTGGTCTCGCGCAAAGGTGTTGTCCATGAATGAGAGTGCTGTACACCCCAAATCCAGCAAGGTAACGGCGTTTATCTTGCCACGGCCGCCCTGACGGACAGTTGCGCGCAAAAGAAGCGAATTTTCGCCTGAATTTGCTGATTTGAGGTATACCACGTCCATATCAGGCACATCCTCGTGGTTAAGGTCCTGAAGGCGCCTTTCTTCAGGACCTACCCTTTTGACTCCTTAGACAGGTGGTTGCTTCCGCCGTGAGAGTCGTGCCCAAAGGAGGTTTGTGATGATCCTGCCGATGCAGGCCACTGAGAGGAGTCTGCGGATCCAGGCCAATCATCTGCGTTCCCCCTCCAGCCAATAGTTCAGAGGCGAAGATCTTGTGCGTGGCCCTGTTGGTGAGGCTGTCTGAAGGGGTTGTTATTGCCGCCGGCAGGCGCAGATCCTGGTCTCTCCAGGTTGAAGCCGCTGTTCCTCCTTGGCAGTCCTGTCTGAGGATACCGCGGTGCTTGAGGGCATTCGGACTTGATGTGCCCTCCCTCTCCGCAGTACAGGCAGAGGCACTGGTCTATTTGCTTCTGCCTCTCGGTAGCTAACAGCCGTCGGAACTTGATGGCGTCGAGGTCCACGAGGTCGCCTGCCGGTGCCGGGGTATGTGGTCGTGGGGGCTGTTGGCCGTGCTGGTGATTCCCGTGCTGATTGTTCTGGTTGTTATTGCCGTTCTTGTTCTTATTGTTGTCCTTGTTGAAGGGGTTGTTCAAAAACGGATTCTTATTGCCTGTATGGTGCGCGTAGTCCATGATGTTTTCCGTCAGAGAACGGTAGCAATCTACCCATCCATCGAAGTCCTCGTTTTGAGGTTTCGGGAAGACACTGATCACCGCGGACTGCAGTTTGTTGTTCATCTTTTTCTTTAGCTTCTCGACCTTCGCCTTGTCGTCCAGGCCAAGGTCGGCTGCGAGAGCTAAGAACTCCGACAGGAAGACGTTAAAGGCTGTGTTCTTCTGCTTCAGGTCATCCATCTCCCTGCTGGCATCGCCAGACCGGTTGTGGGAGTCGTATGCTCTCTCGAGCCAGTCAAAGAGGGCTTCAGAGTTTGCCCACTCCCATGCGGCCAAGTTGCCCGGGTTCTTGTAGATATTCATCAGGTATGAATCCACCGCTATTCTCGCACTGCCGCTCAGCCGAGAGCATACGTAGATGATCTTGTGGTACTCTGTATTGTACTTCTTGGTCTCCATGTTGATCTTCATTCGGGCACCGCCTTGCCAGGCCCTGAACTCTCGCCGCCGCTTCTTGTCATCCTTTTCGTCACTGTCAAACCTGTCGGTGTCGGCCACCAGGGATAATGGTTGGGTTGGTTCTCTGGTACTGGCCGCACTGGTGAACCCTTGAATGCCCTGCTCGAAGGACCGGGCGAGGCTCCCGATGCCGCCTTCGTACGCCTCAACACGACCCTGCACGTTCTGGAGCTGGCTCCGAAGGTTCGCGTTCAGCGCGTCTCCTGTATTCACCTGCTCCTTGAGGGCGTTGATATCCTGCCCCAGGATGTTCAGCGCATCTTCCAGGGCGCTAAAGATCAACTGTGCCTGGTTGTTGGCGCCATGATTGGTAGCGAGGGCAGTCCGAAAGGGTCGAAAGTCTCCATCGCAATTGTTCTGTAAACACGCCTGGAGAACTGTAGGCCAGCTTGCCCCGAACAGAGTCTCGATGCTCAGTGGCTCGTTGTTGGCGGTACCGAAGTTGCCATCAAATGAAGACATGATGAGTTGAGAGAGGATTGATCGAGTGAGGTCAGGGTCAGGGTCAGTGTCAGGGTCAAAGTTCCTGAATGGGTGGTTGAATCCGATATAGGAAGGGGTTGAAGAATTCCATATATCCGTTTCTTGACTCGACGCGTTACCCAATCTTGGGCTCAACGTAAACACCGCGAGCGCGACTTGTTTCAAAGTGAACACCATTTTCCTTGATTTCTCTGAGATTTGCGAGGTCTGTGAGGTCTGTGATCATGAGGCGAGAGGCGTGGTTGGCTGTAATAGGTTGGCCTTGATCTGACGATCCTTCGTGAACAAAGAATTCTGAGACTGAGGCTAGAGGCTGAAATCTGTGAACAAAGGACTAAGTCGGGGCTCGTATAACAACGACCCATAAGCGAGAGGATTCAGGAGGCGAGAGGCTGGAGCTGAGGTCTGAGAGCTCAAGTAAGGACTAAAGCGGTAACTGAAGCGGTGATCGTGAAATCTGTGAACAAAGGACTAAATCGGGCTCGTGTAACAACGACCCCTAAGCGAGAGGATTCAGGAGGCGAGAGGCTAGAGCTGAGGTCTGAGAGCGCAAGTGAGGACTAAAGCGGTAACTGAAACGGTGATCGTGAAATCTGTGAACAAAGGACTAAATCGGGCTCGTGTAACAACGACCCCTAAGCGAGAGGATTCAGGAGGCGAGAGGCTAGAGCTGAGGTCTGAGAGCGCAAGTGAGGACTAAAGCGGTAACTGAAGCGGTGATCGTGAAATCTGTGAACAAAGGACTAAATCGAGCTCGTGTAACAACGACCCCTAAGCGAGAGGATTCAGGAGGCGAGAGGCTGGAGCTGAGGTCTGAGAGCGCAAGTGAGGACTAAAGCGGTAACTGAAGCGGTGATCGTGAAGTTATTTTGATTAAAGGCAGAACAAACTGTCAGAAGGCCAACTATAGGGGGGGGTAAGATGTATGTTGTTCTGCAGAGAGGCGCAGTACTAATCAGGCGCGAAGGCCATGTATATGTACACGTATGATCCCTTTGTTCTCGGGATGCTTCCTGACAGCTATGACACGATCTATGTGGTGGTAGACCGACTAGGCAAATGCCCGTGGTCTATTCCGACATATAAGATATGTATAACCAAGGACCTTGCCACCTTATACTTCAATGGACCTTAGAGAGTCTATGGCACCCCTGAGACTGTGACTTCAGACCATGGTTCCCAGTTTATTGCTGCTTTTTTAGATGAACTAGCCAAGCTCACAGGGATGGACCTACGCCGCTCTACTGCAGAACACCCTCAGATGGATGGTCAGACAGAGATCATCAACCAGTTCCTTTAGACCAAGTTCCGACCCTTTATAAGCCACTTTCAGGATGACTGGTCTCAACTGCTGCCCTGTCTTGATTTTGCTTATGCCACATAATATTATACAAGTACTGGCTTATCTCCAGCTGAGGTTGAAATGGGGTTTCTTCTAATTATGACATTTGACTGGGATAAATGCAGTCCCTTCTCAAGAAAGATGCCTATTACGGAGCGGCTGAGTTGTTCAGACGCTCAAGAGTTTGCTGAACGCCGGGTACAGGCCGTGGTACGGGCCAAAACCAATCTCTTCAAGGCACAAACAAAGTACAAGAAGCAGGCTGACAAGTCCCGATGACCAATTGACTGGAAGCCAGAAGATATGGTATATGTACACAAAGGAGCGTGGCGTACTGACCGCCCATATGATGGGTTGGACAACCCCTACATGGGACCATATCGGGTTGTCAAACAGATCAATAAGAACGCCTTTGAGATTGACTTACCCCCTGGGATAAACGCTCATCAGGTTATTAACACAAGCCGCTTAATACGGTCACCAAATGACCCTGTCCCAGGTCAGGTGATACCTCCACTGCCTCCCGTCGACGTGGATGGGGTCCCTGAGTGGGAAGTTAACAAAATTATGTCCTCCTGCCTAACCCAGGGCAAGCTAGAATACCAGGCTGAATGGACAGGCCATGATCCTGACCCAATGTGGTACCCAGCAGCTAACTTCAGAGGCTCGGCTGTACGCGTCAAAGAGTTCCGTGACGCAAATCCCCAGGCGTCAGGTCCCCCTTAAAGGTTATAACAATAGATAGAGGCCGCTGCTGATGATCAGGACCTAACTGATCACGAGGAAGACAACCTGCCTGCAAGAGGCTCTGTGCAAGGAGTAAGGAGAACTCAAAAAAAATCATTGTCATAAACTGACTTTAATAAGGGGGGGAGTAGTGTGACGGCCTGCACAGACCTTCCCACATGACAAGCTGATACTTTCTAATAAGGGAAGGATCTGACCAGAGGATCCCCTTAAAGGGGCAACCTCTTGCTGTACCTATCTCTCTCTCTCTTCCTTTTCTCTCTAGTCTTGATATTCTCATTAATAGAGTAATAGCTGCTTGCTGCCGGCCATGTCGCAGCTCCTCAATACGCTCGCCGTGACATATATAGCCATGTCAGCCACTACTCATACAAGTTTATATGTCTTTGTTATATAAACAATGTGTATATGTGCTTTTTTCTGCCCATATAGTAGGTTGTTTGGTCAACTAATAGTTATTCCACTAATAGAGGTAGTCTCACATCTTCCAGCCACTAGATTTATTAGATACACGGATATTGATTGATGCTTTTGATTGTTCTGCTCTGCGTGCAGAGATTGATCATCTGTCTTCTTGGTGGGTCAGATGCCCTGTGCGTCTCTGCCCCACTAGAAATCTTTCAGTGTCTATCTCCGGCTCCTATTCAATATACCCTCTCAGGAACAACTCCTTTTATTTGGGTTGTTCCTGAATATTCAGTCTGTTGCTCTTCCTGTTTGAGGTCATCTTTAAGTTCTTATAGGTTGTGGGCTGCAAGTCTCTCATGGATATCTGTCAGCCTCACTTGCTCTCTGAATGTCTTGAACTTTGGTGCCAGTATCGCCTTAGTCAGGCTGTCTGCAAGCATTATTTCGCTCTGGACGTACTTGACGTCTATCTTCCCGTTACGTTGAGCTTCCCTTAGCCAGTGGTTGTGGATATCGACGTGCTTGAGCTTTGTTTGAAGTATTTGAAGGTCTTTTCGCACCAACTTGATGGTCTGTTGGTTGTCATACCAGATCTGGAGAGTTGGACAGTCTAAGGATACGCCAATTTCTCTAAGGAGGCGCAAAACAAACATCACTTCCTTGGCTGCTTGAGCAAGGAATAACAGTTCTGTTTTTGTTATTGAGGTTGTCATTGTGTCCTGTTTGTTCGCTCTCTAGCCAATAATGCCTCCAAATAGCTTTATCACATACTTGTGAGCTCTTTTGGTAGAGGCAGTTGTCAGCAAACGACGCATTGCTCTATGTTTCAAGCAGATCTTCACCTCCTAGCTGAAGAGCAAAAGACCTGGTACCCTTCATATACTCTAATAAGTGCTCTGCGGCAGCAGCATGTAAACTGTTTGAGTTGGTGTTAAAGCGTGAAAGCCGAGAGGCAGCAAAGGAGATATCGAGTCGTGCGATCACCGGTGCGTACAGAATTAATCTGTTCGTTTTTTGATATCTGTTGATTGAGGCTGGCAAGGCAAGCTTGTCGCTTGGGAGAAGTTCTTGAGGCTTCATGCGGATCTTTGGGCACTTCTTATTGTGGTTGATATGGCTTGTAATCTTGTCAATATATGAGGCTTAAGACAGCCAGATGAGCCGCTGTTTTTGGTCCCTAATGATCTCTATCCCCAAGAACCACTGTAGTGGCTCTTTTTCTGTCAGATTATAAGTAGCTTTGAGCTTCTTTGTGACCCGCCTCTATAGCGTTCTGATTGTGTTCTTTGAAGGCTAATACAATATCATTCATATGGAAGAAGATGATCATGCCATCTTTTGTGAAGCAACAGGGTTCGTGAGCAACTGGTTTGAAGCTAAGGTCTGTGAGAGTTTTGGTGAAATGCTTACTATAGCAAAGGAGATTGCTATAATCCGTATAGAGCCTTCTTTAACAAGAGGACCTTTTTTTATTCACGATGCCCTTATGACATTTTTATGAAGACTTCCTTTTCTAGGTCCGCGTTGACAAAGGCATTGACGGCATCGTATTGAATAAGCTCAAGATTGAAAGCGGGCTGCGATTACCATGAGGGCTCTGAAAGATCTGCTTGCGAGAGTTAATGCGTAGGTATCCCTATAGATGTTCTTATTCTGCTGGTCACTGCGAATCACGAGGCGTGCTTTGCACTTGCTCAGAAAGCTGTGCTTGTCAAACTTGTACTTATATACCCACATATAGTCCAGGATTTGGTGTCCATTTACTGCTGACTTGTCAGTGATTATTTATGATCCTATTTCATTGTGGCTGCTGATGTGGTCAACCTCGGCTTGACGCCACTCAGCCTTGTAGAGATGGTTCTTGACACCTTGCCAGTTCTTTTGCTCTGGTGGTAATGATCGTTGATGTATCTTCCCTACTTTTATAGGTATTGAGGCTGGGCCGTGATGATTTCTTTGGTGTGATGGGCTCCCACTAGGGCAAGAGCTGTAGGTTCTGTACTTATTGTACTTAGCTTTGCTCACTGGTTTGCCATCTATCAAACCAACAGGATTGGCAACACATCTAGCATTGAACGCTGCTTTCCAATTCCTGTGGCGATTTTATATGGCCTGGGTGTCCCCAGTTAAAGGTAACAAGCGGGCAACTAACCCTTCTTCTGCTCACTGGGAGCACAATGCTCTGACCTGGCCTTTCACAGGCTCTCTGATAATAGCAGCCAGCAGTGCTGCCGCAGGCGGAGGAGTGGGTTCTGGGGTCAGGTATGGCTCAAACATGGCAGATATATAGGGGTGATCAGTCCCTTTGTTACTATTTGTGTTGGCTTTGTCCTGGGTATCTTCTATACCATTACCACTCAAGTCCATCTCATCTCTGTCTGGGTGCTCCTGTATTAATCTGTTAAGATCTTTATCTTCCTAGTATACTGGAATGTCCTCTAGGATTTTTGATGGCAACTCGTGTCTACTTGGAAATAGTGTT